GAAACTACTGAGCCAAATTTAACCAAACTTAAATTAGCCAGGAAAGCTAAAACCAAAAGATATCCAGAGGTAAACACGCATGAAGATACAATGTGATAGTGGGTCCCATTGGGGTGTAAGCGTGATGTGTGATTGGCCGATGTAAATCACCTAAGCTAGAAAAATTGTGAAAATTTAACACTATTCAAGATCTGCAATCAACAGTGAATTAATAATTCCCTTTATGACAAAAAACATTTTGATATAACCAAGACAACCACTAACTTTGGAAAGGCATATGAACATGTGGAGGGGTTCAACTAGCTTTGAGATTTCAACCCTCCCCCTTTTAATCTCACTGAGTTGAAAAACAAAAGGTGTATAAAAGAATATACAATGACAAGAAATGAACTGTCAAATTGTTAGCCAACCAGGGTTTCTGTTATTTGAAGGTAAACAATGGTGAACTTAATAAGAGGGCAGGAAGTATGAAATTCTTCAGAGTGACAAAAGTGAAATCGCTAATATCAAACTTGACCTCCATTTTGTCATCAGTAGCAACATGTTGAAATAGATTAAAGACTCAAATGGCTGGGTTCTAAAGAATATTTCATAAACAATGGAGAATGTTCTATACTGAAATTTAAATATTTGAAAAATGACTATAAAGTTTCAGAGTCTGTAAAATGAGAAAATTTCTCAAACACTGCCATAATTACAGGTGAAAAACTTCAACATATGTGCTATCTGTGAGGTTTAGGGGATCTGGGTTGAAAAACTGTAGGAGGAGTTGATTACACAATTCTTGTACCCTCTTTCATAAATTTTGCTAAAAAATTACTAATTTCCCAAGGCATGTAAAATGAGAAAAAATTCCTTAAACACTTGCATAATAGCAGGTGCAAAACTTCAACCCATGTGCAATCTTCCTGTGAAATTTCCGGGATCTGGAATGAAAACTGTAGGAGGAGTTGATTTTACAAAACTTGTACCCTTTTTCATAAATTTTGCTGAAAACTGAGTAAGTTCCCAAGTCAGGAAAAATGAGAAAAAATTCCTCAAACACTTGCATAATAGCAGGTGCAAAACTTCAACATATGTGCAATCTTCCTGTGAAATTTCAGGGATCTGGTTGAAAGATGTAGGAACAGTTGATTAGGTTATATGGATACAATGGATAAGCGTTGATTCTTGAAAAAGAAACCATGAGCCCGGAGGACGAATGGTTTGTTTTTCATGAATCAACGCTTATCCATTGTATCTATAACTTAAACTATTGTTTTACTTTTCTTAATTAGAAGGTAGTGTTAGTAAGTTTGAATAACCATGTTGTCGTGTCCAACGATGCGTTAATAAATCTAAGATCACAATTAATTGGTTAAAAAAATACAAATATAACACAACACGTCTGCCTTTAAAGATCTTTATATTATCAGGCATCTGAATATTATCTGTTTTTACAAAATAAGACATTTTCGAATTTATTTCTAATAAAATTGCGAATGGAAATGGGGAATGTGTCCAAGAGACAACAACCTGAATAAAGAACACCAAAAATTTCTAGCAAGAAGCCTAATTCTAGGCACATTATGATTTTCTCGAATATAATTTGCAAATAAACATTTGTAAAATTATTTAGTAAAACAGATGAAATCATACTAAATTTCATAAAACAAAAATGGACGAATAGAATGTAAACATTTTTGTTTCAAATATTAGAAATAGCCAATATTAATCCAAAAATAAACGGTAAAACTCGCTATTATTACAAAAATATCCACAATTACATACAAAACAAGAAAAATAAAATGCTCCGCAGGGCGCAGCTTGATACGACCGCAGAGGTCGAACCCTGAACAGTTGGGGCAAGTATGGACACAACATTCAAGCTTGATACAGCTCTGAATTTGGATTGTGATTAAATATTTGACACAGCATAGGTTTCTGACACAGAATGAATGTGGTCTAAGAACTTAAAAATTTTAAATTGGACATTCACCTTTTATGGTCCAATATCCAAAATCTAAATACATGGTTAGATTCAGCATATCAAAGAACCCTAAGAATTCAATTTTTGATGAAATCAAACAAAGTTAAATTTTGGACCCTTTTGACCTCAATGTGGACAAAGTTGATAACGGGGCCCAAAAATCTAAATACATGGTTAGATTCAGCATATCAAAGAACCCCATATATTCAATTTTTGTTGAAATCAAACAAAGTTTAATTTTGGACCCCGATTTGGACCAACTTGAAAACTGGGCCCATAATCAAAAATCTAAATACATGTTTAGATTCAGAATATCAAAGAACCCTAAAAATTCAATTTTTGTTAAAATCAAACTAAGTTTAATTTTGGACCCTTTGGACCTTAATGTAGACCAATTTGAAAACGGAACCAAAAATTAAGAATCTAAATACACGGTTAGATTCGGCATATCAAAGAACCCCAATAATTCAATTTTTGACGAAATCAAACAAAGTTAAATTTTGGACCCTTTGGACCTCAATGTGGACCAATTAAAAAATGGGGCCCAAAATCCAAAAACTTAATACATGGTTAGATTCAGCATATTAAAGAACCCCAAGAATTCAAGAATAAAACCCCATTGAAATTGATCAAGATATAAGCAATTTATACGAAGTATCTTCTTTTGCACAATACTGTGCAATTGAATATTTCTTGCTATTGCGCAATACTGTGCAATTGAAGATTTCTTGCTATTGCGCAATACTGTGCAATTGAAGATTTCTTGCTATTGTGCAATACTGTGCAATTGAAAATTTCTTGCTATTGCACAATACTTATTATATAATAACTTACACATCCTGTTTGGTGTGTATCTCCTACCATATCATTATTATTTGCTTTTAAATATTAATCAGTAATAACCAACTTAAAATGGAAAATTTTAAAAGAAAAAAAAAAGGAAAAACAGAAAAAAAAAGAAAAAAAAAAATCCCCCCCCAAATTTTTTGAACCCCCTTATGATTCATCACCCCCAAACTCAATCCCAGCCTTCCCTTTGTGGTATGGTACCTTGCAGTACAATTTCAGAGAGATCCATACACTTGAACACAAGTTATTGTCTGGAAACTAGAAAAATGCTTATTTTTGGCCCCTTTTTGGCCCCCAATTCCTTAACGTTTCGGGCAATTACCCCCAAACTCAATTCCAGCTTTCCCTTTGTGATATGGAACCTTGTAGTACAATTTCAGAAATATCCAAACACTTACACACAAGTTATTGTCATGAAACTAGAAAAATGCTTGTTTTTTGCCCCTTTTTTGGCCCTTAATTCCTAAAATTTTGAGACAATTACCCCCAAAATCAATCCCAGCATTCCTTTTGTGATATGGAACCTTGTGGTACAATGTCAGAGAGATCCATACACTAACACACAAGTTATGTCTGGAAGTTACAAAAATGCTTATTTTTGGCCCCTAATTCCTTAACTGTTAGTACCATAACCCCCAAAATCAATCCCAACCTTCCTTTTGTGGTATTGAACCTTGTGGTAAATTTTCATAGAGATCCATTCACTTAAACTAAAGTTAGAGTGCGAAAACCAATGTGTCTTCGGACGACACCGGACGACGCCAGACGACGACGCCAACGTCATACCAATATACGACCAAAAAATTTTAAATTTTTGCGGTCGTATAAAAAAAAACCCAGGAAAACTAAAGAATAGGGACAACAAAGAGAAAACAGGGTTTCGAACCTAATCCGACAAGTCCCTACCTTTAACTCATTGATCTTAACCATCCTAACCTCGCGGCTACCAACTTATACTATACGATTTCCTGTTATGTATATATATAAAGATACAAGCCCAGTGTGTCCGTTGTACCGATGTGTATCCTATGTTCATTTATATATATAAAATAGACATCTAAATTACAACCCATTGGTAGCTGAGAGGTTTCGTGGATGTGTTGATGTCAGTCACACATAACAGATTTCGAGTAAGGGTTCGATTCCCAGTGAAGGCATATAAAAATTACAAAAATCAAAGGTAAGTTTTTAAATTAATTTCATAAGTGAACAAAAATCAGTAAATTATCCAATCCTAACTTAATGAAATTAGGCACACAAAGGAAACAATTGAATATAATTTGGTGAGTCCATTTCAGCGACAGATCTAGGAAGCGTTGATTCTAGAAAAAGAATCCACGGCAAATGAATAGGCTGATGTCACGACAATGGTTTAAACAAATTATATACCTACTTTTCCCAGCCTGACATAACCATACCCTACGCCGGTTTTGAATTTCGTTCAACCCGGCCAAAAATTTGAAAAGCACTGGTTGAACTGTTTGTAAGTTATTACACAGAAATAGATGTAGCTTTCCGGCCAACCACCCTATCACTGTACTACCCGTTATCAATAAACAGATTTCTGTCAGAAAACCATGGTTAAAAATCATTTTAATAGTTACTAATTGAATATTATTTTAATAATAATTGAATTTTTAAATTTAAATTTTATAATTATATGCCAAAATAACCAAATCTAGAACAGCAGTCACAGCAGAAAAGCATGTGCTTGTGAGCACTGAAGGGTAAAGATTGCATTTATTTTGCAGTGGAAACTATAGTTATAAGGATACACATCAGTTTGTAACTTGAATATCTGAGTATATATTTCATTGATAAATGATAGGTAGGATGTATACATATACTAGAGAGTGTTGTGCTCAATGCATTATGTTTTGAGTATATTATAAATAAGTAGTGAAAAAACCTGGAAAATTGATAACTATCATGCCAACTACATAAGGGTTTTGATTGCATGAATGCAATCTTTACCCCCAAAAACATATGTACAAGAGATTTTCATGTTTCCAAATCAGAGGAACAGGTGATTATGTAATAAAGTAAACCAGGATGTTAAAAAAAAATTTTCTATACCTCATTATTGAAGACAAGTTAACAGCTTATATCTGCAGGTAAGTTAATACAGTTTTGTATTAGGATAAAACAATGATTATGGCCTTGATTCTCATATAAAACTACACACAGATATTTCTTTATTTACTCAGTATAAAATCAGTAATATTTCATGATAATTATATAATAATTTCTGTACAATTCTGCTTAATAAAGTATATTTACAGAACAAAAATAAACATTGTACTCTAATAATGAAATATTTATCTCAGCAAACACTACATCATAACAAAGTTGTAGACTAGTTTATCACAGCTTTCCTGTTGGTTTGAATACAACACCCCTTCGCAGAAGCTCAGTTAATATCCTGCCTATATTTTTACAGTCATCTGAAAGAAAAAGGTGATGAAGTTAAAATATTTTAACTATAAATTTACCATTTACTTTGAAAAAATATTCAATCAAAATTTTCTTAAATATGCCTTCACAATTTGTGAAAAGTGAGTCATAAACATATGTTTCAACACTGCAGTCCCCACCCTAACCCTTATATTCATATTAACATAAGAACTTTTAATGAAAAAAATGAGGTGAAGGTGATTTTGTTCTGGATGCTGAAGTATAGGTCAATTCACAATTATATGCTTTTTTTTTCATTTTAAGTACATGTAACATGTACCTGATAAGTTCACTGGTGCCAAACTTCAACCATAATTGGAAGACTACCAATTTTATACATGCTGAAATGTCTCGCCTGTTTAACTGACCATTGATTTCATGTTGAAAGTCTTAAGAAGCATAAAAGTTTTATAACAAGTATCACATTAACTTATCATTTTTAGAGATCCATGACAGTGAGGTCTAGATCAGATAAATCCTGTAAGACAGACATGTACACCTTACAATTATTCCATGCACCAAATATGGTTGACCTATTGCTTATAGTAATTGAAAAACAGACCAAAACACAAAAACTTAACATTGACCAACAAACCATGCAAATGAGATCAAGGTCAGATTATACCTGCCAGACAGACATGTACACCTAACAATCATTCCATACACCAAATGTAGTTTACCTACTGCCCATAGTATTTGAAAAACAGACCAAAAGACAAAACATAACACTGACCAATGAACCATGAAAATGAGGTCAAGGTGAGATGACACCTGCCAGACAATCATGTACACCTTACAACCATTCCATACACCAAATATAGCTTACCTATTGCTATTAGTATTTGAAATACAGACCAAAACACAATAAAATCTTCCGCTGGGTGCAGCTTTATACGACCGCAGAGGTTGAACCCTGAACAGTTGGGGCAAGTAGGGACACTACATTCAAGCTTGATACAGCTCTGAATTTGGATTGTGATTAATTATTGACACAGCATAGGTTTCTGACACATATTGAATGTGGTCAAAGAACTCAAAAAATGAAATTGGATTTTACCTATTATGGTCCAATATCCAAAATCTAAATACACTGTTAAATTCAGCATATCCAAGTACACCAAAGTTTTTAAAGAAATTCACTTCATCAAATAAACATATATATATATAGCATTCTGAAAATTAATTTATACAGAATAACAAACAAATCTACCATGAATATCTTCAAACAATTTACAACAAAAATGAAAAAAATCAATTTCCAAAATATCCTTCATCATTAATACAATGTCTTTAAAAAATCTTTAACTTACCTTTCATGAGTTTCATCATTTTCAAAATATTTAATAATGAACAGTAAATTTCAAACTATATACATGATTTTTTCTCTAAAATTAGCTTTGATGCTGTATCTATTTTTAAATATGAATCTACTTACAATTTCTATTGATTGTGCAATACAGCCATGAATTTGGATTGTGATTAAATATTGGACATACCATAAGTTTCTGATACAGAATGAATGTCTTAAAAATTGGAAATTTGACATTTACCTATCATGGTCCAATATCCAAAATCTAAATACAAGGTTAGATTCAGCATATCAAAGAACCCCAAGAATTAATTTTTTGTTGAAATAAAACAAAACTTAATTTTGGACCCTTTAGACCTCAATGTGGACCAATTTAAAATCAGGGCCCAAAATAAAAAATCTAAATACACGTTTTGGCATAACCCCCGAAATTAATCATAACCTTCCTTTTTTGGTATGGAACCTTGAGGTACAACTTCATAGAGATCCATAAACTTATACTAAAGTTATTGTCCGGAAACATGAAAATCCTAGTTTTTTTGGTCCCTAATTCCTATACAATTTGGGCAATAACCCCAAAAATTAACCCCAACCTTCCTTTTGTTGTATGGAACTTTGTGGTACAATTTCATAGAGATCCATTCACCTTTACTCAAGTTATTGTCTGGAAACCAAATGTCTTTGGACGAAGACGACGACGACGATGCTGGCATTGCAAGGACCCATACCAAATATAGTTATCCTATTACTCATAATAAGTGAGAAATTCACATGACAAATAAATGGGGAATGTGTCCATGGGACACAGATGATGCCCCCGCTTGCATATAAAGTTATAAAGGGACATAACTCAAGAACTGTAAAAGTGACACTACCCAAATTTGTACTTGATCTGAGTTTTGTGGTAATAAGCATTGTTTATAAGTTTCAAAACATTTAGTTGAGGCAAACTTAAGTTAGGGAACGGAAACGAAAAAATTCAGCAATTTTTCCATTTGTAAAGAGGCATAACTCTAGAACAATAAAAGTGAAGCTACCAAAATTCAAACTTGATCTGTGTTTTGTGGTAATAAGCATTTTTGATAAGTTTCATAACATTTAGTGGAGGCAAACTTAAGTTAGAGATCGGAAACGAAAAAAAAAATCAGCAATTTTTCCATTGTAAAGGGGCATAACTCAAGAACGGTAAAAGTGATGCTACCAAAATTCAAACTTGATCTGTGTTTTGTGGTAATAAGCATTTTTGATAAGTTTCATAACATTTAGTGGAGGCAAACTTAAGTTAGAGAACGGAAACGAAAAAAATTCAGCAATTTTTCCATTATAAAGGGGCATAACTCAAGAACGGTAAAAGTGACACCACCAAAATTCGAACTTGATCTGTGTTTTGTGGAAATTAGCATTGTGCATAAGTTTCATAACATTTGATTGAGGCAAACTAAAGTTAGAGAACGGAAAGAAATATTTCAGCAATTTTTCCATTTGTAAAGGGGCATAACTCTAGAACGGTAAAAGTGACGCCACCAAAATTCAAACTTGATCTGTGTTTTGTGGTAATAAGCATTTTATATAAGTTTCATAATATTTGGTTGAGGCAAACTAAAGTTAGAGAAAGGAAACCAATTTTGGGACGTACGTACGGACGTACAGACGGACAAGGGTAAAACTTAATGCCCCCTCCACTATGGAGCATGAAAATGAGGTCAAGGACAAAGGACATATGACCAAGGGAAACTTCGTAACATAAGGTATCTGAATACAAGGTATGAAGCATCCAGGTCTACTACCTTCTGAAATATTAAGCTTTATACAAATAGTTTACAAAACCGATGCAGCCGGATAGTAATCCTTTTTGTCTAGCATTCTGCTACTTTCATCACAGGTGAGACAAAAAAGCAGTTCAAGATGGCTTATTTTTACTTTCATGCATATACCTTAGCAAAACACCTGCTATGCTGTGGTCCCTAAATGTGAACCCAGGTATTATATGGTCATAAAAGCACAAAAATCATTGAGTAGTAAGGGCAATGATAGGTCAAATAAAGTCGAAATGGAGTGAGATGTTTCCTGAGGACTATTGCATTATGAGCTAGCATTTAAAAAAAACACCATTTGGTCATATTTATATCAAATTAACAAGCTCAGATCCTGCATATTGTTGAACAAGAGAGTACATACTGAGTGTCTGGCCTGCTTTACTTATCAGGATTGAATTTATGTTAAAAGTTCAAGGTCAGATGAACCCCACCAGACAGACATGCACATCATACAATCATTCTGTGCACCAAAAATACTATTGCTTATAGTATCTGTGAAACAGACATAACTAGGAAAACTTAGCATTAATCAATGAACCATGAAAATGAGTTCAAGGTCAGATAATCCCTGCCAGATAGACATGTACCCATACACCAAATATAGTTGACTTATCAATTACAGTCTCTGAGAAACAGATTGCACCATAAAAACTTAGTATTGACCAATGATTCATGAAAACGATATCAAGATCAAACCTGTGAGACGGACAAGTTATGATGTACAATCATTCCATACACCAAGTATAGTTGACCTAGATACGACCGCAGAGGTTGAACCCTGAACAGTTGGGGCAAGTATGGACACAACATTCAAGCTTGATACAGCACTGAATTTGGATTGTGATTAAATATTTGACACAGCACAGGTTTCTGACACAGAATGAATGTGGTCTAAGAACTTAAAAATTTTAATTTACCTATTCAAACCATATCATTATTATTTGCTTTTATATATAAATCAGAAATAACCAATTTAAAATGGAAAATTTTAAAGAAAAAAAAATCCCCCCCCAAATTTTTTGAACCCCCTTATGATTCATCACCCCCAATCTCAATCCCAGCCTTCCCTTTGTGGTATGGTACCTTGCAGTACAATTTCAGAGAGATCCATACACTTGAACACAAGTTATTGTCTGGAAACTAGAAAAATGCTTGTTTTTTTGCCCCTTTATGGCCCCAAATTCCTAAACGTTTAGGGCAATTACCCCCAAACTCAAACCCAGCTTTCCCTTTGTGATATGGAACCTTGTAGTACAATTTCATAAAGATCCATACACTTACACACAAGTTATTGTCCTGAAACTAGAAAAAAGGCTTGTCTTTGGCCCCCTTTTTGGCCCATAATTCCTAAAATTTTGAAGCAATTACCCCCAAAATCAACCCCAGCCTTCCCTTTGTGGTATGGTACCTTGCAGTACAATTTCAAAGAGATCCATACACTTGAACAGTAGTTATTGTCTGGAAACTAGAAAAATGCTTCTTTTTGGCCCCTTATTCCTAAACGTTTTGGGCAATTACCCCCAAACTCAATTCCAGATTTCCCTTTGTGATATGGAACCTTGTAGTACAATTTCAGAAAGATCCATACACTTACACACAAGTTATTGTCATGAAACTAGAAAAATGCTTGTTTTTTGCCCCTAATTCCTAATATTTTGAGGCAATTACCCCCAAAATCAATCCCAGCATTCCCTGTGTGATATGGAACCTTGTGGTACAATGTCAGAGAGATCCATACACTAACACACAAGTTATGTCTGGAAGTTACAAAAATGCTTATTTTGGCCCCTAATTCCTTAACTGTTGGTACCATAACCCCCAAAATCAATCCCAACCTTCTTTTTGTGGTATTGAACCTTATGGTAAAATTTCATAGAGATCCATACACTTAAACTAAAGTTAGAGTGTGAAAACCAATGTGTCTTCGGATGATGACGACGACGACGCCAACGTCATACCAATATACGACCGCAAAAATTTTTTGCGGTCAAATTTTTTGCGGTCGTATAAAAAGTAATACAACTAACTTAGAACCCCCAAAAATTAAAGACTTTAAATTAATCCCATTGAAATTGGTTATAAAGTATTTGTATTTATTTTCAATTGAAGATTTCTTGCTATTGTGCAATACTGTGCTATTGCACAATACTGTGCAATTGCTGATTTCTTGCTATTGTGCAATACTGCGCTATTGCGCATGACTATGCAATTGAAGATTTCTTGCTATTGTGCAATACTGTGCAATTGAAGATTTCTTGCTATTGCACAATACTGTGTTGGTGTGCAATACTGTGCTATTGCGCTATACTGTGAAATTGAAGATTTCTTGCTATTGCACAATACTGTGCAATTGAAGATTTCTTGCTATTGCGCAATACTGTGCTATTGCACATTACTGTTCAATTGAAGATTTCTTGCTATAAAGCAATAGTGTGCAATTGAAGATTTCTTGCTATTGTGCAATACTGAGTTGTTGTGCAATACTGTGCAATTGAAGATTTCTTGGTATTGCGCAATACTGTGCAATTGAAGATTTCTTGCTATTGCCCAATACTGTGCTATTGTACAATACTGTGCTATTGCGCAAAACTGTGCAATTGAAGATTTCTTGCTATTGAGCACTACTCTCCTTTTTTAACACTGTGCTGTTGTGCAATACTGTGCAATTGAAGATTTCAAAAATTTTGAAGAAAAAAAAATATGAATCCACAAAAAAAATTGGAAAAAAAAAATCCTCCCATCATTTTTTGAACCCCCCTTGGAGTAATTACCCCCAAACTCAATCTAATCTTTCCCTTTGTGGTATGGAACCTTGTAGTACAATTTTAGAGATTTCTATACACTTAATTAAACACAAGTTATTGTCTGGAAACTAGAAAAAATGCTTGTTTTTGGCCCCTTTTTTGCCCCTAATTCCTTAACTGTTGGTACCATAACCCCCAAATTCAATCCCAGCCTTCCCATTGTGATATTGAACCTGGTGGTACAATTTCAGAGAGATCCATGCACTAAAACTAAAGTTATTGTCCGGAAACCAAAATTTGTCTTAAGATGACAACAACGACGACATCAACACAAAACTTTATTTGATGTCGTATAAAAATAAGGAGATGTGGTATGATTGCCAATGAGACAACTATCCACCAAAGTTCAAATAAAGTGGATGTAAGCAATTATAGGCAACCGTACGGCCTTCAACAATGAGAAAAACCCATACCGTATAGTAGATATACCAATATCAAATGACAACACTAACCAAAACCATCATCCTTCATAAAGGCTACATCTGATTTATTCTTATATACTCACCTATACCACTGTGATGTCTGCCTTCATGAGTCAAATCTAATTTTTTTAACATTGGCATCATTCCTTTCGGATACTCATTTGTATGGTGTGAAAATGGCTGTAAACAAAAATGAAATGATTTCACTAAATAACCATTTGGATTTATATATCTTTAGGCAATGTTTAAGAACAAACCCTTCACTGAACATTGTTTTTAAAATGGTGCCTTTTATTATTTCTATAGAAACTATTAATCCATACACAACATAGGTATAATATAAGATCACCTTTTACTTTCCTACATTTTATCTGTAAATTCATTGAAAATAAAATATTGCATGATACTACATGTTGGTGTATAACTATTACCGTAACTAATAACTTTTTTAAACATAAGTAGAAAAGCTTTCAGAATTTAAGAGACTCACACCCCCACATTGTCACCGGGCAAACAAAATCTCAAAGTTTGAAGACTCATAACCCCTAAAAAATTCAACTGATAAAAATTTCTTGTGGATATGCACATCTACATATTATGTCCTCAGTAACTACAAAGTTTCATGAAATTCTGTTGTGCGGTTCAGAGGAGTTGCGAAGACAAACTGTTACAGCAGTTCAGGCCAGAATTCTAAGTTCAAAGGGCATTACTCCTAGAAAAAAAATTGAATCATAATTTCCTGTCAATATGCACATCTACATAGTATTTCCTTACTACCTACAAAGTTTCATGAAATTCTGTTGTGTGGTCACAGAGAAGTTGCGATGACAAGAACAGGACTGAGGGACTGAAGGACGGACGGATGGATGGACGGGTCAAAAACAATATACCCTATGCAACTTCATTGCGTGGGGTATGAAAATGTGAATATCAGCCAAGCCTTGATGACACAATTTGACTGTGACGTCATCAGCAAGATTTATCATATTTAAGCTATATTACATAAAGAATTTTTTCCACTGAATAGATAAACACAAAATATGCTTACTGTTTAAATATCTTTTTGGGTGACAGTTGAACTCTATATCATTTCTAAGGATGTACAAGTCAAATTGTCTAGATTGGAGTAATTTCACCATTTTACTGAATTTAATGTAATTTTATGACTGTTTAGCCCATGAAAAATGAATATTCATAAACTGTTAACACAGAGATATGTCTCGCCTATTTGTTTTTTTGATAATGCAAATGTTGAAATTAAAATAGCAATACTTTAACATGTAAGTTATGCAAATATTCAAAGTCAATGAACCATGACTGAAAGTACAGGGCTAAACAATCTCCATGGAAATGAGATGTGTCAATGCTAATACAACTGCAAACCAAATACCATTGACTTTTCCCTTTTCCCTTAGCTTTAAACAAACCTAAACACAAACATTAACTTGTAAACTATGTAAAAGTTTCAAAGTCAATGAACCATAATTAGGGGGTGGGGTTATATAATCTCCATGGAAATGAAACTTGCAAATGCCAATACATTTGCATACCGAATATCATTGACTTAACATTAGTGGTTCATCTTAAACTGACCTAATCACAAACTTATACATGTAAACTAAGCAAAAGTTTCAAAGTCAATAGACCATGACTGAGGGGTAAGGACCAAATATTCTCCATGGAAATGAGATGTGCTAATGCTTATACAACTGCATACCAATTATCATTGACCTACCACTAATGGTTCCCCTTAAACTGACCTAATCACAAACTAATACATGAAAACTAAGCAAAAGTTTCAAAGTCAATAGACCATGAATGAGGGGGCGGGGCCAAATAATCTCCATGGAAATGAGATATGCCAATGCGTATACAACTGCATACCAAATATCATTGACCTACCACGAGTGGTTCCCCTAAAACTGACCTAATCACAAACTAATACATGTAAACTAAGCAAAGTTTCAAAGTCAATAGACCTTGACTGAGTGGGCGGGGCCAAATAATCTCCATGGAAATGAGATATGCCAATGCTGATACAACTGCATACCAAATATCATTGACCTACCACTAGTGGTTCCCCATAAACTGACCTAATCACAAACTAATACATGTAAACTAAGCAAAGTTTCAAAGTCAATAGACCTTGCCTGAGGGGGCGGGGCCAAATAATCTCCATGGTAATGAGATGTGCCAATGCTAATACAACTGCATACCAAATATCATTGACCTACCACTAGTGGTTCACCATGAACTAGACCTAATCACAAACTAATACATTGTTGACGCCGATGCCGGAAACAGCATACCTATGTCTCTCTTTTTGAATCCGTCAAGGCGAGACAAAAACCAACCCTGTAATTTTTTATTAAAATTCATAGATTTAACATTTGATTCTGAAAATTAGAGAAAGTTTGAAATAATTATTTTCATGGTAAATTTACCGAATATGATACCTTCTCTTTCTATTTTCAATAGTAGTGGCAGTTAAGTTTTCAAGCAAATTGAGTCATCAAACCATTATTATAAGAGAGAATTATAATGATATTATATAAATCAAAGTTTAATAGCAATTGTTTCTTTGCATAATTTTTCATAATTCCAACTTTGTGTCAAATTTTCTGTTTTTAGTAATTGTAGGGCCATGTTTGGTTACAGTTTGGGTCATTGGCCTTAAGTGCCAATCTGCCTAAGAATCAGGCAGTGGTGAAAACATGAAAAACAAAAACCCTTCCAAGTTGACATTATATTATGTTAAAATTGTATAACGGTGCATGAATATAACATTTGTTTCCTTTTCCTGTTCTGGTAACTCAAGATATAATTTGGTTGAAATGCACTAGAAATTAACAATTAAGGGGAGCTAACTCCGTAATTTGCTATCATTCTAACCAAAAGTTATTTAGAGATTTCTCGAATTACCAGACACGCAGAATCAAAAGACCTTCTATTTCTAACTCAGGATGAGATTAACTTCAAAATAGGATGGTTAGGTAGGTGGGTTTTTTTCGGCCATGTTTTGAAATTTTTCTTAATTGCCTGATTCTTACAAAGACTGGCACTTAATCCCTACAGATTATCATAGGTGCATCATTTCTACAACTGAACCTTCAAAGGACTTTCTATGATTTCTTTTAATTGCATTTTTTTGTGGTTTTTATCCTTATATTATAATTTTTTTAAATATGAGTGTTATATTTTTAGTTGTGGTAAGTCACAAAGTTGATTTGTCACAAATTTTGTTACAGACTTCTTATGGATAATTCATATGAAGTTTTAAATGCACTTGTTGATTTCAGTGGGAAAGATGAGTGAAAAAGTTTTGATGACGATGAGTGACATACAAAGGATAAGTTAAGGTTAAGGTAATAGCTCACATGGACCTGTAAGCTATGCCCTGTCAGAGTTAAACTTGTACAGTAAAAACATATGTGCTGGTACAGGCTATTCTATTCAAACATTATTGGATCACACAGAAGGCATCTCATCCACAACACAAATTTCAGTCTAACAGAAGATGTAGGTGCCATGCATACATGTACTTTCTAATGTTTAAATGTGACTGCCATTGCTGGTTTTTATAAACCTACTAAAAGACTATGATTTTGTGGCTTCGAGCATTTATCAATCTTCAAATCAATAAACGTAACAACCCCTTCTGTCTTCAAAAAGTTCCATTCCTAATGGAGTTTCATTGAGAGGAGTTTGTATAAATAAAATTTACCTTTTTAATATTAATCCATTTGTTAAAATATGGCGCTCTGTTTATACCAAAATATCTAAGTTGTGAGGTTAACCTGTAAAAGAAAAAGAAAATTTATCTACACACATTATATGGCCATTCAGTCTCAACCTTCTTCTTCTCATGCCTACTCATGCTTAAGGGGAGACAATACAGTTTTGCCTTCTATTGTTATTTGTGATTTTGAGATATGCTGTCGAAATATTTATTAGAAAAATCCTAACATACAACACAGGTTTCTGTACTTGTTTCAGAGGAAAATAAGGCTAATAATTGACAACTTTTGTAATTTCATTTAAATCTTCTAATATTGTTTTTATTTTATTTTCAAAAGTTGAGTGAAATTTTGCAATAGATGTCAAAACATGTAAAAGTTGTTTTTGTGCTTTGTATCAATCAGGTGAGTTAAGCTCTTTTCAATTGATTTTTATAGTTTATTCTTATGTTGTGCTGTTACACCACTGTCCTCTGTAAGGGGGAGGGTTGAGTGCCTGCAAACATGTTTAATCCTGCCACACTCTTTATATGCCTGTCTATATTTCATATATGTTTTTGGTTTATTGTTTTGTACATAAACGAGGCTGTTGGTTTTCTCTTTGAATTGTTTTATATTTGTCCTTTCAAGCAAACAACCTTATGTCATCACTATATCATAGTCCTAAACATACATGAAATATTTGCCACTGGATGTTTAGCAACCAACAATTTATAATTCATCGCTATATCATGTCAAACCTGAGAAGGTAACATGGAAACGAATTACAAACTAATATGATTGTCAATGAAATATGGAAGTTATACTATTATACTAGCAAACAACCTTATGTCATCACTATATCATAGTCCTAAACATACATGAAATATTTGCAACTGGACATTAAGCAACCAACAATCGATAATTCATCGCTATGTTAAACCAAAGAATGTAACGTCGATGAACTATGGAAGTTATACTATTATACTAGCAAACTACCTTATGTCATCACTATATCATAGTCCTTAACATACATGAAATAATACATGGAAATGAATTTACTTTTAATGAAAACGCATATAAACAAATCGTTGGTGTTTCAATGGGCGGAGTTGCTTCCCCGGAAATATCTGATATTGCTAAATTTGACCATATAAATAATATTATAGAACAATATCCATACAAAGATAATATTAAATTTCATAAACGAATGAGAGATGATGGCTTTATTATATTTAATGGAAGTAGTGAGCAAATTAAACAACTTTTTGAAATAGCAAATAAGAAACATAACCTGCTGAAATTCACTTTTGAAATAAATACTCTTACTATGAAATTCTTAGATGTTGTATTACCGACCGTGCAAGGGCTGTATAGCCAGTCAAGGTCGTTAAAAACTTCCATTTGTTGATGTTGTATTGTATAAAGGAAAACGGTTCTCTGAATCTGGAATACTAGATGTAAACTGTTACACCAAACACTCTGAAAATTTCAGTATTTACATAGGAGCTCGAGCCATGCTATAATCTGTTTCTATTCTTTTATTTAAGGAGAAGGGACTAGAAGTCTTAGAAATACAAGCAGTTAGGACGAATTTAATAAACGTATTAAACTGTTTATAGATAAATTATCTAGACAGGGATACACGAAAGAAGTCGTCAGTCAAATATTGCATAAAATTCGTCACAAAGACAGGCAGTTAAAACTTTGAAAGAAACAATATAATAAAATAACAGGCAGAAATATGTTCATTACAACGTATCATTATAATGCTGAATATCTTAAAAAGATTATAACAAAGTTCTGGTATATAATTCGGAAAGATCCGATTGCCAAACAAATATTTAAATCTAAACTAGATATGGGTTTCAAAAACAATAAGAATATTAGCGACATGATAATTAATCATTAAGTCGAAGAACACCTCCACAGGAGGCTTTATAATATAGTTTATACTGTGAAACAGATGTAAGAAAGACATGATACCGATTTATTTCAATAGATCACATATCTGAGATAACTGACGGTTTCTTATACATCCATGTTTCTACCCGGCAGGGTACCTACACAAACTTCTTCAAATGCAAAACATGGAGACTTTTGTACATTATCATATAGATGATAAAACAAACACGCCAGTATACCCTGAACTCAACAATATAACATTGATAAATACTATCTCTACTAGATCCCATGTAGACTTATGTTGAATTAATTAGTGATAAAAATAAAGACAATAAGTCTTTTCATTATATATATATGAATAATTAAACAATAGTGTTGATCAACTTGGTCAGTTTCTTCAGTCTTTAAAAAGACTAGCTACAACTTAGACCTATATGCACTTGTAGTTATAAATTAAAAAAAAACTGTTATGAAACAGACACACATCTATCTACTATACTAGATACGAAATAAATACATAAAGGTCGGCCTCTGATGAGGGTTTACCTGGGAACATTCCCGAAAGAACCCGAAACATTACATATTAAATTCTAAAGAATTAAGCAATAAAAAGTACGTAGTGTCAGGTCAGAAATATTGATGCCATACCATGAATAAGTGGGTTTATGGTCATTTTATAAAACAGCTTACTATGCTGTATGGGTTTTACTCAATTTGTATGTTGACCTATAGTTGCTAACTTCTACGTAATTTAGTCTCTGGTTGAGAATTGTTTCTTTGGCAATCACACCACATCTTATTTCTAAATTGGCTAATTGTTCCTCATAATTTGTGGAAAGTTTCAGGTCAAAGAACAGTAAAAAAGCCTTGTCACAGATTTTTTATGATTTTGCATACAACCTGCAAAATGTTGAAATTGAACTAAAAATTGAAAAATAATTCATTTAACTATTATACTTGCTAAATATCGTTGAATGGAAATCCTGTAAAATGGTAAACATTTGTATAGAATGTGCGTAAAATTTATGAAAATTTTTCTAAAAATCTCTTTAGAAACTCCTTTCTCAACACCCATTTAATTTTTCTTAAAAATCAACATGTGGTTGCCAGATAAATTTTGTTTTTAATGGTGTAAATCATCATAAGGTCAGCAACTTTGTTTTTTGGATATGCATTAGTCAAAATAGTGTTCTTGGTGAAAAAATACCAAATAAATGGGGAATGTGTCCATGAGACACAGATGATGCCCCCGCTTGCAAATAATGTTATAAAGGAACATGACTCAAGAACAGTAAAAGTGACGCTACCCAAATTTGTACTTGATCTGAGCTTTGTGGTAATAAGCATTGTGTATAAGTTTCATAACATTTGGTAGAGGCAAACATAAGATAGTGAACGGAAACAAAAAATTCAGCAATTTTTTCATTTGTAAAGGGGCATAACTCTAGAACGGTAGAAGTGACACTAACAAAATTTAAACTTGGTCTGTGTTTTGTGGTAATAAGCATTGTGCATAAGTTTCAAAACATTTGGTTGAGGAGAACTAAAGTTAGAGAACGGAAACGAAAAATTCAGCAATTTTTCCATTTGTAAAGGGGCATAACTCTAGAACGGTAAAAGTGACGCCACCAGAATTCAAACTTGAACTGTGTTTTGTGGTAATAAGCATTGTGTATAAGATTCATAATATTTGGTTGAGGCAAACTAAAGTTAGAGAATGGAAACCAATTTTGGGATGTACAGACATACAGACCGACAAGGGTAAAACTTAATGCCCCCTCCACTATGGCAGGGGCATAAAAACATTGAAATATGTGTAAGGTTATTGCGCTGTAAAGCTATAAAAGACTGTTTTTAAATGTGTTTTTTTTGGTACCAATATAATAACAGAATGGTAAATACATCAAAAAGAAAGTCAGTGACAGTATGATTAATTAATATTAATCAAAAGGAACAACATATTTATTTTTAAGATGGATTGGTTTTTGAGATTTGATGATTTTAAGATAATTTTAAGAACATTTTCAACTTTTTTTTTTTAGCAATCTATACAAATATATTCTTATTTATAAGAAATCATTCAATCATATTTCAGAACATAAAATAGATAAATACAATATTTTGTTAATTTAAGTTCAAGTTTAACATGCTGAATTTGTTTGTTAAAACTTATAAAATTAAATGAAGAATGTGTCCATGGGACACAGATTCAAGAACTCTAAAAGTGACGCAACCCAATTTCAAACTTGATCTGTGTTTGGTGGTAATAAGCATTGTGTGTAAGTTTCATAACATTTGGTAGAAGCAAACTTAAGTTAGATTGCTGAGACAGCAAATTTAGCAATTCTTCCATTTATAAAGGGACATAACTAAAGAATGTGGAAAGTGATGCCACCCAAATTCAAAAGAGATCTGAGTTTGGTGGTAATAAGCATTGTGTATAAGTTTCATAATATTTGGTTGAGGCAAAATAAATTTAGATTGTGGAAACTGCAAATTTGCCAATTTTTCCATCTATAAAGTTACATAACTTGAGAACGGTGAAAGTGACGCCATCCAAATTTAAACTTGATCTGTCTTTGGTGGTAATAAGCATTGTGTATAAGTTTCATAACATTTGGTAGAGGCAAATTTAAGATAAATAATTTAGCAATTTTTCCATTTATAAAGGGACATAAATCAAGAATGGTGAAAGTGACACTACCCAAATTAAAACTAGATCTAAGAATGGTGAAAGTGACACTACCCAAATAAAACTAGATCTAAGTTTGGTGGTATTTAGCATTGTTTATAAGTTTCATAACATTTAGTTGAGGGAAACTAAAGTTAGAGAGGGGAAACCTCAAATTTGCCAATTTTTCCATTTATAAAGAGACATAACTCGAGAACGGTGAAAGAGATGGCACCCAACTTCAAACTTGATCTGTGTTTGGTGGTAATAAGCATTGTGTATAAGTTTCATAATATTTGGTTGAGGCTAACTAAAAGAAGAGAATGTAAACTAATTTTGGGATGTACAGATGGACAGACAGACATACAGACATACAGACGTACAGAGGGACAAGGGTAAAACTTAATGCCCCCTCTACCATGGCAGAGGCATAAAAAATGTGACATGGCTCTTTTACTGTAACTCAACCTTAACAATGTTACCTGCCAAATCCCAAATGCATACCACAAATATGCAAAAGTTCTGACAAAAAGAAATATTCGTTTATTTCTGTTGCATTGAAAAGTGATAAAAACAATTCTTTTATTTGATATTAGTCCTGTGAATAGAATCTGTTATTAAGTCATCAGAAATAAAACTAGCAACTCACCATTAACCCAAAATGTACTGTATCCAAAAGTTTTATGACAAATTTTATAGACATCACCTAGACCAGAAATAAGTATGTCTGACTTGAATCCATCCTCTGAGAAATATTCTCATTTATCACTCTAAAAATATCTATTATCTACATGTTTCCTTTCAAACTTTAAATGGGCCTTGGTGGCAGAATGGTGTAAGTAGTTCATCTAAAGTGATCACTAGCAAGCCAACATGGGTTGAACTCATATTTTAGTTAACTAGGTTAACTAGTTTTCCTGTCAAAGGTTGTGATTCTCTCCTGGGACTCCAGCTTCCTTCACCAATAAAAACTGACTGCCATGAAATAACCAAGAGTGCTGAAAATGGCTTTAAACACCAACAATTAATCAATCACTCAATCCAACTATTAATTTTTCCTTCTTCTAATTATGCCCTGCTATTCTACAAATTTATAAGAAACTTTGGTCCCTTTTCCGACCCAGTGATATTTGATATTAGCTTAAGCAACCTAAGAAATAAAGTTTTTAACTTACATTGTTTTTAGATCCCAGTCCCCACATGTTACAAAAATAAATTTGTTTTCTGGATTCAACAAATCATTTTCCACCAACCATGTATGAAATTTCTGAAATGAAATAAACCTATTTTATGTCTTGAGATGGTCAGTATTTCTTATTTAGGAACTATGTCCATGAATATTTGTTTTCATTAAATCATGATGTCATCAACGTGAAATAAATATGGGATATTTCTAACAATATGATAAGATGAGTTTAGTCTCATTTCAAAACATCTTTATTATCACATGGTATTGAGCTATATATATTCATGTAAATTGATGATCTGTTTATCGCTATTTTGCCTATGATATTGTTGATGTTTACATTGACAACGTCACATGGGCCTTAAGTTTCTGACAATAATTGTCTATCTCAAGAGAGTAGCATGATATGAATAAACTGCTTCGCTGAGCGCAGCTGGATACGCCCGCAGAAGTCCAACCCTGAACAGTTGGGGCAAAAATGGACACAATATTCAAGCTTGATACAGCTCTAAATTTGGATTGTAATTAAATATTTGACATATTATAGGTTTCTGAATAATTGAAGAACTTGAAATTGGTTATATGAATTGAATTTATATTCAATTAAAGATTTCTTGCTGTTGTGTAATACACTGTGCTGTTGCGCAATACTTAGTAAATCTGTTCTCAGGCTATAAACAAATAAAGTTCAATTAATTCTCAATGTCATATTAGAAATTTATGAAAATCAAAAGGGAGCTTACATCAATAGATATAAACAATTCACCAAAGTTTCATGAGAATTGCTGACAGCATTTTTGAGTTATTGTCCGAAAACTGGAAAATCCCCCTTTTTTTAATGAATAAAACCCCATAACTCAGAAACGTAAAATCTAAAATTTATAAAAAACGAAAGGGAGCTCACGTCAATAGATATAAACAATTCACCAAAGTTTTATGCAAATTGGTTAAATCGTTTTTGAGTTAATGTCCGACATGTTGACGACGGACGGACAGACGGACGGACGGACAGACGGACAGACGGACAGACGGACAACGGTATACCATAATACGTCCCGTAAACGGGCGTATAAAAATTATCACAAAAAGAGATCAAAGGAAAAACACACAAAATAGCAACAATTGGTATTATACAAAAATAATGCAAATCAGATATTATTTATTTGTGTTTTAACTCCACGATTATTTAAATGTGTGTGATAATAACTAGCGGTTAAATATGGATAAAATTTTTTTATTAAGTTTATTAGTATAAGCTGGAATCATTTAGAAAAAAACAGTGAATGTACTGTAAAACATGGTAACAAACTTATTTGCACAGCAGCTTTGATTTTACTGTGTATTTTGACCATTTTCTTTTCTAAATCTTAGGAAATATTTCGTAGATTTATGACACCTTATTTACAACACTTATAATCCATATTATATCCTGATATGTTCATAAAACACAACAACCAAAACAAATATAAACATGGAGGAACAAGAAAGTGTACAAACATTTATGTGGCATACAAACAAGGAATTATTGGAATCTGGAATAATTTTGAATTCTGGAAAATTGAAAATAAATGTTAATGAAAAATAAGCCAACTTTAGTAGGTTATGGTTCAAGTTTCTTTTACTGATATTTCAGTATGAACTAATGCATGCATGGCTAACCCCCCTTTATTGGGCTAGTTGTCATCATACATTTCTTATCAATTTTCCAGAATTCAAAATTATTCCAGATTCAAATAATTCCTTGTTGACATGATTTTTGGCTAACAAGCCCAAATTTGTGCTTCTCCTGTACATGCAGTATCAGGCTTTTCAAAACTTAAAACTGTGAACAAAGATTTACCTCTAACACTTCTTCAATATAAGGCTGGCCATCAACCATATCCTGTATTATGCCAGTCAACTGAAAATATTGAATAAAAAAGTCATTTATTAGTGTTATAGCAACCTTTTGATAGATAGACATGAAAACACAAGAGAGAAAATGTTTAAAGTCCCAAAACTTGGAAACTGGTTGACAAAGCATTCGACATACACAAAGGAATTTGGAGGAAAAGTAATGCCATGAACAAAGGCAATTCATTTATTAAGCAGTTTATGTAATTTACAAACAAAAACAGTGTTGTTTGGGGCTTAATCTGAGGGGGACAACAACATATTTGTCATGGAGGTAGTACAGGTGTTTTGCAACATTTAGGTATTTAAATATTGATGTAGCATGGGTATTCATTTGAACTAACTACAAAAAAAGGTTTCACCTTAATTTCTGAAGAAAAAAACAACGATATCTAAAAAAAACAATTTAGGAAATGGGGTTGAACCAAACCACATAAAATTACTTTTTGTTTGTTATTTTACTATGTAGAGAAGAAACTACAATCCATATTACACATACCCACGGCCCCATTGCAAAGGCAAAGAGATTATAGTGTTACTGCTGGTATTGTTTTTTTCTGTTTAGATTATTTTCATGAGCGAAAGCTTTCACCAATTTTAAAGAGGCTCCGATAAAAAATAAAGTAATTTTCCCATCAACAAGAATTAACATTGAATATTTATACAAATCCCCCTACTCAAAAAATGGTTTCTCATTTCATACTTTTCTGATTAAAAAACTCCTTGAAGTTTTGATAATTGGAAAGCTTTAACACATTTGAAGAAGATCTGACAAAATATAAAGGCACTATCCTTGCAACAACAGTGACAAACAGACAGACAGAGGGATGGACAGACGGTTGGACAGACAGACAGACAGATAAGTTGGGTCAAAAACAGTACATGTACATGTGTATATCCTATGAAAATAGACAAGTCAAAAAGGGTACAACATCACCAAAAAAATAAAATCATGAACAAATGTTAAATATTTTGGATAACTAATATCCTTTATTAGTAAGATGTCAAATGGTTCTTATCTTGACATGTGGTAGTCACACTGTAATGGTAATCTTGATCGTTATACAAATTATCATTAATCAATACGCTGGTAAATTTTTTTAATATTGATGTTTGGGAGGAGGAATAAATTCCTTAAAACTGTAAGAGTCCTGTACTGAAGCCTGAATCACTGGAAAAAAGTGATGGTAGGGACTCATTCTATGTTTTTTCATTAATGCCCTCTGGGGAAACTGTCCTTAACTTCCTTATCCAAAAACTTTCCCGGGCAAGTCTGTCGGCCCTTGACCAACCCTAGTTGTGGTCTATGATAGTGATGGTAAGGTTTTTGAGATCAGCTTGAGTGTGCCCAAGTGATCTCAAATGACGACTTACGGGGAGGTCGGGCTTGCAGGTGTAGTCACTTCGATGACCGTTCATGCGTTTGTTGAATGGCTGTTCTGTCTCGCCAAAATAATGCATGCAACATAGACACTGAAGAAGGTATACAACATTCTGGGTTCTGCAAGTTACATTGCAATATATAATGTATACGGACCCAGTGGAGTTGCAAGTAAATGTTTGAGTGTTCAGTATTTGTTGGCAAGTCAGACATCGTCTGTTACCACACGACTTGCACCATCCTGCAGTTGAAGAGCTTTTATTAGAGGAGACATCAGCTCTCACAAATAAGTCTTTCAGACTTGCTGGTCTCCGAAAAGCTAAGGAGGTTTGGGAAAGATCTTAGATAATTTGGGATGTTTGGCAATAACCTGCCAACTGGCATGGATCAAACGGGAGAGGTTAGTAAAGGCAGGATTGTATGTTAAAACAAATGGAACTATTTCGCTTGCCTTTTCTGTTTGTACTGTAAAAGGTCATTGTGACTGTTATTGTTAGCACGCGCAAAACCCCTTATCTATGTCCCATTTCTTATAACCTCCTTTGGTAAAAAATCCGTGAAATTCTTGTAACCGTTTAGTGACAGCCTCCTCAGAGGAGCAAATCCGTTTTACTCTGAGAGCTTGACTGTACGGGATACTTTTTGTACAGTGTTTGGGGTGACAGCTTTAGGGAGAAAGGTGCTGATGTTTATCTGTAGGTTTACAGTAGAGGTCTGTTGATATGACACAGTCCTTTATAGATGTAGTTGTGTCCAAGAAAGATATTTTAGAGTCGGAAATTTCATATGTGAATTTAATTGACTGGATGACGTTGTTTGCATGTTTAATAAAATCAACCAGTTTTTGTTGTGATTCAATCCATTTCATGTCAACATCATCGATGAAACGGAACTAAGACAGAGGTTTAAATAAAGATGTTGAAATGATTTGTTTCTCTTATTTGCCCATGAAAATATTGGCGTAAGACAGTGCCATTTTCGTCCCCATCGCTGTCTTGTTTATCTGAAGGTAATGTTTCCTATGAAAATAGGTATATATAAACAGATTGACCAGGAAATGAATTGATGTAAGAGATGGTTTAAGGAATATATCATATGCAGTCACACACACAAATAAGACAATTAAATGATGATTAGATTTATAAGACAATGAAAACATAAAAGATTTGACTCATTTGTAGCTTATCCCAACTGTAGTCATGATTTCAAAAGCCATTCATTTTTTTGCCTCTATACTACTGAACTATAAGTTGACAGCTAGAAGTCTAAACTAAAAATTCATTGAAAATGCCAGATTTTCCATTTTACTCTGGGGTACAATGAATTAAATTTGATGATGTTAACTTGAAGCAATATGGGATACAGTAAAAGGAGCAGATCACAAAGCATCTTAATTTAAAGCAATGTTCTTATGTCATTGATAACAATAAAAATCATGAACTCACAGAAAATACACTAATGTGAATGTCATCAAAGTGGTTGTGATTTGATGATGTTAACTTGAAGCAATATGGGATACAGTAAAAGGAGCAGATCACAAAGCATCTTAATTTAAAGCAATGTTCTTATGTCATTGATAACAATAAAAATCAAGAACTCACAGAAAATACACTAATGTGAATGTCATCAAAGTGGTTGTGTGTTAATTTAAAAACAGTTGCAATATGAAGGGAACAGTGCATTCATTAAAGTAGATGAAATCTTTCACAAGGATATAAAGCTTGTCACAAAATTATCAGACCGAAACAAAATTTCGAACTTGATCTGTATACTTGTCATGATAAAACTATATACCAATTATCAATCAATATCTTCAAGCATGATGAAAAAAGTGTGGAAAACACTTTAACATTAGATATGATTAATATTTCTCTAAAATTGTCACAAACTAATATAGATTTGTAACTTATCTATAAAATGTCAACAATTTTTATCTACACAATGTAATGTAATACATTGTATATACATTAATAGATTATTATCTAATTAAAGGATTGCACTTCATAATTTTTTTCATATATATAGCATTCAGAAAATTAGTTTATACAAAATAACAAACAAACCTGCCAAAAAATTCTTCAAATAATTTACCAAAGAATGTCTTTTAAAAAATGAGTTACCTCCCTTTGTACAGAAATATGGTTTAACATAGTACTCTAACATTAGATATGGTCCAGCGTTATGGTCCATAACTCTGGACTAAATCATCGGACCGGAACAAAATTCGAACTTGATCTATAACTTGTCATGGCAAAACTATATACCAAATATCAAATCAATATCTTCAAGAACGAAGAAAAAAAGGGTGGAAAACTGATTTGCCGGACTGACGGATGGACAGACGGACGGACAGACGGACAGAGTGCAAACCTAAAGTCCCATTCAACTTTGTTGGTAGGGGACTAAAAAGATGAAAATCAAAATTTAACCTTCCAAGTTGGCCAAAACATTTCAAATAATTTCAAAAGGTGGCTCTCTATGTATCATCTTGAAACCAAAATAATGGCAGACAGTCGGACAAGAGTATTCTAATATAACCCCATCTCTGTCAAGCAAGGTATAAAAAGGTATCTTTTTCCTATTTTTTTATCATTTGCATTGATCATTTTTTTATTTTGACATTTTATTGCATGCATCTTTTTTGTCAATGAACGCTATAATGTCACTGGTTATCAATTTTCCATTATAATTTCCTGTATGGACCCCTACTTCCTTACAATTGCTCTATTGACCTATAAACTTTCTATCAGCTATATATCAAGAATGCTTTTTATCAAACTTTTTTTACATAAACATTACATAATATTGCATAAGTACAGGAAATTCATAAAAACTGTTTTTCTAAAACTTTTATAACTTATGTAATTTTATGGATTTTTTTAGGAATTTGTAAATTTGGTTGTTTTAATAATATCTTTCTTTCAATAACTTATAATTTCTTAGAAATGTGTTATAATAATCCATGTAAATTTTATAGTATCTATATAAATCCTCATTTTTTTACATATGCTTTACTAGTTTCAGTAACTTCCTTCCTGAAATTAACTTAATGTTTTAACTTCCTTAATGGCACCATTGCCATGGAACATTTTATAACATCACTATAACAACTGCTACAACATGACTTATAGAAAAACTACATACAAAGCTTAAATGGATTAATTGGTATTAATAATTTACTGGTATATAATTAATTTCACCAGAGCTACTAGAATCCCATAAAGGTAAGCATGTTTGAACTAAAAAATAAAATATATGTGTGGTAAAAGTTAATGAGACAGCAACCAAACAACACAATAAAAGCAAAAATTGACAATAAGTCATTTAGAGTATTACAAACTTTTGTCTCATCTTTTTAAAAGTAAATAAGGAGATACCAAGGGTGCAATTAACAAGTGAAACTGCGAGCCACTGCTCACTGATGATACCCCCACCCAAATATTTCAGTAAACAGGAAGTTGTTGAGTGATGAATCTGAAAACGCATCACACGGTATAGCTGACTTATATAAACCCTTAAACCAAATTTCAGAAATCCTTGTATTGTAGTTCCTGAGAAAAATGTGACGAAAATTTTCAACTTGGCTATCATGTGTAAAATGATACAAGTGTTCGGTAAACAGGAAGTTGTTGAGTGATGAATCTGAAAACGCATCACATGGTATAGCTGACTTATATGTTGTGTCGTAGTTCTCCTCTTAGATTTAATGTGTTTCCCTCAGTTTAAGTTTGTAACCCGGATTTGTTTTTTCTCAATCGATTTATGAATTTCGAACAGCAGTATACTAATTTTGCCTTTATTTAAATACACCCTGAAACCAAATTTCAGAAATCCCTGTATTGTAGTTCCTGAGAAAGATGGGACGAAAAATATTCATGGGACAGAAGGACGGACTGATGGATGGATGGACTGACGGATGGACAGACAGAGGTAAAACAGTATACCCCAACTTTTTTAAAGCAGGGGTATAAAAACAATGTCAAGAAAAGACAGACAGACAGACAGACAAGAGAGAAAAAAAATGAATTGGCAACAATCAACTTCTCAGAAAAACAGAATATTGAGTAACATAATCCCCACTAAATCTGGTGGTGTTTTATAAGGGTCAGCAGTTCCTGCTCCACTAGTGACACCTTTGTATCATTCTTGTTAAAATCTGGTAATGAGACATCATTCACTAGGGCATTTGTAATTGTCAATTTTGAAACCTTAATAGGACAACAACCATGCTTATATGTAAAACATCTTAACCTAGTAAATGAACATGATACAATGTGAAAGTTTGAAAAAATAGTATAAAATAATGGCAAAATACAAAGTATCAAACTAAAATATAGGCTTAGCAGTGTACAACAGCCACTGTTAGATGGGAACGTAAGATAATACAGGACTAAGATAACTTACATATACTAAATAACAAAATTATTAAATAGAACTTGAGCAATACCTACCACAAACATGAAGAGTAAAATCAATTGATCTAAAATATAATTGCAACATTATCTGGTAGAACATTTACCCTGTAAACCTAATTCTAATGACATATGCAGGATATAACAAAGAAATAGAAATTAAAAAGCAAAGTGCTTGTGAGCACTGAAGGGTAAAGATTGCTTTTATTTTGCAATTTTGTGCATTTTAAATAAAACATTGAATTGTATTCTGCTAGGCAAATAAATATATGAGTTGGAGTTATCTTCCTTTGTTCATGATTGTACATATGTAGTTGAACAAATTTTCATAACAGATTCATACACCATGCATTACTTATGTTATCTTTAATAAAATAAATGGGGAATGTGTCCATGGGACACAGATGATGCCTCCACTTGCATATCATATAAAGTTATAAAGGGACATAACTGAAGATCGGTAAAAGTGACGCTACCCAAATTTGTACTTGATCTGAGTTTTGTGGTAATAAGTAATAGGTATTAGTTTCATAACATTTGGTTGAGGCAAACTTAAGTTAGAGAACGGAAACGAAAAATTCAGCAATTTTTCCATTAGTAAAGGGGTATAACTCTAGAACAGTAAAAGTGATTCCACCAAAATTCAATCTTGATCTGTATTTTGTGGTAATAAGCATTGTGTATAAGTTTCATAACATTTGGTTGAGGCTAACTTAAGTTAGAGAACAGAAACGAAAAAATTCAGCGATTTTTCCATTTGTAAACGGGCATAACTCTAGAACAGTAAAAGTGACACCACCAAAATTCAAACTTGATCTGTATATTGTGGTAGTAAGCATTGTGTATAAGTTTCATAAAAATTGGTTAAGGCAAACTAAAGTTAGAGAACGGAAACGAAAAATTCAGCAATTTTTCCATTTGTAAAGGGGCATAACTCTAGAAAGGTTTAAGTGATGCCAAAATTCAAACTTGATCTGTGTGTTGTGGTTATAAGCATCGTGTATAAGTTTCATAAAATTTGGTTGAGGCAAACTTAAGTTAGAGAACGGAAACCAACTTTGGGACGTACGGACGGACGTACTTACGGCCTCTATATTACTGAACTATAAGTTGACAACTAGAAGTCTAAACTAAAAATTCATTGAAAATGCCAGATTTTCCATTAATCTCTGGGGTACAATGAATTAAATTTGATGATGCTAACTTGAAGCAATATGGGATACAGTAAAAGGAGCAGATCACAAAGCATCTTAATTTAAAGCAATGTTCTTATGTCATTGATAACAATAAAAATCATGAACTCTCAGAAAATACACTAATGTGAATATCATCAAAGTGGTTGTGTGTTAATTTAAAAAACAGTTGCAATATGAAGGGAACAGTGCATTTATTAAAGTAGATGAAATCTTTCACAAGGACATAAAGCTTGTCACAAGTTTAAAACTTTTCAGTTTCTTTCAACAGTAAGTTCCAATATATATACTAAATAACTGTAATACATATATATAGCTGGAAAGCCTACAGGACAATGTTACATTAAGAAGATACATATTTATTATGACATTGTTTAGTGCCAAAACTGGAAATGGGATATTCAGCATTTAAAAAAAAAAAACAATTTTATTGCTTGTAACTAAAAAGGCATTTCCATTTTTTGACAAAATTTTTTGCGGTCGTATAAAAATGGTCTGTCCTATTTCCTTTTTTATACCCAATTTTTTTGCATGTACACTAGCAAGAAAAGATGTGAGGAGAAAATTTTAGGCATATTACAAATAAAATGTATAATGATTGTATGGTGCAATTTTAAGATTAAATAAACAAGTTGAAATACCATTCAAATACAAGAGAAAAAAGTTAAATAAAAGCCAGCAATCTTTTTCCAAAGACTTCCCTATTTCTCCCAAGGAAGTAAAGGAGTTATGGTAATCATTATTCATTAAAAAATGAAAAAAAATAGAAACTAATACAAAATATACCTCAGTACAAAACGGTGTCAACTGTTGGTGTACTTTTGGCTGAACATATTGGTGGAAGACTGATTCTGTTTGAAGGGTCACAGCATTTATCTTCAATACTGGAAACTCTATAATTTCCTAAAAGTACATTTTTTTTTCATTTAAATAAACCCTTGTTATAACACAAAATACACAACATGAAGCATTTACGTTGATCTGGAAATCAATGACAGTTGTTTTCCATTCGTTTGATGTGTTAGAGCTTTTGTTTTTACAATTTGATAAGGGTCTTCCTGTTTTGAATTTTCCTTGGAGTTCGGTATTTTTGTTATTTTACTTTTTTTTAGACTGTGTTCACTTATTTTTGTGGAATACCCAATTCAGGTATGATGTCAAAAGAATGTCATTGTTCTAAGCACCCTGGTTGATGTATTTCAAATATACGTGAAATTTATGAGAATAAAAGTTGAATGAATCTCTGTGTATAGCATGTTAGTATACAAAATATGTAGTTTTCCTTCCTTTAAAACTATATACTATATAAACAGTGCATTTTGTTTACTATATGTTTTGCTACAATAATTGTCAATCTGTAGATTCTTGACTATCTGTCCCTAAAGGGTGCTTGATTGGTTAATAAACTCTTGCATTCTTTCATATTGTAAGTAATACAATACAATACAATACAATATACAATACAATACAATACAATACAATACAATACAATACAATACAATAATACAATACAATACAATACAATACAATACAATACAATACAATACAATACAATACAATACAATATGTGTCTATTCCAATTAAGGCCCCTCAGGGGTCAGGGGAGGAATGACAAAGATACAATCATAATTCAGTTATACAAACAATACAGTACAAGAATACAATGTATAATACTGCTGTGGTAATAACAAATACAATAAAAGATTGTTTTAAGTGTTGAGTTCTCTGCAATAAGGATATTTGAGGCAGACGATCCAAGGGGAGACAAACATTTTGGTAAATTGATTGTTTAGCTGGAGGAGACACCATGGGACAGTGCTTAAGAATCATTTGCATATGAATCTCCCTGTGTCTAAATCAGCAAAGCCAACAAGATTTAACACATAAATAGATAAGTAGGGGCCATTTATATGATTGCTAAACTGGAGGAGACACCAGGGGGCGGTGCTTAAGAATCATTTGAATATGATTCTCCATATTCCAAAACCAGCTAAGCAAGCAGTTAAAAAACAAAAAAAGAAATGAAAATGATTTAAACTATTTACAGTGAGTTTGAATAAAGTTACTCAAATGTTTAATTACTGATGTGTCCTCACAGGTCATTAACCAAAAGAACTTTTCTGGAGGATTCATGTTAGCAAAATTATTACATGACTGAGATATATATAGTTTTAAACAAATTTTGTCGCTCCTTGTTAAATTTAGTGCAATGAAGGAGAAAGTGTATCGCATCCTCTACCTCATCTGAGTCACACTGCCTGCAAAGTCTAAGTTGTGGAGGGATACCCTGGTATCTGCCAGTTTCTATTTGCAAACGATGTGCTGAAATTCTTAGTTTCGTTAGACTCCTCCTTTGCTCAAAATTACTGACAAGAGATACCGTAAATTGGGTTATTTTGGTTGTAGTTTTATTTTGGTTTATTTGGTGCCTCCAATGAAAGTGCCAAAATTAAACACACGAAAATAAAGCAACCACTAAAAATTGAAACGCTCAAATCGCTTACCGGTACAACAATATCGTAATTCTATACATAGCCAAATCTGCAAATAAATACCTGGTATAATTTGACAACAACACTATATAGTTTTCACTTAATTGTCAATTTTCTGAAATTGTTAAGAAAACACAACATGAATTTTTATTCACACATGTCATATATATGCCAGGCTATTGCTGATTAGACGCCGTTATTGGTAATTAGAATATCAAAACTCCTTGCAATCCTTTATCTTCAATTAATTAACATGTACTTCCAGAGGCATAAGGATTAAAATTTAAATTCTTGATCGTCAATAGATTTACATGTACTGCAATAGAGATGATTACAATTTATTTCATATGATATTTGTAAAAAATAAAAAAGTGATTTTAATGTTTAAGATTTTATTTCATATTTTCTTTCTGCTTTGAACCCCGATATACGGAATTATTTGCAATAACATCCGTATTGGACTCCTTCATTAAGTTAACTTTGTCGTCTTTCTAGTTTGAGAAATTCAATGATATTTTGTCAATAAACGGGTAAATAAAGTCAAAATGAATGAGCTTGCTCACTACTGTTCCGAAATTAAACATATCAATTGGACGAAGCACCAAAATTACACACACCAAAATAAAACACATGCCTTTTGAGTGAAAACCGCCAAAATTTCCCAATTTACAGTAATTATTTTTTAAAACCAAATCCCAAATTTACCTTAAAGGTTGTGTATGTACAAAGTTTCCCTTCTGAATGTTTTTTTATTTGATTTTTCCATACACTGTAGTTTCAAAAAACCCTCTTTCACATGACTTTTAGTTTGCTTCTTGAAATTTCCTTTCTCTCAATCCCTGTAATATTTGGAAAATTTGGTAGTATATGTTGAAGTGATCCATACCAAAATGATTTCCCTTGGTTATATAATTTTGTGGTTTGTTCATAAGCATTTTGATGCAAGGGATGTTTATCTAGATCCAATATAAGAGAATATTTCTAAATATATATCATAGTAAAGTGGAAAACGGCCAAGTTCTGTCAATACAGCAAAGTTGGTGGTCTCTTTATGTACCCCTAAAATAAATTTACAAAACTTTACATGTAGTTTTTCACTGATTAGTTGCTAATATATTTTGTCTGGAGATATGATGCTGTTTCCAAACCTTGCTGTAATAAGCACATATGATAGTCAAATAAAAAAAGCACACATAAGCATCAAATTGAAATAAAACAGCACATGATTTGAAAGCACTTTCAAATGTCACATTAGCAAAATATGTTGCAAATTAAAATAAATGTGTATAGGTTTCATAACGTTTGGTTGGGGCAAACTTAAGTAACAGAATGGAAACTAAAAATTTCGCAATCTTTCAATTTATAAAGGGGCATAACTCAATAATGGTTAAAGTGACACTACCCAAATTCAACTTGATCTGTGTTTTATCAGTGGAAGTCAAAATTAAACATGGCATTGTATAAAGCATTGATTGTAGTTGATTCAACTATAATCATGGACAAAGGAAGATAACTCTAATTTTAATAAAATGCTCTGCTGGGGCGCAGCTTGATACGACCGCAGAGGTCGAACCCTGAACAGTTGGGGCAAGTATGGACACAACATTCAAGCTTAATACAGCACTGAATTTGGATTGTAATTAAATATTTGACACAGCATAGGTTTCTTACACAGAATGAAAGAACTTAAAAATTTTTAATTTACCTATTCAAACCATATCATTATTATTTGCTTTTATATATAAATCAGAAATAACCAATTTAAAATGGAAAATTTTAAAGAAAAAAATTCCCCCCAATTTTTTTAACCCCCTTATGATTCATCACCCCCAATCTCAATCCCAGCCTTCCCTTTGTGGTATGGTACCTTGCAGTACAATTTCAGAGAGATCCATACACTTGAACACAAGTTATTGTCTGGAAACTAGAAAAATGCTTGTTTTTTGGCCCCTTTTTGGCCCCAAATTCCTAAACGTTTAGGGCAATTACCCCCAAACTCAAACCCAGCTTTCCCTTTGTGATATGGAACCTTGCAGTACAATTTCATAGCGATCCATACACTTACACACAAGTTATTGTCCTGAAACTAGAAAAATGCTTGTTTTTTTGCCCTTTTATGGCCCCTAATTACTAAATTTTGAGGGAATTACCCCCAAAATCAATCCCAGCCTTCCCTTTGTGGTATGGTACCTTGCAGTACAATTTCAGAGAGATCCATACATTTGAACACCAAGTTATTGTCTGGAAACTAGAAAAAATGCTTATTTTTGGCCCCTTTTTGGCCCCTTATTCCTAAACTTTTTGGGCAATTACCCTCAAACTCAATTCCAGCTTTCCCTTTGTGATATGGAACCTTGTAGTACAATTTCATAAAGATCCATACACATACACACAAGTTATTGTCATGAAACTAGAAAATGCTTGTTTTTTGCCCCTTTTTGGACCCTAATTCCTAAAATTTGGAGGCAATTACCCCCAAAATCAATCCCAGCATTCCCTTTGTGATATGAAACCTTGTGGTACAATGTCAGAGAGATCCATAAACTTACACACAAGTTATGTCTGGAAGTTACAAAAATGCTTATGTTTGGCCCCTTTTTGGCCCCTAATTCCTTAACTGTGGGTACCATAACCCCCAAAATCAATCCCCACCTTCCTTTTGTGGTATTGAACCTTATGGTAAAATTTCATTGAGATCCCTTCACTTAAACTAAAGTTAGAGTGCGAAAACTAATGTGTCTTCGGACGACGACGACGACGACGAAGACAACGACGTCAACGTCATACCAATATACGACCACAAAATTTTTTTGTGGCGGTCGTATAAAAATTACTTGATATTTAGAAGAAAATGAAAATTTTGCAATTTTTCCATTTATAAAGGGGCATAACTCTAGAACGGTTAAAGTGACGCCACCAAAATTCAAACTTGATCTGTGTTTTGTGGTAATAAGCATTGTGTATAAGTTTCAATGTCCGTCTGTTAAATATTTGTCCACTATTCACAGACGGACAAGGGTAAAACTTAATGCCCCCACCACTACGGCGGGGGCATAAAAAAATACTTAATCAAGTAAAATGAATTTCATATATTATTATTGCTTTTCTGCACCGAGCGATGGATCCAGGATTTTTGACAGGGGGGGTGTAATTCCCGTTATTTGAAGATATAGCATCGAGCGAAGCAATGGAGAAAACTTTTGGAGGATTTTATACTAAGAATTTATATATATCATGAAAAACATGATACTATTTATTATTTTGGCGATCAAAAGGGGTGAACGTCCATAACGTGCCCCCCCCCCACCCACCCCTCTTCCCCCTGGATCTGCAACTGGCAACCCATCACCATCAAACTGATAGTGAAACAAATGTTCCACCGTTTTATATACAAGTTTATGATAGTGAAAAATACCTGAGGCACAATTGTTCTCCCATTCTCACATGTCGCTTCAAAATCCAAAACCAGAAAATATTTGAATGGTTGTGGCTGTAAATTATTTGTATCATATAAATTAGCATCAGAACCAGATGCCATGTTTAAAGAATTAGTTGATATTGCAAAGTTTCGTCGGAAAATTCGTTGGACTATTGGTTTCAAGAGATTGCATGATTGTTTGTAAATACACATGACAATTTCTACTTTTGTTTTCGGTTTCACAATTACGACTTCCGGTTTGGTCATGTGATTATTATTTTTCCTTGACCTTGATCATGCTGAACATCAATAAAGATGAGATCATTCAATACAAATGATTCTGAATGGCATATCTGGTAAATATTTCAGATATTCTTTCCTGAGTTTTTCAGAAGGTGAACATAATTGTGATAATAACTTTGAAAATTAAATATTTGTCCACTTAACCTAACATTAGCGCAGGAATCTGAGATCATCTCACAAATGTCTGAAAATGATACAAAATGACAGATGATAAAGGAATTTGACCATAATATTCCACCATTTGCAATATATTTATGCATAAAGAGAGAAATTATAAGGACATATATGATTGGAACAAAGGCTAATTGTATACTAAAGATTGGTTGAACTTTTTGAAATTTTTTTTTAGCCTAGGCTAGGGTTTGACAATTACATGTATATGTTGTAACTGGGTACTGGTTATAGTTAATAATCTTAATGTAACTGAAATCAACCTCTTATGCAACTTGGAAAAAAGCCTACATTCAAAGTGTTGGTGCATCCTTTTGAAGGCTTCAACTGATTGTACACTCATCACTTTTCCCTCTGGGTGCATGGTCCCATTTAACCAAATAGACCTTATCACTGACACTTGAACTATTGACTTCATACAACAATCACTTTTCCTTTGCGGCGTCAGACATTTTCTATTGTGATGTCAACATTTTACAAGAACCTTTATGATGTCCAGTAATCATGGTAATGGTGGACAAATAGGGATAAGGTGTAATATAGTCTTTCAATAGACTTATTACTGAGTAATTGTAGATTTCCTTTCCAATTTGTATAGCAATAGATCAAAACACCTGAATTGAACCAAGAGTTTACTTATTATTTCTTAGTACATTTGACAATGGACATCAATCCGTGTGAGTCAGTGTGGTACCTAATGTATCTAAAAAAATGTGCTTGATGCTTCATTGAATATGGTATTCCTACCTAAATTAGTAATACATGTTATATTAGACTGAGGTGAAAGACAAAGCAAACAATCCATACAAAAACTATACTGAAATGTAAGCTGTCTGTTAAGAGAAACACAATGATTCAAGATGCTTATAAATATAAAATTGACTAATTCTAAATTGAAAAACTGTATACATGTAAGTGTAGAAACAAGTATGGTACAATATATGGCTTTCCTTATAATAGTGTGGTATCTTTATAGATATTGATCAAGTTTGGTTTAAACAGTTTAGTACATTTCTTGAATTTCTAGTATTCCAGATAAGCTGCTGAATAAACATTTAAACCCATATCCCAACTAATGGAGGATAGCATTTGGTCATCCTTATAATCAAATTATTCATATTGCAAATAACCCTATAAAATTGACAAAAAATAGGAAACTGCTGACTTTTTGTCTAGTTAACAGCATTGAATATGTTTGGCACACATTGCTTGATTGACTGAAGGTAGTGAAATAAAATATCTGCTTATTCTTAATTAAAACTAAGCTGAAAAAAACGCAAGTTTTGGGAAATTTAACCTGAGACACAAAAATAAGTTAAATTGTCCCAAAATAAGTTGAATAAACCTATATTTCATGTGTGACCATAGGTACTTCATGTATATATATATCCAAATCCGGATATGGTGTACAGATTTTTGAACCTCATGTTTGCGGTATATCATCTTTTCCGCAAGTTTATTGTTTTCTGTTTGGTATTTAATTAATAAATTATATAAAGATCCATTTTGTTACATCTTGTGATCCGTTTATTTGGCAATCGCCAATGGCAGTCAGCAGGGTTAAAGAACATCCGTTGTTGGAACTGTTAGTTCAATGCATTTTGTTTAAATATACTCTTTCACTTTTTTGGTCTTTTGGAAAATGTTGTTTGTGCTGTATTTAGACCCCTCTACCAAGAAATTTGTTTTGCATGCACACGTATAAAAATTGTGGTTTTTATCCAACGCAATCATAGGTTTGAACGTTGTTTTCAATTTAGACTTGTTAATATATTTTTCGTTTGGGCTTGTATTATACTTGCCTTCTGGTTTGTATGATCGGTTCATCCTATTTCGACTCGTTCAAAATTCAAGAGTCTATCCTAAATTGAGGTAAATTATATGGCCTTCCAAATACCGTTTCGATTCCTAACATCACTGAAGAGACATTAATTGTCGAAATCGGGATATGGTGTACAAATTTTTGCACCTCATGTTTGCGGTATACCATCTTTTCCGCAAGTTTATTGTTTTCTGTTTGGTATTAAATTAATAAATTATATAAAGATCCATTTTGTTACATCTTGTGATCGGTTTTTTTTGACAATCGCCAATGGCAGTCAGCAGGGTTTAAGAACATCCGTTGTTCGACCTGTTAGTTAAATGCGTTTTGTTTAAATATACTCTTTCACTTTTTTGGTCTTCTGGAAAATGTTGTTTGTGCTGTATTTAGACCAACACAATCATAGGTTTGAACGTTGTTTTCAATTTAGACTTGTTTATATTTTTTGTTGGGGCTTGTATTATATTTGCCTTCAGGTTTATATGATCCGTTCATCCTATTTCGACTCTTTCAAAATTCAAGAGTCTATCCTAAATTGAGGTAAATTATATGGCCTTCCGAATACCGTTTCGATTCCTAATATCACTGAAGAGACATTATTTGTCGACATCCGGATATGATGTTCAAATTTTTGCACCTTATGGTTGCGGTATACCATCTTTTCCGCAAGTTTATTGTTTTCTGTTTGGTATTAAATTAATAAATTATATAAAGATCCATTTTGTTACATCTTGTGGTCCGTTTATTTGGCAATCGCCAATGGCAGTCAGCAGGGTTTAAGAACATCTGTTGTTCGACCTGTTAGTCAAATGCATTTTGTTTAAATATACTCTTTCACTTTTTTGGTCTTTTGGAAAATGTTGTTTGTGCTGTATTTAGACCCCTCTACCAAGAAATTTGTTGTGCATGCACACGTATAAAAATTGTGGTTTTTATCCAACGCAATCATAGGTTTGAACGTTGTTTTCAATTTAGACTTGTATATATATATATATATATACATGTATGAGCTGATTTCAGTTTTCATGCAGGGATCTCCATGGATGAAAAATAACCATGGAAGAATTTTAGACTGGACAAAACCCTATTGGAAGTTTGTTAACCTGAACAAGTGATTAGTGAACATTAGCCTGATATCCCCAGGCCATCAAAGCAGTACTTAGTTTTGATTATTATATAAAATCGGTTTTACAATTACAGGTAGTTTAGACTCATTACAAACAAAAAATGGTGGTTGCTTGCAAAAAGAAAACAAATTTGACTACCTCTTGAACCATAGCAATGTTGTTAAATATAAGCAGTAGGCCAATCTAACCAAGGCAAACTTTATTTGACGATTGCAGTGCACCATCATATAACATGCCATGGGGATCCAGGTTGAATGGTTCATGTCACTTTTTGTTCTCATAGTGTCCTTGTCGTGTTCTTTGTAAAAAAAGATACTCAAATTCAAACAAAAAATTCTCTGAAACTGACATTATCAAGATGCTTGATTTCTTGATTGACAACATATTTGTTATGTTTGGAGGACATGTTTTTCAACAAACAAAGCATTCCCATTGGAACCAACCAACTTGTTCTTTTATTCATATGAGGCAGACTTCATACAGAAGCTTTTTTCGGAAGAATGAAAAGAAGCTAGCATAATCCTTCAACTTAACATTCTTCTATAGTTGATGTCCTCTCACTAAATAATTCAAAGTTTGATGACTATGTTGAACGTATCTATCGCATCGAACTTGAAATAAAGGATACAGTTAAGCTTGCCTCATATGTTGACTTAAAGATAGAAATTGACAATGAGGGTTGGTTGAGACCAAAACTTTATGACAAAAGAGATGATTTCAGCTTCCTTATTGTGAACTTTCCATTCCTACGTAGCAACATTCCAGCAGTGCTTGCATATGGAGTATTCAAGACCTTGCATTTCATATCAGGATTTCCGTGAAAGAGGGTTGATGCTTACAAGGAAGCTTTTAAACCATTTGAAATCATCCCTTCAAAAATTTAACGGATGCCATCACAAGTTGATTGACCATTATATAGAATATTTGTTTCACAGATGATGCCTGATATGTTCCATAACCACAATCCAGCCTCTTTTCCTCTTATGTGACATACTGAATTAGATTTTTCATCATGACTAACATGAGCAACACGACGGGTGTCACATGTTGAGCAGAATCTGCTTACCCTTCCAAAGCACCTGAGATTACCCCTGGTTTTTGTTTGGTTTTTGTTTTGCTCTGTCTTTAGTGTTCTCTGTTGTGTTTTGTATACTGTTGTTTGTCTTTTAGTTTGTTTTTGGTTTTTTGCAATGGCATTGTCAGTTTGTTTTCGACTTATCAGTTTAATTATCCCTTTGGTATCGTTTAGTGTTTTGTCTCTCTTTTAGAAGTTACAGCATTTAAGAAATATTTTTATTGTGTATAAAGCATTTTAGAAGATACATGTATATTATTTAGTGGATTAAAAAAACTGATTAATGCAGTATAAAAATAAAACAAAATCATAAGTGAAAGGAAGAAAAAAGAAGAAAAGACGAACACCCAACAAAATATCACACAGAAAATAAAGATTGAGCGACTTGAACTGCACCAAAAACCAGTATGGACATAGGTGATCCAGATGGGTTACAAGTTCCTTCTCCACTAGTGGCACCTGTAATATTACTTATGTTAAAATCTAATATTAATCTTATGTTATGAAAATAGGGACCACCCTTCCCCCCTTTGCCAATGGTGCTAAACACTGCCTCTTTTCAGCCTCCCTGCCAACGCTTGATATGGTATGACTTATATAACGTCCCAAATCAAGTTTGGATACACCCGAAGGATTCAACGGCCAAATAGAACATAAGGCAGTGTTGGTTATATTTCAAACAAAGACAGGTTTGGGAAAACTAACCACAGTTTATTAAGTAGGCATGTAATTATTTCAATTATACAATAATTGAACATAGCTAAATGAATTAAGGCAAATACAAAATGTAAGTAATGCATGAATACAAAAGATAAATGCTGTGTAATAAAAACTGTGGTTCTCAAACATCAAGACTAACTACACATGAAAATACAATGAATACAATATATATAATAAACAGTACAAAAAAAAACCAACATGACAAGATGCAAACTTAAAGACAGTTCATGAACTGATTTTCATTACATATATACATGAATGAGGGTCGGGAGGGTGGAAGTAAAAATCTTTAGCCTTAGTTTTAACAAGGTGTTTGCTGCTGCAAGTTATTATTTTGAATGCTTAAACTGCAGATGATGCCAGACTATGATAATTTACTTAAATCTGATTGGCCAATTAATAACCCGGGAAATATGAATACTAGTTCTTGATTGGTTGACATGAAATGCCAGACATATCAACGGTACCTATGCTGCATCCTGATTGGTCAATTTGAACAATGTTATGATATAGAGGCGCAGGAGATATAAACAATGTACATAGCTACCAAATACGATGTTATTGCAATGCCATCACTGCCCTGCAATTTCAACCATGATTAATAATATATTTAAATAAAATATCCACGCAAAATCATACTTGTAAGTCATAGTTGCTGACAAGGCCTGATAACAGGATTAGTAAATTCATTAGTGAATGTCCAAAGACATTAACATATTCTTAAACCATCAGAACAAAATATGAAAAGAAATTCAGTTTGTAAATTTACTAAGTTAGAATGCGCACAGAAAGATTTCTTGTCAGACTAATATTAAAAAAGAGAGATGTGATGTGGGGAACAGGTCAGAGAGTCAGCATCCAAACAAGTATAACGCCAAAAAAATTATAAAAAAAAATAGTTATGTTATGTTTTATATTACCATAGTTTTTGTTGATGATGTTGACAATGATTTTCTAAAAATATGTGGTATGATCATGATGATTACAAATGAGATAAATCTCCATATAACCAAAGGACGAACAAGTGCATGTCACACTATGACCTCTATTAGTTTTAAGGTCAGGTATTTTGGCCTGCAGTCAGGACAGTGGATTATAACAAGTTAACAATAAAACATTGAAAAACTTGGTTTCTGTAATAAAAGGAGATACAAGGTTTTTGCTGAAAATGGATGGATTGTATGAATAAGGGATATGTTTTCTGTGTTTTTGTTTTTGGGTTACATTTATCTTTACACATCATCTCATTTTATTCAGTCAATATAGGGAATTGCTTTTAGATTTATGATATTTAAGCTTGTATAACAAACCACATTTTTTTTATTTATTCAGGAACTGTCCCATGCATGTTTCTCTGCTCCATAGTCTATACAGTACAGTATGGTAGCTTTGACCAATATTTAGTTTTTTCAGGGACTATCCCATGCTTGTTTTTTGTGAAAATTAATTAACAACTTATAATTTTAGGATGAATATGCTTTTCTGACAATTGCAAAACAATGGATAGTTTAATAGTTGACCTTGACAAGGTGCTGGATGACTTTGAAGCAGAAGGTAATATTAACAGTTTTACATCATGGGAACTAGTTTCTGCAACCAATTGATGGCTGATTTGAAATTTATCTAAACAAATATCCTGTTTTTCAGTTATGTTATTTTTAAATATGATATCAGAATTAAAATTTATAGGTATGGATTAAATATAAGACTTCTAGTCTTGTTTTCTAGTCTCATTTTATAGTTACTTATAAATAATGTTTGTACTTTAATAGTATTTATTAACAGTTTTTTGCTTACCTTTACCATTGTTTTATAAAATTAACTACTGTTAGCTCAACCTTTATTTTTATTTCTATTTTTTATTTCTACTTTTTCCTCCTTTTGTTGCACATTTTATTATACCCCGCTTTAAAAAAGTGGGGGTATACTGTTTTACCTCTGTCTGTCCGTCCGTCCATCCGTCCCATGAATATTTTTCGTCGCATCTTTCTCAGGAACTACATCATAAGGATTTCTGAAATTTGGTTTCAGGGTTTATATAAGTCAGATATACCAGTAATGCGTTTTCAGATTCATCACTCAACAACTTCCTGGGTGGGGGTATCATCAGTGAGCAGTAGCTCGCAGTTTCACTTGTTTTATCTTTCTTGGTACAAATGTACTTGCATATATTGTGTAAGGAATAATACCACCATTGTTTTCCCCTATTAGTCTTTCTTAAATTGGCACTTTTAAAAAAAATTGTTTCAAATAAAGAAATACTTTGCATGAGTAAAGTTTTATCCTGTCCAGTACTACAGACCAAATATCACATAACATTTCAATGCATATAAGATAATAACCATCACTGGAAGTTAACCAATCAAATTGTCACCCCTTTTTTCCCTGTTTACAAGCTTAGTAACCATGTAACCTAAAGATTCCAAAATATTTTATAGAAACACCAAATAAAAAAAGAATGGTGCTTTGAAACACCAAAGATATATGTTTATGACTCATAAATTTTTTTCTGCAATGAAATGAATGGTTAACTTCCTACAACTGTCAAATTCAAGGGAATATTTTTTTTCAACCCTTTTTCATATGAAACCGGATGTGGCATACTATGATTTGGTGGTATTACACCTTAATGTAACAACTAAAAAATAAAGTATGCTTCTCTGTTGTTTGTAAGCTTTAGATCAAACTGTTATTTCTGGAATATGAATGAAAATTGGCCTATTGTGTAATTACCGGTAAATTGATCTACAGCACATAAATGTTATAAAGATATTGATTTGATATTAAGCAGCCATCTATATTTGAATAAAAAAGGAGAAATTTGTGACTTATCAACATGATAAAGGTAACACTTTTTAATAAAAAAAAAACTTGCGAAGGGAATTGTTATTGTTCAAAATTGGCTATTATGCATTTCTTTTTGTGTATGTTCATTCAATTATCTTCACTAAATTTTACAATACAATTTAATAATATTTGTCTTGTTCTTAAATGTTATATATTGTAAAAAATTGTTAAGATTATTTTCCAGTTTTGAAGAGGAATTTTATAAATTGCTAAAATACAATACTAACTGTAAACTATAGCCAAAAAGGAAAGTAAGATGCATATCAGTCTGGTCGTTTAAAAAAAGTATTATGTGAACCTACATGTACATGTATATTATTTACCAATATTTCTCAGTTGAATTTGATTCAGTCTTAAAAATGGAAGTTACATATCAGGTGCTTAATACAAACCAGGACATGTGTCCTATTTATTTATTATCAAGATATTTGTATACCATTGCAAGTTCATCCAAATGTTTAGTAAATTTTATGCTAAATTTTTAGAGTCCACAAGTAGAAAACCTCCTGGAAATGTGTCATCTGAATATGCAACTTTTCTCTCTAAAAATGAGGATCATTCTTGGGAAGAAGTAAGCAGAGCTCCTGCAGATTCTGTTCCGAATTGGAAGAGAAACAGCAAAGATGAATATTTGTCCTTTATTGATTATGGGGAACCCTATGAACCAGCAAGTAATTTTGATTTGTCGGAGGCAGACTTTGCACCGTCAGTGAAAACAAAAACAGAGACCGTATCATCCAAAATCAGCAATGTCATATCAAATGGACATGTTGAAACGCTTGAAAATGGAAATTTTGACTTTGGTCACAAAAATCCTGATAGAATATTACATACCACTAAACCTGGTGATTTAACACCAACAATGAATGGTTACCATGACAATAAATCTACACCAATGCATAATGTAAACAATAGTCAGATGATTGATTTACATGGTTGTGATACTACTGATTCGACAGAAAATGAATTTGGAAATGTAGATCAAAGTGTGAACTATGAGGACACTTATAATAAATTACCTATTCAGGTAGTGGATGTATTCACACCTGTATCTGAGGATGTACCTCAAATACCTTCTACCACATATCAACAGAATGCCATACCAAATAACTTTTATCAAAGTAACGGGAAGGATAGTGTGGAAGAAAATATTCATGTAAATTTAAATGAAAGTGTACCAGTGAATAGTGCAATATCTCATGATATAAATATTTCAAAACTTCCATCTGTGAGGAATGAAGAATTAACCAAGAACAAACCTATGGAAATGATTCATAATGATTTACATGCCAAAACATCATCTTCTCATACATCTGAAAAAAGAGTTAATGAGTTACAGTCAGTTAAAACTGAGCTATCATCCTCACCAACATCAGACAATTCAATAACTGAGTTTCAATCAGTTAGAACTGAGCTTTCATCTTTACCTATGTCAGACAATACAAAAACAGAGTTACAGTCAGTAAAATCTGAAAGTTTAAACTCTGAATTAACCATGAAAGGAACTGATCAAATACAATCAAATAATACAGGAAACAAGGACAATAAGAAAGCAGATGAAGGATATGATTCTTATGACTGCCTAGGAAGAGATGACACAAATAATATTCTGGTTGTGAAAAAGGAAGCAACACCAACTCTAGACTTATCAGATGTTATTTTTGACAATAATGTATCAATAAATGATAGTGTCAGTGGTGTACCAAATAACGAATCTTCAGATTCTCTCGAACAGACTACTGTCAAGGTATTGGATAATGGTGAGTTAGAGTCCTCTCCCAATATGACAGGAACTACAATACAAGGGAATCAAGTACCTAAGGAAACTACAGTGAAATCAGATCAGTCTGAAGTCATTGGTTTTGGTCAAGAGGTTAATGTTGATGAAAATGATATGGATGATTATCTAAAAGACATACAAGATCAAGATTCTGTGATTTCAAACTCACTGACATTAAATAGTGATGCTGATTCTGTTCCACCTAGATATTCTATTATTGATGAACTTCCTATTTTGGGAAAAAAAACATCAAATGAAAATATTCACCCAAGCGATCAAAATGAAGGGAAAGATCTTTCCAAAACAGTTGTTTTGTCCGAGACACAGAAAGAACTAGAACGAATCTCTGTTGGTGAAAATATTCCTATTTGTAAACAAAGTGTTCAGTCAGAAGAATTAAAATCAGCCAAAAATCAGACTGATGGGATGGATATTCAAAATATGCAACTGCCATCAGTTGAAATGGGTGGGGCAAGACCTAAAGAAATTAATCGACATTCTGATATTCACAGTATAACAACAATTTTTTCAGAAATTTCAGAAATTCAGGACAAAGAACAGAAGCATGCACAAAATTTACCAGAAAATGGGCTACCTGTAACTGGTGAATTAATCCCAGAAACAGACAATGATATACAAGTGGTAGATGTTTTAGAAATTGAAAAATCTGATCAGGTATGTGATCAAACTGGAGACGAGGATAATGATGAAACTCCTGTGATGAGGCGCAATAATCAACCTGGTACTCCATCTGATTTATCACGTCCACATTCTTGGGGACCATCAGGTTCTGACTCGGTCCCTATTCCTCACCAGAAACGTCCTAATAGTCTGAATATTCCACAACGTGGAGAATTTACCATGACAGGGGAAAGAACTCAGGCACCTTACACATTCCCATACCCACCAGAAGATTCAGAAAACCTGTCACCAGAAATTCAGGAAGATCTCATACAGAATGAGGATGTTCAAGGTATACATAATGCAATGTTTTTAACTATTTAAATGAAAAGTGGGTGAGAAAATCTAATAGATAAACAGGTAATATGATGATTTCATCAATCAATTACTATGTGATTTCAACAAAAAAACAAAAACATGATATACAATGGAATCATAAAAAAGGAAAGAAAAGGAAACACAATTAAAAAGATAGTTACACACATAAAATTTCAGATTCTATCACTATATTATATTGGAACTTGATACATTTTTGTATATATATATTTCTCTACTCAGTAAGTAATACATTTTTTTTTAAATATTTTTTATAACCAAAACCATTTACAGTGTATGTTGACAACTTTTTTTTTAAAGTGGTATATATTGAATGAATTTTATCTCAAACTGTTTCAAAAGTTGTAAAGTATTGAAATTGACATTTAAACAGTTTGTTTCATGTGACCTATCATGCTTTATTATATACTTAGTAGTAAATACAGATAAATTGTATGTGTAATACAGTCATTGGTAAGCATGCTGTATCAGCCACCCGTGATGATATCGATATCAGCACGGTTGCAAAGGCTTTATCACACCTTTAATCTGTATGACGTAACGTCATTGATTGCAGTCACTGTTGCAAATAAAATTGAGAAAGGCTTTATCAAACCCCTAACCTGAATGACGTCATGTCAAACTGTATGACGTCATTTCAAATATCCTTATCTGTATGACGTCATGTCACATAAAAACATCTACGTGAGGTACATGTATATAATAAAGTGTATATGATATGTATTTTTCAATATCACACACCGTATCAACCCTCAACCAATACAATCCCTCGAGCAGAGCTCTTGGGATTATATTGGTGTCTCGGGTTTGATACGGATGTGATATTGAAAAAGCCATATGATATTCTCTATATATCCCATATGATCAAACATTAATGGTAAAATCTGCCTCTCTAATGATTTCAATTTGTCGGATAGTCAAAGCAATTACAACATTATTATTGTTATAAGCAATTGCTGTGCATTGTAATCATGGTAATTTGTACATGGTGTTTTTAGGCTTGATCCAACAGTAATTTCATTAAGGTTTGACACACCTAACTTGGCTATGCAAACATTTTATACATTATGATTGAAAAAGTATGAAAGTATCATCCATCTTGTCTTAAAATTAAAAGAATTTTCTTAAACAAATTACCAATTATTATACACTTTCCAGCTGTAGGTGGAGAGCCAATAGATGAAGCTAGTGGAGCATCAGGCCACACCCCTTCACCTGACCCATCAAGTCCTGAATCACAACAAAAAGTAGAAACAGCTTTAGGAAAGAGTGCACCTATGTGGATTCCTGATAGTGTTGCTCCAGTTTGTATGGGGTGTGAAGTCAAATTTACATTCACTAAAAGAAGACACCACTGTCGAGCTTGTGGAAAGGTAAACATAGCAGGAACTACAAATGTATTGTTTATCAAATGTTGAGAAACATTTCAATAATGTTTTGTTAAAAGTATCAATTAATCAAGCCTTAAGATAACTGGATACATATATAGTTAACCTTGTTTTCCAGTTTCCTACCTTAGAGATGTTAAAATCCTCCTATCATGAATTTATCTTACTTCTTATTTCAACTTAACTTATTCTTTTCAAATAGCATTTTTAACTTAAAGTCTGAAAACAAAATGAAAAAAGAGGAATGTAGAGTAGTACCTATAATTAAAGCCTTTCTCAGCTGAGGAAATGTAAAATGGTGATAGCCGCAAGTGAGGGGTTAATTATAAAGAAACATTCTCTTAATTTTACACACTGATATGAAACAGATTTAAAAGTTGGCTGCTGTCTTTTAAGAGGGTGTTATAAAACAAGAGGATTGTGCAATATTGCTGTAAATTTTTTGAAAAAGGGAGTCTGGTTTTTCAGGTATTCTGTTCAGCATGTTGTAGCTTGAAGAGTCGTTTACAGTACATGGACAACAAAGAAGCCAGAGTGTGTGTAGAATGTAATCGACAGATTTCTATAGGTTTGTTTTAACTTCACAGTTATCTCGGTCAATCTCTGTTGAAGTTCAGAAAAAGCTTTTCAAGAAACCACTGAATAAACTAATAAGTCAGAAGGTACATGTACCGTTGATGCAAATATCAGTAAACATGTATTTGCTATCAAATTAAGCTACCGGTGCATATTGGAATTAGCTTGTAAGTTAATACAAGTTTAATCAACATCATTGTGATACGTTGGAAAGAGATGCTAGAGAACAAAAGTAAATTATTCACTTCCTGTTAAAATACTGTGGATTCATTTATTTTCATGGGTACAAATTTTGTAGGATATTTGATTTGGTGGTTTTCCCAAAGTCTGCCTACAAACCTTTAGAAAATATGTACTTTGTTGAACCTTTAAATTTGTAGTTTACCTATAACCATGAATTCCACAAAAATTGGTAATCCGCGAATGATAATGAATCCGCAGTAGTGGAGAAAAAAAAGGAAAAAAAAGTTTTTAATGTGAAAATTTCTGTATATATTTATTAGTTATTTCAGAGATTTCTTGCAAAGCCTTGGAATGCTGCAGGTGGAATGTTTTATGCATAATGTTATGCTCATAGTCAAATATTCATTTTTTTCTGCTATCCTAATTTTAAGAGATTAATTTATGTTGAAAATTGAATTTTTATTAGAATGTATTGAATGACTTCATAATATTACTTTTGGACTGGTAAATTGCTTTGCTTATTTTTATTTATTCATAAAACTTTTACTTGCAGCTTAGCTAGAACAAAGTTATATATTATTTTGAAATGCATGTATTTTCTCTAATGACAAGTTTGTATTATCAAGATAAAGATTGTACCACGAAAAGAAATAAGTAATATGACAATTTACACCTACAAACAAACATTCACAGATGGACACATTTTTCCCCACATATGAAATTGTACACTTATGTACCATGTGATAGATAGATAAATACCCTTTTTCATTACAAATTTTTGAATGTATTAGTTTGCCTTCTGTAGACTTTGATTCATTTAAAAAAGAACTTGCAAAATTTTTCAGTCCTTGTACAATCAATTTATACAGTTGATATGAAAGCTAATACAGACACTTTCAGAGGCTGCATATCAATTTTGTAGAGGTTTACCATAAGTTGTCAATTTTTTATTGAATAGTTGATTAAGGATTTGATAGGACAAAGATATTTATTGTGTTAAAGGCAAATATAAAATACCTGATTTTTCACATATCTGTAAAAGTTTTTGAGTGACTTCACTTATTGTACATAACAAATGTCTGTGCTGCTGGAACATAATTCTGTTTAGGCTAATCGGTCTAATCACTTTAAGGCTAATCGGTCTAATCACTTTAAGGCTAATCGGTCTAATCACTTTAAGGTCAACTATTTTATTTATTATCAAAACTACTCATATATGTACATATTTTCCTGCAAATAATCAAACCTATTCAGATCCTTGTAAATATTTTTGAATTTATATGAACAGTGAGCATTTTGGATTTCACTAAGTACCAGTAGCTCCAGTGACCCTCAATATGAATGGAATAGACTACTGCGGATTCATTTATTTTCGTGGGTAACAATTTTCGTGGATTGAAGAAAACTTGCATTTTCGTGGATATTTAATTTCGTGGTTTCGGCAAAGTCTGCATATTTCCTTTAGGAAATTTGTAATTCGTTGAACATTTAAATTCGTGGTTCCCCTGTACCAACAAAATACACGAAAATTGGTATTCAATGAATATTAATGAATCCACAGTACATGTATATACATGAGTGGTTTTCATTATGTTTAATGTTAATAGCTTTGATGTTGGCAACATGCTTTTTTGACAAATGCTTTTTCTGCTTGGTTATTCTTAGCTGAACTGTCGAGCAGTGGTACTCCTAATCCTAACAACCCCAGTGAATATTGCTCGGTTATTCCTCCCTCGCAGCAAGCTAGTGCACGTTCACAGCCTCCCTCAGTTCTTGTGCCTGCCAGTGTATTAAAACGAGAAGGTGAGTTCCTTTCATAATTTCCTCTCTCATATTGATTGGCTTTTAATTTATTTTTCTGCAATATATATGTTTCAGTACAAATTTGAATTTAGTAGGATCCAGAATCCTCCTAGTACAAATTAGAATTAAGTAGGATCCAGAATCCTCCTAGTACAAATTAGAATTTAGTAGGATCCAGAATCCTCCTAGTACAAATTCGAATTTAATAGGATCCAGAATCCTGATAGTAAAAATTGGGAATTTAGTAGGATCCATAATCCTCCTAGTACAAATTAGAATCCTGTTTTATACTTATTAAAATCCAGTACAAATCAAAGTTTTGATATTACTAGTAGGTACAATGTAGTACATGTAGTACCTCAACATGAAATTAAATCAAAACTCGTCTAAATCAAAAAGAAAATTTCTTGTTACAATATATCTTTTTAACTGCATTCCGGCACAAGGCTTGATAATTATGATAGTGCTCTCTTTGCTATAAACACTTTTAAATGAATAAATGTCATAAAGATGGACATATTTATAGATATTTTACACAAAATTGTCTGAGTGCAAATGAAAGTGGCCAAAACAGTATGACAGAGATAAATTGATTCATCTGTTGAGAAGAGCATTGCAATTAGAAAGTGTTAGATGTGTACAAGGGTGTTAAAACATATGAAGGAGCAAATGCAAACAATGCACCAAAAGCAACATCACGAAAACAACTCTTGTTAAAAAAGATATTTAAGTTTATATAAAATTTGCTACATTGCAATTTCTTGCAATTAAACTGATTAATGTTTAAAAATATTATTCAAAAGATGATCGTGTTGAATTACGAACAGTGTTTCCTTGGACTAATTTCATTTGACCCTTTATTGCTCTCCAGAATTTCACATATTCCAGAATTTTTAGGGGAAAAAAAACTTCAGTGATGATTGTCTGTTGGTTTATGTCTGTAAATGCAGGAAAATTTAATATCAAATGTTGTCCATGTTGTAAGGCCAAAAATTGTTTGCTTAACAAAATGCCATAAACAAAGTATTCACAAATGTTGTTATAAATAAACAATTTTATAAATCAGATTTTGTTTGTATAAAAGTATTGATATTTTATTAATATCAATTAGGTATTTTGGTTATCTACTTACTGAGTAAAATCTGGATTCACGCTAACTATTTTTTTCAGTTATATCCGGGATCCTTATACAAGTTTTGGTACAATTTAGGATCCTCCTAGTACAAATCTAATTTTTATACGACTGCAAGCAAATTTTGGGGTCGTATATTGCTATCATGTCGTCATTGGCGTCCGAAAACATTTGGTTTCTGGACAATAACTTAAGTTTAAGTGTATGGATCTCTATGAAATTTTACCGAAAGGTTCAATACCACTAAAGAAAGGTTGGGATTGTTTTTGGGGGTGATGGTCCCAACCGTTTAGGAATTAGGGGCCAAAAAGGGGCCCAAAACAAGCATTTTTCTAGTTTCAGGACAATAACTTGTGTATTAGTATATTGATTGCTCTGAAATTGTACCACAAGGTTCAATACCACAAGTCGAAGGTTGGGATTCATTTTGGGGGTAATTGTCCAAACCGTTCAGGAATTAGGGGCCAAAAAGGGTCTAAAACAAGCATTTTCTAGTTTTCAAACAATAACTTGTGTTTAAGTGTATTGATGTCTCTTAAAATGTACTACATTTTACAAAAAGAAAATTTTCTTCAAATGTTATTTTTTTTAGGGGGAAAGGGGGGGTTGGGGGGTAAAAAAAAATATTTTTGGGGGCGGGGGGGACAATTTTTTATCCTCAAGATTTAAGAAATTGTCAATTTTCCAAAGAAAAATTGGGGGTCACAATTGCTAATTCTTTGTATATAGTCTGAAAACAGATTTACTAAGTATTGCGCAACAGCACAGTGTATTGCACAAAAGCAAGAAATCTTCAATTGAATATAAATTCAAATCGTATAACCAATTTTAAGTTCTTTGACTACTGTTTATTCTGTGTCAGAAACCTATAATGTGTCAAATATTTAATTACAATCCAAATTCAGACCTGTATCAAGCTTGAATATTGTGTCCATTTTTGCCCCAACTGTTCAGGGTTGGACCTCTGCGGTAGTATCCAGCTGCGCTTGGAGAAGCAGTTTATTACTATTATAAATTGGACTTCTTATTTGTACTAGGAGGGTTCTGAATCCTACTGAATTCTAATTTGTACTGTAACATATATATGAACATTTCCAAACTTTTAAAAAACATTTTAATTGACAAAAAATGCACAATATTGGATAAATCGGGCTTTGTATTCCATGTTTGATAAAAATAAGTCTGTTTACAAATTTGGAGTATCATAAATATATGCAGTGATAATTCTGGTTACATATAACCAAGTATCAAAAACATGTTTGTATATTCCAAGGTTGATAACATGATAATAGATATAGGAAGATGTGGTATGAGTGCCAATGAGACAACTCTCCATTCAAGTTACAATTTATAAAAGTAAACCATTATAGGTCAAGGTACGGCCTTCAACACGGAGCATTGGCTCACACCGAACAGCAAGCTATAAAGGGCCCAAAAAAATTACTAGTGTAAAACCATTCAAATGGAAAAACCAACGGTCTAATCTATATAAAAACGAGAAACGAGAAACACGTATGAACTACATAAATAAATACGATGTTTCATAAACATAATTGTGATTACATATTCAAAGTATCAAGTGTTTATCTCTCATATCTTTGAATTTTTAAGTTTATTTTTTTTTAAAAACTAATGCTTTACATTCAAATATAATTACTAAATTTGGTTATTGTCTGACCTCACTGAAGTTGCAGAGGACAGACTTAGGCATACTTCTGGTTAAAGTTTGTGATTAAGTCACTTAAAGGGGAACCACTAAGGGTAGTCAATAATATTTGGTATGCAGTTGTAGAAGTATTGGCACTTCTCGTTTCCATGGAATTTTATTTAGATCTACCTTCAGTCAGGGTCTATTGACTTTTGCATAGTTTACATGTTTTAAATGTTTTTTGATTAGGATAGTTAAAGAAGAAAAAAACATATAAATAGTCAGTAATATTGGTATGTAGTGTATTAGTATTTGGTTATATTATTTCCGCAGAGATTATTTGGCTGTGAACACTCAGTCATGATCCATTGATTTTGTCTTGCCCCTACAAAGTTTCAAAGTTGAGGCTTGGGCATGCTGTTTCACATCATGGTATATTGCAATACCTTAAGTTTATATTATTGACTGTTTGTATGCCCTGTTTCTAATTGCCAGAGGCATATTGTGTTACCTATTTCTATTCTTGCATCATCGAAAATCGAAATTATATTTTTGCATTATGCTTATCGTCTTAATACTGCATTTTTGGTTGTAAGTGTAGAATGGGGAGTTATCATGTCTTTATAGATGATCTACTTTTCACAGAATCAAGTTGTCCTACCTTCATAAGGCAGGAGGTCTCATGAAAGTTTTTCCAACACATCAAGTGATTGTTTATTTTACTAATAAATGTTTCATGCATTTATGCATCTAAATTAAGGATAAAAAAAACAGTTTTCCTTGTCATTTAGCTTAAATATAATACTGGGACATATACAGTTTTTGCTCACACTTGTTGCAGTATTGTTTTCCATTTGAATTTGAAACTTGACTTGAATTTAAATTTTTTTAAATAACTGACATTATGATGGTATCGGGTCCGTTTACACTAATAATATGTTAGCCTTGGGTTCGTTCTCCCTACTTTTATAAAAACAATATTAAATATTAATAGTATTAAGGTTTTATGAACTTATTTACATATTTATATGGTAAAATCGTAAATATTAAAGAAAATATATATTTCTCAAAAGTTAAGAAAAAAACATGGAAATATCTAAAAATTAATGCCTTTTTTTGAAGCATTTTAAAAATTGGCTTTATTGTTATATTTGTTTTTATTTAAAATTACTATTAATGACTGTTGATCGTAATTTAGAATGCTGAATAGGTATAATTATTATGTCTTTGATTTTACAGAATGTTGTATTAATTGTCTTTGGTGGATTAATAACGAAAATTGAAAACAGTTTTATTTAAATAAAGATAAATACAAACAGATAACTTGATTTTCAGTTGTTTTGATATCTTGTATTCCTGTAAACTTCAGTGCAAATAAAACAAAGTAATCTGAAATCAGCATTACAATTTACAACATAAATATTCAGCCAATTTTCAACAAATTTTACTCAAATAATTTACATTATACAACAAGACAGAAAAATAAAATCAAAATCAGAGCGAACGGACCCAGGGCAAATGGGTATTAGGGAGAATGGACCCAGGGCAAACAGGTATTTGGGTGAACAGACCCAGATTCCGTTATGATTACATAAACTTTTCTACTCACAGATAGAAAGGTTTCCTGTTTCTTTCAATTTCTAGCTTTAGGTCTTGATTTGTTTTTGTACCTTTTCATTTGATTTTTAGACAATTGGATGTTGATTTCCTTTTATTGTTATCTTCTACCCCTCATTTCCATTATTGTGATTAATAACAGGAAGTAACAGGCAGACAAATGAGGGCAAACATGTGATGTTTTCTGATGGGATACGACCAGGAGGTGATCTGACAGAACTCGATGGATCTGATACAGCTAACAGACTACCAATGAGACGATCTGGGAGGAGTCAGAAAAAAGTAGAGAAAGGATCCCCAGGTACCCATATAGAAGCTGAACTAAAATACAAAACATAGATTTAATTATATAAAAATGTTATCTGTATTATTGCATATTGATTCTGCAATTTATTAAGTAACATACAATAATTCTTCGAATAGTTTAAATTCCAAATTGTGAAACATCAAAAGTACATGTATTTGAAAGTTTAAAAGTTTTTATGTCCTTTTCATTTATCAATGACATGATGTAATTTAGCACTGAGCACTGCTGCCATTTTGCATGCTAACACTTTAACAAACACTATCACATAGGAATGCAGTTCACTTAGTTCACATGAATAGAAATTATTTGTTTTCATATCGTATACTGTAAATTCAGAAATTATTGCGAGGTTTGTATTAATGAGAATAAATGCGACTTGATGATCATCGCAATAATAAGAACTCGCATTCTGAAATCTGATTCGAATAGCTGTATGCAGATTTTCCTGAAATTGCAATAATCAATCTCGCTTTTTTGTCCATTCTTCAAAAATCGCAATAATAAATGCACGCAATAATTTCTGAATTTACAGTATTTTGAAATTTTTACTGAGCTCATGATATTTGTGTCATTACCAAACATTTCTGGTATTAAATATGTAAACTAAGTCATATTTTTAATTATTTGGAGAAACTGGTTGGGTAATATCTTAATACTTATTCTTGTATTGTCTAAGATCGTATTTATGTACAAATCCTTCAAATGTTCTACCTTTCTTTCAGATGCACATCGTCAGGTGGCCAGAAAGTTACGAGCTGGTGAAGCTAGGAGACATTTATGTTTAATTCCTGAGACTGGTCTTCCTCCTGTTATCATATCTACAGGTGAAAAAGGAGGTAACCACATAAACGCATAAAAGTCAATCAATAATGTATAAAAATTAATATGATTACATAGTAAATGTTCATAATATAAGTTTGAGAATAATTTGGATTTTTGTGGCCCTTCATGAACTTGTCAAGGACGATAAGTTGCACTAAGTGCAAAACCAACTTATAGATGAACAGGCTAGCATGGAAAAGTAGGTACCTATTTTATGTAATCTACTCCTCCTAAAGGTCATTTGACCAATCATTAATTCTAAATAAGTGTGTCTTAAATTTTACATTTATTTTATTTAAAGAGGTAGCTGTCTCATATAGACATTACTGACTTAACGTTTATATTTTCAGGCTATACAATGGAAGAGAATCAGGAAATAGAAAAGATAATGCCTCAAATCAAAGGTATTCTTATAGCATCTATAAAACCACAGTCAATTATCAAATCACATGACCACATGATTCTTATTGCACATTTACAGTGAAGACTTTTTTCCTCCTTTGGATGTTATGGCCTTATTTATGTTCTTATTACCACACACATGAAATTATGTAAATATAAAAAAAAGGAGATGTTGGATGATTTGATAATTACCCACCAAAGGACAACTATAGGTCACTGTATGGCATTTAACATGAAGAAAATCCATATCATATAGTTAGCTATAAAAGGCCTTAAGATAGCAATTTACTCTACATGTTAATGCGTCTTTAAAACAATTAGTATCTTTAAAGATAAGAATTTTTACTTTTGACTGGTTTATAAGCCAAAAATATTTTATTCAGTTTCATAGACAAAGTAAACAAATAGCTCGGTATGTAAAAAAAATACCAGTACCTTTACAGTCAGATAAATGTGTTTTTATATTTTTTGTTCTATTTATAGATGAAGAAGCAGACCCTGTGATATTTGCCTTGAATGCCAATTTATTTGTTTTAGTAAAAATTATCAACTGTAAGTATAATGATCTACATTTTGCATTGATTAACTTAGCCTTTGTTATAGATGTTCAAAAAATTACCCTCACTACCAATAAGCTTCATGTTATAACTCGCAACAGATATTTTACAACGTTTATACTGTGGATTCAATTTTATATGCCCATTTATAGGATGTATTATGGTATACCTTCGTCCGTTCATCATCAGCATGTCGGACAATAACTCAAAAAGGCTTTAACCAATTTTCATGAAACTTCTGCGAATTGTGGGACATAGAAATAATGGGCGTCACTCTGTCTGTCCGTCCGTACATCCGGTCTTGTTAGCGCTCTCACCTGTACAATTCTTGCTAGATTTTTATAAAACTTATATCATAGGTTTATATCAGCAATGTCTCTGATGAGTTAGAAAATCAGTGCTGATCAATAATTTTTAAAAGAGTTATGCCCTTGGAAACATCAATTATATGGAAAATTGCATCGTTAGCTCCCTCATGTGTACAATTCTTGCCAGATTTTATGAAACTTATATTGTAGGTTTATATCAGCGATTTCTTGGACGAGTTTGAAAATCAGTGCCGATCAATTATTTTTAAAAGAGTTCTGCCCCTTAGAAATATTAATTATATGGAAAATTGCATTGTTAGCGCTCTCATGTGTACAATTCTTGCCAGAGTTTTATAAAACTTATATCATAGGTTTATATCAGCAATGTTTCAGACAAGTTTGAAAATCAGTGCCGATCAATTATTTTTAAGAGTTATGCCCCTTAGAAATATTAATTATATGTGAATTTGCATTGTAAGTGCTCTCACATGTACAATTTTTGCCAGATTTTTATCAAATTCATATCAAAGGTTAATATCAGCAATGTCACGGACAATGTCGAAATAATTGCCAATCAAAATTTTTAAAGAGTTATGCCCCTTGGAAATATTATATATCAGAAATTGCTCTCAAGTCATAATTTTGAAAAGTTAAAAAACAAAAAACAAAATATTTTGTTTGGTTTTTGACTTTGGACAGATAAAATATGTGCAATGTGGGGGACATTGGAACTCTTTTCTTTTATTTTGCTATAAATTTCTGATATAACATTGAGGAGTTATGAAACTTTATTCGTTGAAAAAGCGATGGGCGTATCATGTGCTCATTGCACAGCTCTTTATTATTCGTGGGATACCAATTTTCCTGGTTAAAGGTAAATCACAAATTTAAATATGAATTACAAATTTTCTATAAACTTGTATGCAGATTTTGGCAAAACCATGAAATCAAATATCCATGAATGTACAATATCCCTCAATCCATGAAAAATCAGTAACAATGAAAATAAATGAATATACAGTATAGAGAAATCCTGATAATCTAAACATAGAATATGGCTTTTCAAATACTTTGATTAGATATTGAAGTGATATTTGAAACAGACTTATTTTTTTCTATATCTTTAGGTAGTACACAATACAATGAAAAATTAAATTTTTTTGTATGTTTGTTGTAACTATGTCTTGTTTATCAAATTATTGTACATAAAGAGTCATACAGTTTAGATATGAGATATATATTATGAATTTATATCTACAGTGGATTGTTGTGTAAATCGAACCTGTTGGTGTTTTACATCCAAAGGAATGTGCAACGTAGGACAAGATGAAATTGTATTTGTTTTAGAAGTTATACCAGATGAAGAAATGATACCGCTAGACATATTACGTCACTTTTACACTATCTATGAAGAGGCTGGCAAAGGTATATAAAAACTTAATATGAGGGAAAAAAACTAATTATATATCTGGTACATACATTGTCTTCATCGTCTTATAAAATTGTCCATTTGAAAATATACATGGATTTGAAAACCAGAAATAAGTATAGTAATTTTAGCATTAAATACATTTCCCATCTTTTTTATTGATTTAAAAAAAAGTGATGTATTCTTAACATGCACACATTTGTAAAGTTTACATTTCTATACTTAACAACAAGATAGGATTAGTCAGAAATTGTAATACATTGGTTTTGAAATCCAGTGAATGAAATTTTTTATTTGCAGATTTTGGAAAAAAAACATTTTAATTTCTCAAAAAACCAAGTTTCTCACCCCCAAATTAAATTTTTTTTTTTTATAATTTTGAGGAAATTAAAACCTGATTGATGTCTTAGAAAGACAGAATGACAAATAATTGTTTTCTGTTTTCTAGTTGCATTCCTACCCTACACTTACTTTTGAATTTCAATTTTTATACTGGAAAACTCTGCTGTCGAATTACAAATAAGTATTCTTTATTAGTTTTAGATTAATTTCTAGTAGTTACTTATTTTTTTTTAATTTCAAACAAAAATAAGTTCAATAAACTAAGAGTTGGACCACAAAGGAAATTTCTTGTGTTGCTGAAGGTTGTGTAGGTTAGAGGATCATTAAAAAATACAGACACTGAAGCTAAAAAGATCTATCACCATATAACTAGTGTACATGAACAATTTTTTTTTAAATTATGTGCATGAAATGAACATTTCAAGATCTCTGAATTTTACTCCAAGCTCATAGACGTAGAAAAAGGAGGAGAAAAATAAAGTTTGGTAAGATAATTATTTTCAACTACTATTGTGTTATGTTCAAATGTGCATGCTGTTTGTCCAAAATTAACAACTTAATCGATAACTTTGCTCAGTATCTATTTAGATATTAAAAGGTCTTTCAGTAGAATGTATTTTAGGATTGATGATTTGCAAATATCTTCATAATTCTCTCGCAAAAACACCTGAAAACATTTTTTATGCTCCCGTCGTAGCGGAGGGGGCATTAAGTTTTACCCTTGTCCGTCTGTACGTCCGTACATACGTACGTCCCAAAATTTGTTTCCGTTCTCCAACTTTAGTTTGCCTCAACCAAATGTTATGAAACTTATACACAATGCTTATTACCACAAAAAACAGATCAAGTTTGAACTTTGCTGGCATCACTTTTATTGTTCTAAAGTTATGCCCCTTTACAAATGCAAAAATTTCTGGATTTTTTTGTTTCAGTTCTCTAACTTAAGTTTGCCTCAACTAAATATTATGAAACGTATACACAATGCTAATTACTACAAAACTCTGATCAAGTACAAAGGAGTAGGTTCGATAAGGTCCTTAAATGGCCCCTATTTCTGGCTAAAATTTAAAATTAGATTAATTGACCAATACAAAAATAAATCATAGCTAATACAATGACAATATCGAAAATATATGTTTTTATGAAAATTTATGTACTTGCGCTCTGTTCATGACGTCACAAATAGCACTCATTTTGATTTTCCACGAAAATTCAATGAAAATGGACAAATTTCCTTTGATTTCATGGATAGGAAACATAGAGTGTAGGCATTGACAAAAAAAATCTTTTAATATAATCTTTGTTATGGCATTTTCCATATCTGACACAAATATTTAGTTTGTCGACGCCTGCACTCTATGTTTCTTAGGCATTAATTTGGTTGAAATCAGTTCGATTTTGTCAAATTTTGCAATAATCTCTGTTTTTGACCTATTTGAGATGTAAAAATCAACGCTTCAGAATAAAACTTTGACAAAAATACTTCTATTAACTTCCTCGCATGTCTTTTCATCAACTTAAAACATTTATCATCCTGAGACATTGAACTTAATAATTGGGGCCAAATATGGCCCTTTCCGAACCTACTCCTTTGGGTAGCATCACTTTTACAGTTCTTGAGTTATGTCCCTTTATAACATTATGTGCAAGCGGGGGGCATCATCTGTGTTCCATGGACACATTCCCCATTTATTTCATTTTCTTTTTCAATTGATTTATAATGATATCAGTATCCTTGAAACAACCTCACCTGGCAAAACAAAATGTACAAACTTCAAAGCCTTCCTTGGGCAAAATCTCTTCCCCTCCCACCTCCATGTCAAACAATATTAAGTTATGTTCATCAGAACCAATCAAATTATTATGCATTCAATTACAAAAAAAAATGAAGAAACTATTTTCTCCCCTACTAAATGAAAAAATAAGAAATGAAACAAACAAACAAGTAAAAGGCTAAATCTACAAATGTCATTTTAAAAAGAAACATTTCAAATAAAAAACAAAAGACTGCATCCTATTTTTGGGAAGGGGATTCCCTCTTTTGGTAGCATTTGCTTTATGATGAAAAAAACCCACAAACACACACTTTTAAATATTTTTATTACATCTTTATAATGCCTTTAACTCTTTGTATGTTGATCATATAATTCACGATAACAGAGCAGAGAAAAATCTCATACTGTCTTTTTTATCTTCTTAATTTGTATGCATTTGAATGAAAAAGGTCATGAAACTTTTTTCTTACAATCATTTCAAAATTGAAATCTTTCAATACAGTTTGCTTTGCATGGTCTATAATGCAAGGAATGTGAAAAATTTGTCCTGATTGCTTCAAGTCTGTCTTTCATTAGGACTATTCCATGAGCAAATGCAGGGGTTTGACAGCATTTTCGAAAAAAAAATTCAACCATGCATTTCCATTTCACATTCCTCATAACCCCCTTTATGGTTGATTCTGTAAAAGTTGTAAATTGATTAGTTAATTACAGTTTTACAAAGTAACACAAAGACTTTTGTTTCTTCCTTTATCTTGTCCTAATGAAACAATGGAATTAAATCATATCGAATTCATATGCCTTTAATGGATCTAAGTAAGTAAATGCAAGAGATTGTGATGTATTTTTTAAACGTTACTAAATTTAAAACTGTTGGAAATTTATTCATAGCAGATATGCTGCTGTAACAAGAAAGAGAAAACATAGCATGATCAGTAATTGAGGTAGAAACGATTTTAGATACCATTTATCACGTTGAATTGTGCATGAAACAAAAGAGAGTTAAAATATTGGAAATTCCCCATTTTGTAAGATTAAGAATAAGGAGTTAGGAACATCCTTTTGTCAGTAACCATTTGATAGGTAAATTTTCACTGTTATTAGATGGACTCTTACATGAGCTTTTTTACCTTCCAAAGGCTTATCAAATGGTCAGAAATTAAACACATCTTCAATATTTTCAGGTAATACTGTGACCCACATGGGCCATACAATATTTAATCAGACGTTCCTTGATAGCCGTGATCATGGAGGAATCCTTTACATCAGACCTACATTCCAGTGTTTACATAAACTCTTACTGCCTTCCCCACCGTATGTGTTTGGTATCTTACTACAGAAGTGGGAAACCCCGTGGGCTAAAGTGTTTCCCCTCAGACTACTCCTTAGACTAGGAGCAGAATATAGATGTAAGTAAAAGTGTATTTGATTTGTGATATATAAAAACCCATGGATCAAACTGTTTCTTAAGACATAGAGCTTCAAATAAGGTACACAAGTACTGTGTAATGCAGAACAGAAAACAACAGATGTAAACAAAAAAAGAAGAAAAAATACCATTGACATAGGTGCAACCAAACTATATGCATTAATATATAAGTTCCCCTGTTAGTTAAGAAAATTCTCAACAAAGGAATGGTTTCAGCTTTATAGCACTGAAGCCAGATATAACTAATTATAGCAAGATTTGTATGGTGTATCAGGTATTTGTCTGTAATAAATTACTTTTAGGTGATCTACAATACACAGATGATGGAAAACTGTTGGTTTTACACCTGGCACAAAGTAGGTACCTTCTATAGCATTTATTGAACAAAGTTACTAAGGTTCACACATTGGAAACCTGGGAAAAAATCATTCAAATCTGTCCAGTGCACATGTTCAATATGTGTGCAATCATTCTGCAATGTTTGAATAATGTTGAAGAAAACTGTTTGAGCTATGCACAACACAAACTAGATACTGTATGGATGGACTGAGTGGAGTGGTAACAAGACCTGCTCTTGCCTCTGGGAATGCAGATAAAAAAAAATAAAATACAAACCAGTGAGTTTATAAAACTCTTCATAGAAAGTAAAGATTGAGCTGTATCAACTCCAGCAAAAACCAGGGTGAATTAAGTTGATCCAAAAGGGTAATCAGTTCCTTCTCCAATAAAGGCAACAATTATTTAGCCACAAGGTGCTGCTGGAATGTTGTTACATCAATATGAAAAGATCATAATTGAAAAATTGAAGTTATCTCTATTTTCATAAAAGATACGTTCTCAGTGGTCCCTCATTATTTGATTTTTTGGTATAAGTTAAGGTATGAAGTAGGGTTAGCTGTGGTATCATTTATTTCAAGTTAAAAGGGTAATGCTCGTTTCCTTTAATTCAAATTAGAGACCCTGTTAAATATAAGAATAAGAAGATGTGGTATGATTGCTAATGAGACAAATTACTATCCACCAAAGTTCAAATGAAGTGGATGTAAGTCTGTTACATACAAATAAAAGAACCAGTAAGCAAAACGAGAAGTACTTTACCAAGTCCCACTCAAGATTTCCAAACTGGTGTGATAAGTTAATAAGTGACAATCCAATGTCATTTGGTCAATTGTGTTTCCCTCCATCATAAATCTGGAATCAATGTATATAAATATAATAATATTTTTAGCAGGCAAATTGATATTGAACTAATGTGTAGAAAGTATGATTGTACTGCAGCAAGTAAACTGAAAAATATTTAATTAGAATAAACACATTTTTTACAGACTATCCTTGTCCATTGATAAGTGTAAGAAACCGTAAACCTGTGTTCTTTGAGATTGGTCACACCATAATGAACTTATTGGCCGACTTCAGGAACTTCCAGTATATGTTACCTCAGATTAAGGGTGTTTCTATACACATGGAAGACAAGAAAACAACCATTACTTTCCCTAGAAACAGATATGAAGATGTAAGAATTCTAACAATAGTGTATGACATGTACTCTAATATTTATATTAATGTATTAGAGGTTTATTTGTTATGATCAATTTTAGTATGCCTGTATAAAATAAATTTTCCTATGAAATGATGGTTTTGTAATTATGCTACAACATAAAATAATCACTGCACAGAAAAAGTTCACACCTCAATTAACCAGCTTTTGATTCTGTACTCTTTGAACTTTTAAAGGCGATCACAAATAGCAGTAAGTAAAGAGGACCTAGCTTGGTGTTTATCAACTGGAAAGTTATCTCATGTTTTTTATCGCATATTTTAATAATAGCAATGTAAAATAAAACTTACAGCATATATTAAATACATTATGAATTTTCATGGTTTTTGTTTTCACAGATAATGAAAGTTGTTAGTAATAGTAATGAACATGTGATGGCATTAGGGGCAAGTTTTAGTCTCCAGGCTGACTCACATTTGGTCTGTATACAGAATGATGATGGCAACTACCAAACACAGGCTATAAATATACAGAACAAACCCAGGAAAGGTAAATACCAAACACAGGCTATAAATATACAGAACAAACCCAGAAAAGTTAAATACCAAACACATGCTATAAACATACATAACAAGCACTGGAAAGGTAAATGTAAATCACAGGCTATAAACATACAGAACAAACCCAGGAAAGGTAAATACCAAACACATGCTATAAATATACAGAACAAATTCAGGAAAGTTAAATACCAAAACACAGGCTATAAAAATACAGAACAAACCCAGGTAAGGTAAATACCAAAACACAGGCTATAGAAATACAGAACAAACTCAGAAAGGTAAATACCAAAACAGAGGCTATTAACATACAGAACAAACCCAGGGAATGTAAATACCAAACACAGACTATAAACATACATAACAAACACATTCTATAAACAAACAGAACAAACCCAGAAAAGATAAATACCAAAGACAGGCTATAAACATACAAAACAAACCCAGGAAAGGTAAATACCAGACACATGCTATAATCATACAGAACAAGCACTGGAAAGGTAAATATAAATCACAGGCTATAAACATACAGAACAAACCCAGAAAAGGTAAATACCAAACAGACTATAAACATACTGAACAAACTCAGGAAAGGTAAATACCAAACACAGGCTATAAACATACAAAACAAACCCCGGAAAGGTAAATACCAAACACAGGCTATAAACATACAGAACAAACCCAGAGAATGTAAATACCAAACACAGACTGTAAATATACAGAACAAATGCAGGATTGATTAATTGTTGGTGTTAAAAGCCACTTTCAGCACTATTGGCTTGTTCATGGTGGTCAGTTTTATCGTTGATTGAGGAAGCTGGAGAAAACCACGACCTTTGACAGGAAAATTGACAATCCTAGTCAATTAATGTTGGAATAAAACTTACCTGCCACATGTACGTGAGGTTCGAACTCACGACCTCAGTGTTGACAGACTAGTGATACAAAAGTTAAACTACTTAGATCACTTGGCCACCGAAGCCCCATTACAAAACCAGGAAAGGTAAATAACACACACAGGTTATAATCATAGAGAACAAACCCAGGAAAGGTAAATACCAAACACATGCTATAAATGGCTTCAAACATAAATAACTAACCCAATAAAGTTGAATAGCAAAAACAGCAAACAACAAACATTCAGCACAAATTAAAAAAAATTAAAAAAAAAAAGCTTTAAACTTTAAACTCACTGAACTCACTTAATTGTTTGTCCACTCAATATAGGAGTTATTACCCGTCAATGATGATTTAACAATTTTATTAGGCATTTTTTGGCAAAGGCTATAGTAGATAGAGGGAAGATGTACACAGCAAAAATGATCAGCCAAACAAGCCCATTTTTGTGTAAGACAAGACAAGATCGACAAAGGTCAAACTTGACCAAAATCAATAATTGACTGTTCATAAGAGTTACATGTATTACCAATTTTTGCATTTTTGGCTACAATCTTGAAAATTTAAATATATATTTGAAATAAATGGAATTTTGTCTTTATATTCCCTAGAGTCACAGGTGAGCTATTCCAGCTCCTTAGAGCCCTCTACTTTCACCCTTTAAAGATGTCACATATTTTGTGACATAGGGATGCTTGTCCAGTGGAAACAGCATAAACTATTTGTTTAAATTAATACCCCAAGGGTGTTTAGTGTATAGAAATATGGTAACTTTTGGTCTTCTACCTACAACAGTTGCCAAAGTGGGGCATCTGTTTGGATATGTGATGTATAAATTGGCAGCCACATCTGTCAGAATTGGGACTTTAAATCTTATGCCTCATGTATAGAGAGTGCTCTCTGCATGTCAAGAACCCTTGCAACAACTCATTTGAGGAATCCGTAGAAGACTTGTTGCAAGGCTACATTTCTGTCCCTATCCAATAACCACCTACCCGGTCGACCCCCTATTGCACAACCTACCTATTGTTTTAATTGTTAATTTGTTCTCTTCTTGAACATGCATGGAATAATTGCCACTTGACATTTAATAAGCAAACAACATTTTATAAATCAATTATTTAAAGCTAGATAATTCAGTAGGTGGGAGAGCAGCATCATTCATATCTGGTATGCAGATACCTTATGATCTGCAGTTTCTTTCTGTCATAGTCCTTTGTTCTTGACCTCATTTTCAGAATTCAGCCACTGTGTAAAAATATTAAAGGTTTATGTGGTATTTTTAGTTACGAAGTGATAGGTCAATTATATTTAGTATATTGAATCATTGTTAGGTGTACATGTCTGTCAGACAGGATTCATTTCACATTGACCTCATTTCATGGTTCATTGATCAATGTTAAATTTTTGGAATTAGGTCAGGTTTGAGTAACCATAGAAAATGTTTTCACTATATTTGATGCATAAAATCATGATAATGTGTACATGTCAGCCATGCAGTGTCCTCTTGACTGAACAAATTTTATGGTTCATTGATCATTATTATTTTAATGTTATACCTGTAGTAGGATCCTGATCTCAAAAATTTCAGCTTATAACTCAGTCATAATCACTTAAATCTGGGGAAATATATCATTGTATCCCTTCTTTGATGATTTGTTAGTATTGTTTTTCGGTTTTCTCACAGTATTTTCAATTGAAATTTCAGATCAATAATGTTATATAGATTTAATAAAGAATATGTTAGAATAAATGATGAATATAAAATGAACAAGTTTTGGAACATTGAGTTAGTGGTGATATCATAAGTGTGCATTCTGGTGATAAAAATCTCATTGTTAACATCAATGGTTGCAGACATAATACTGACAAGTTGAATTAATGATTTCAGTCACTGGTGCAAGTTTTGTTGTATTTAATGGTGCTTTGAAGACAAGTTCTGGACTGAAGGCTAAATCAAGTATTGTGGAAGATGGGCTGATGGTCCAGATAACACCAGAGTCCATGGTGGCCCTCAAACAAGCTTTAAAAGACATGACAAGTTACACAATAGAATGTGGCAGTGTTACAGCTGCTAGTCCTGATGAAGTTGTTACAATACAGTGGGGAGAAGATGATAAAAATATAAATATTGGGTAAGTGTACCCTCATTATTAGTATCGACACTATAGGGAGAATATGATAAAAATATAAATATGGGGTAAGTGTACCCTCATTATTAATATCTACACTATAGGGAGAATATGATAAAAATATAAATATTGGGTAAGTGTACCCTCATTATTAGTATCTACACTATAAGGAGAATATGATAAAAATATAAATATTGGGTAAGTGTACCCTCATTATTAGTATCTACACTATAGGGAGGAGAAATATTAATTTTGGGTAAATGTTCTTTACATTATTTATCTATACTATTGGCCTAATTTGGAGAAGAAGAAATAATAATGTCGAATATTCACATACATACCATGAGTTATTTCCCTTTAGTACACTGTCAGCATGTCTTAATTTTGATCTATGTATTTTCAGTGTAAAAAGTCCAATAGATGACATGTCAATGGATGGTATAGAGAGTATACACATACCCAATGCCACAGATTATGTTGGAGAAAAACAGATAATAAGATGGACAGATGTGTTCTTTATTCAGAATAAAGATTCTGGATCAGCCAGATGGGAACCAGTAGATCTGAGTCGACTAGCAGAAACTTTGTCTAATGCCACATGTATAGCTCTTACCCCTCACCTGGATAAATTAAAGGAAGCTGATTTGACTAAAGTAGCATTGAGAGTAAATATTGAAATTGAGAAGGTAATTTATATTACAAAAGTGTTAAGTGTCAATAATTTAGTGTAAAGAGTAAAAGTAATACATTTTTTTGAACAGGTTGCTCAGGTTCAGGTTAAAAACAAATGGAAAACAAAAAATCTGAGATTCAGCAGGAAATGCAAATATAAGTTAAACTAGTAAGTCAAGTTAGAAAAAAATGATAATCAGAATAATATTAAAATAAGGATGTGGTATGATTTCCAATGAGACAACTATCCAACAAAAGACCAAATGACATGGATGTAAACAACCCCAGGGACCAAGGGTCCGGAAACGGTCATATATGCCAGACATGACCGATTTGGAAACTGAAAAGACCGAAATGATTTATTGGGATTTAGGTCTTTTTTTTTTTTTTTACAGAAATAATTTCGGTCATTTCATTGAGATCAGGGTTTTATCGGTCGCCATTTTGAACTTATTTTTGTTTTCAGCTCATCAAGAAAAATAGATTTGTTTGAGACAAAATAAAAATTTTATTGATTTGTGTTAGTGATTTAATAATATTTATCATTAGTCTGTTGTTTATTCTATAATGTAAGTGAAAACAATGTACAGGACTCTGTCGAGTCACACCGTGGGGTAAGTCTGGGTTCAAGCCACTAGGTTTGTTTACATAGTAATTATCACCACTTGAGGATAGTAATCAATGTCCAGGAAGTTTGAATTCGGCTTGGGTGTCCTTATTGTCTTGATTAAAGCCATAAAGGCCATGTACACAAATCTCACCTGTAAACACCTGTTAAGCAATAAAAACAATATGGCGATTTGCTGTGCATCAAATTTAACGTTTTAACCATTCTGACCTAGATTTTCCCAAAAAGATATTATTTTATTCATTAAAGAAGTCAAATAACACTGTTGACTCGAGAATCTGTCCATTTTTATCCAAATAAAACATATAATCCATTTATAATCGATCAGCTGATTTGGTCAACGTTTGTTAAATATAGATTTATGTTTACTGAGTTTGCGCATGGAAAATGGGGATCAACATGGGTTAATTGATGATCTTATTTGAAAGATCGATTTTACTGTTAACTTTTCGGTAGGAAATGGCAGATAAAGATATTAATAGATTTACAAAAGTGGTAAAGCGTATAATTTATAGGAATGCAGAATTAAAAAAAAATGTTTAAAAAAGGAATTAAAACTAAATAACGTAATTTAGATTTGAAGCCATACAGCCTATTTAAGAAATATACTCAGCAAATGAACAATCTCGATTTCTTTTTGTTTTTTTTGCACTTCCGATTTTTTGAAACCATCTTACTCACAGAATGTAATGGGCGTTATCCTTTCTTTTGTTTTCCTGGGTAAACTTCCGATTTTTACCCAAGTGAAGCCATACATTCTCTCTGGACTGTATTACAATGCAATTGTTTTTCATTGAACTGTTGTAATTGTGTACAAACTTCTGTTCAGATAAATTATTTATTTATTTAAAATCATGAATTTTATTATTAAATTCAATTGTTATCACTATACCAGACTTGAGTTATTTATTCAAAGAAAAGTTGAATCATAGTTTCCCCTTTTTGATCCTCTTATCGTAAACCAGGTGAATACACATTATCTTGTTGTGTATTAGGTAATCACTTACACTCATCCAAACAGCAGCAATTTGAACAATACAAACGATATCTTGTACATGCAATAAGAAACTCAACACAGTTTATTAATTGGTTTACATAAGTTTATTTCAAAATGATGAAACAAGCCGTAATTATTCCTCTTTAAATTTATGCAAATTTAAAGGGTTATGCATACGACCTCAGTGATGCAATACACAACAACAAAACGTCTCCTCGTGTAGTTTCTAACTCAGAGACATCACTGTTACTGTTAGATCAGGGTACAGTTACACTTGTTTGACCCAATACTTCACAAAAAAGGACTTTACTTGTCCATGTGCAAGACTTGTCACCCTCAGAAAAATGCATTATTGTGCATCAAGATATTATTACATCACAAAAAAAAATGACCGAAATGACTTGGGAAAATTTCCGGATCCTTGCCAGGGACCATACAGCCTTCAACAGTGAGAAAACCTCATCCTGTTAATAAATTTACTTTGTCAGCTAGAAATTTTATGTTAAAATAAGAGATGTAAACAAGTACTTATGGCTCTGTTTGTCTGAGTATGAATATGATGCTCAATTAATCATACTTATTGAAGGGGGCATTATGTTTTCTAGTAAGTGCATCATGAACATGAGAATATGATAGTGTGAGCAAGACATGGTATGGTGTCTTATGAACATATTCTTGTTAAATTCATGGACAGTTTTAAGAAGTATTAAGTAAAAGAATCAAATGCAAGACTTGAAAATTTCAGACACCCTTAGGTAAGATTTCCTATAATCTCTGGAGAATCCTCATCAGATTGGAAATCTCAACCTTTGTTTGTCAGGGATTCCTTACTACTGGACTCTTAGCTTTAAGATTCTTGGTATCTTTTGTAATAATGTTTAGGAATTCGAATAATTATTACAATGTACAGCATGATTTATTTTCATCATTTATAGGTTGGATATGAGATAGGAGCCAATGGTGAGAGATTACCTGATTTGTACATGAATGACCTAGATAATGAACTTATACCTGTGATACATAGTGCTGCCTCGCAGAACAGAGGCGGTGCCATCATTTTGGAACTTATATTTCATATACTAGATTAAAACCATTAATCATATTCAGTTTCAACTTCTTGAGAAATCTATGTATACACAAAATTGTACAAAAATCACTTCATTATTATTATTGCAGTTGAAAACCATTTCTTCAAAAATGTAATATGGTTACTTAAGATGTGTGTACATAATGGATCTGTCAAAAACAAATGCAGATGTGTCTCAGAAATTTTTTTTTAAACAGGCAATTCATATTTTCTTAGGAATTTCAAGATAATGGTCTTTAACCTCTCTGTTTATTTTTTAGTTCTCAATTTTTCCATATTCTTAGTTAGAAATATGTATAGGTATTTGAAACCATATTGAGAGGAATATATACTTAAAGTTTAAATTGATATTTTTGTTATAAAATCAAATTTTGTTATTAAAAAGGTTACTTCATCATCACATCTGCATTCATATAAAAGCATAAATAAGGAAGAGATGAGAAATTTACCATTTGAAAATTAATATTTGTGCATATAATCGGAGACCTTGTAAACAGCAAGCTTTGTATATTTGATTATGCTAAATGTGCGAAATCAATTGATATCAGAGAAAATCATTTCTTTGGTAATAACTAGAAACTTATTAATATTGACTGGGTTTACTCCATGGAGAGTTATTGGATCTTATAATTCCTATTACTGTTTATTTTTCATATTGTTTACTAAACTAAGAAAGGACTTTCAGTATAAACTGGTTAAGTTATTGTACAGTATAAATTTTAACAAGGTCTGTAAAGTAAAAGTTGTATGGGATGATAAGCTCTGATATGCTAGATTATTTACATGTACAATTTTCATAGAACTCAATGTATTTCTAGTAAGTAAACTGTAAAAGTCACTTTAATTCTTACTAATTTTCAAAGAAATCTTTTTTGTTTTTATGAAAGCATTTGAAATGTTGCCTTGAGGAAATACATTAATTGATAAAATACATATCGTTACTGTTGAAATAAATACCAAAGAAAAGTCTGTCACAAACGAATGATTAAGACATATATAGTAGTATTTCAGTCAGCTTATTTGTATACAACTTTCTCTGAACAGGTTACCATAATTTTGTTAAGTTTCATTTGATTATTGATTTATAGAATATATTTATTTGTGTAAAAAGTTACAAATATTTTGTATATTTAATGTTTGATTACTATTTATCTACAACATGAAACCCTGACAGAAGAAAATATCATTTATTTTGTGTACATTGAATGTTTAAGAATTTTGTTAAAGGCCAAATGAAGGTGATTGTGTTTTAAATGTATATATCTGTTGAGAGTTTAGTCTTGAATCTTTGCTATCTAGTTTCTATGCTGTTGATACAACAGTTCTGAAGAAATTTGTTAACAGTTTTGTAGGCAGTTGAAGTATTTCACAAAATAGTTCAAAGCATGTCTTATATTATAATGTCTAAAGAGAAAATGTGTATCTTGCTTTGCCTTGCTTGGTTATGTATGTTTTATGTATAAGTGTCTAACAAATATTCATGTATAATTCTAGTCAATTTGTTTTTGGTCAAGATTTCCTGAACATGTTATTATAATCATTCAAAAATATTGAAAATAAATATGAAACTTTTATGAGATATTTTTAGATATCTTTCATTATATTTTTCCAATTATTTTTTTATAAAAAAATATTTTAGAACTTCAGTTTGAAATAGTTTATTGTTAATAGAAATCATGATCCACATGATAAAAAACTATAAATTTGTTTATGTGCTAAAATTTCCATCCTATGAAATGAAATTTCTTTTTTTTTAAATATTTTCTTTAAGTTTCTCAGTTTCCAAAATTTACATATTTCTGTTGTGTGATGAACTGTATGACTGAAAATTGTTAGGTAGCACATATTTTAGTATGTTTCCCTGCTAGTTTAACTAAAACAATGAATATTAAATAAACATAGTAGATGTTGATAAAATAGTAAAGATTGCTTGAAAGGACATTAAATGGGAATGAAAAATATAGTTTCAAGTATTAAAATATGTTTATGCAAAAAAGACACTGAAATATGCAATTTTCAATCTGACAATGAAGAAAAACAAAGTTTAAATCTGATAAAAAAAAATGGCAATATGAATATACCGGTATATGAAGCATTTAACTATATTTATAGTATATTGCATTATAGGAAGAATAAAATAAATACATACCTAAAATGTCTGTTCAAACAACTGTTGTTGCTTTTACTGATCTTTTTTCTCTTTGGCTATACCATGGTCAAATCCCACCTGTGACCTTGGGGCTTTGGCAGGAGAAATTACCAATACTTTAAATCTATAGCCCATAAGGGACTATGGGAAAGTATAAGAAAATACTATAAAATCTACCAAAAGAACAAGAAATATGATTTATCATAATCCTTTGAAGAAAAAAGATCAACTTGTGCTAGAATTTAGTTTGGTATAATTTATCAGTATGTTGGTTGCATGTTTATGATTTCAAAAATAAGTTTTTATTTTAAACATTTCTTTATAGCCCCTTTAAACGGAAAGTTTATTTTGAAAGGGGTATATAGGAATCACCATGACTGTATGTCAATATGCCATATAAGTACAACTAAACAACTAGATGGATATTGAAGTAACTTGACACATGTGTAGAGAACTACATGAAGATGTGCTTAAAATTCTGGTCCAAATGTGTGGAGATAGTTGAATTAAGGTACTTCAATGTTACAGGATGTAGTAATAGTTCCTTGCTAGGCTAAGATATCCTTTTGTGATTTCTAGTTCTTTTAAGAAACTTGAGATCATCACAGTTGTTTTTATACGACCGCAAAAATTTAAAAATTTTTTGGTCGTATATTGGTATGACGTTGGCGTCGTCGTCGTCGTCGTCGTCCTCTGGCGTCGTCCGGCGTTGTCCGAATACACATTGGTTTTCGCACTCTAACTTTAGTTTAAGTGAATGGATCTCCATGAAATTTTACCATAAGGTTCAATACCACGAAAGGAAGGTGGGGATTGATTTTGGGGGTTTTGGTACCAACAGTTAAGGAATTAGGGGCCAAAAAGGGGCCAAAAAAAAGCATTTTTGTAACTTCCAGACAATAACTTGTGTGTAAGTGTATGGATCTCTCTGACATTGTACCACAAGGTTCCATATCACAAAGGGAAGGCTGTAATTGATTTTGGGGGTAATTGCCTCAAAATTTTAGGAATTAGGGGCCAAAAAAGGGGCAAAAAACAAGCATTTTTCTAGTTTCATGACAATAACTTGTGTGTAAGTGTTTGGATATTTCTGAAATTGTACTACAAGGTTCCATATCACAAAGGGAAAGCTGGAATTGAGTTTGGGGGTAATTGCCCGAAACGTTTAGGAATTGGGGGCCAAAAAGGGGTCAAAAATAAGCATTTTTCTAGTTTCCAGACAATAACTTGTGTTCAAGTGTATGGATCTCTCTGAAATTGTACTGCAAGGTACCATACCACAAAGGGAAGGCTGGGATTGAGTTTGGGGTGAGGAATCATAAGGGGGTTCAAAAAATTTGGGGGGGGGGGGATTTTTTTTTTTCTTTTTTTTTCTTTTTTTCCTTTTTTTTTTCTTTTCAAATTTTCCATTTTAAGTTGGTTATTTCTGATTAATATTTAAAAGCAAATAATAATGATATGGTAGGAGATACACACCAAACAGGATGTGTGAATTATTAATTAATAAGTATTGTGCAATAGCAAGAAATTTTCAATTGCACAGTATTGCACAATTGCAAGAAATCTTCAATTGCACAGTATTGCGCAATAGCAAGAAATCTTCAATTGCACAGTATTGCGCAATAGCAAGAAATATCCAATAGCACAATATTGCGCAATAGCAAGAAATTGTCAATTGTACAGTATTGCACAATAGCAAGAAATATTCAATTGCACAGTATTGTGCAAAAGAAGATACTTCGTATAAATTGCTTATTTCTTGATCAATTTCAATGGGGTTTTATTCTTGAATCCTTGGGGTTCTTTAATATGCTGAATCTAACCGTGTATTAAGTTTTTGGATTTTGGGCCCCGTTTTTAAATTGGTCTACATTAAGGTCAAAAGGGTCCAAAATTAAACTTAGTTTGATTTTAACAAAAATTGAATTTTTAGGGTACTTTGATATGCTGAATCTAAACATGTATTTAGATTTTTGATTATGGGCCCAGTTTTCAAGTTGGTCCAAATCGGGGTCCAAAATTAAACTTTGTTTGATTTCAACAAAAATTGAATATATGGGGTTCTTTGATATGCTGAATCTAACCATGTATTTAGATTTTTGATTTTTGGGCCCCGTTATCAACTTTGTCCACATTGAGGTCAAAAGGGTTCAAAATTAAACTTTGTTTGATTTCATCAAAAATTGAATTCTTGGGGTTCTTTGATATGCTGAATCTAACCATGTATTTAGATTTTTTATTTGTGGACCCGCTATCAAATTGGTTCATATTGAGGTCAAAAGGGTCCAAAATTAAACTTTGTTTGATTTCATCAAAAATTGAATTATTGGGGTTCTTTGATATGCCAAATCTAACCGTGTATTTAGATTTTTAATTTTGGGTCCCGTTTTTAAATTGGTCTACATTAAGGTCCAAAGGGTCCAAAATTAAACTTAGTTTGATTTTAACAAAAATTGAATTCTTGGGGTTCTTTGATATGCTGAATCTAAACATGTGTTTAGATTTTTGATTATGGGCCCAGTTTTCAAGTTGGGGTCCAAAATTAAACTTTGTTTGATTTCAACAAAAATTGAATATATGGGGTTCCTTGATATGCTGAATCTAAACATGTATTTAGATTTTAGATTTTTGGCCCAGTTTTCAAGTTGGTCCAAATTGGGGTCCAAAATTAAACTTTGTTTGATTTCAACAAAAATTGAATATATGGGGTTCTTTGATATGCTGAATCTTACCATGTATTTAGATTTTTTATTTGTGGGCCCGCTATCAAATTGGTTCATATTGAGGTCAAAAGGGTCCAAAATTAATTTTTGTTTGATTTCATCAAAAATTTAATTATTGGGGTTCATGATATGCCAAATCTAACCGTGTATTTAGATTTTTAATTTTAGGTCCCATTTTTTAAATTGGTCTACATTAAGGTCCAAAGGGTCCAAAATTAAACTTAGTTTGATTTTAACAAAAATTGAATTTTTGGGGTTCTTTGATATGCTGAATCTAAACAGGTGTTTAGATTTTTGATTATGGGACCAGTTTTCAAGTTGGTCCAAGTTGGGGTCCAAAATTAAACTTTGTTTGATTTCAACAAAAATTGAATATATGGGGTTCTTTGATATGCTGAATCTAAACATGTATTTAGATTTTAGATTTTTGGCCCAGTTTTCAAGTTGGTCCAAATTGGGGTCCAAAATTAAATTTTGTTTGATTTCAACAAAAATTGAATATATGGGGTTCTTTGATATGCTGAATCTAACCATGTATTTTGATTTTGGACATTGGACCATAATAGGTAAATTAAAAAAATTGAAGTTCTTAGACCACATTCTTTCTGTGTCAGAAACCTATGCTGTGTCAAATATTTAATCACAATCCAAATTCAGAGCTGTATCAAGCTTGAATGTTGTGTCCATACTTGCCCAAACTGTTCAGGGTTCGACCTCTGCGGTCGTATCAAGCTGCGCCCAGCGAAGCATTTTATTAGTAACTTGAGATGAAAGTTATAATGGCTATTTATTTCTTTGAATGTTTAATGAATAAGACCATTATTTCTAATTATAATACCTTTAGTATCATATGAAACATCATCTGGTATGTATGTCCTTACAAAACCACTCGTATGAATATAGAGTTGGATAATAAAATAATGATAGGCAACCCAACAATGCAACTTTACAGAAAAATGACATCTAAAAGCCACCATAAGGCAATAACAATGGGCAAAGATTTAATACCACACTGCATTGAGTCATCGTGAGGTAGAACACGTCCAAGTATCAATCACAAAATGCCTTATAGATTTGATAAATAACGAATTATTTTAGTTTGTAATTGTTGATAATTGTTTCAGACAGATAAATGAAAGTTTAAATTTATTTTTCATAATTGCTGACTCATTGCTAAATTAGCCAGGCTTCTTTTATAGTAGATAAGTGCTTTACAAAATATAATCCTTTAAAGAATAATTATAAAAATTTGAGAATACTTATACAATTAACCTGAAAAAAAGAGATGATGTGTGAAAGATGCTCTATGCTGGGAATTTATTTGATGAAATCTCTGAAGAGAAAACAGTATAGTGATATCCCATCAGAATCCAAAAAATTTCCTTATGTGAATAAAATATAACTTCTTGTTATTGATACACAGGTAACAGGTATGTTGTTTGTTACTAGGTCTGTTGTTGGTTTGTTATTTACCATTATTGTTGTGTACCCTGTGTTCTGTAAAGTTTCAAGTCTATAAATAGAAAGGTGACATATGATGATTATAGATGCCACTGGTTGGTTTTGTTTGATGATATATTACATATATTTTGGACAGGAATAAATTATCATTATATCATGAATTGATGTTTGTTTTTATTTGCCCATTTTTGGAAAATTGAAGGGAAGTAGTGACAACATGTCCTTTGTCCCATATAAGCTCATCTTATAATAAAATATTCATAGAATCAACTGCCTTTAATTATATTTTTGTTAGTTTCAATGAAGTTACAAGAGACTTTTTGACTACCTTCAGTTTTTGTCTAGCCTTATGTTAAAGTTGCAGATATGAGCTTTTTGTAGAGTAATTCCAGCAGCTGAAGTTTGTGCTTGGCTTTGACAGATGAAACATATATCTGTGTTAACAGTTCATTATCTTTATGTCTGCCTTTTTGTTCGTAGCAAGTGCTCATAAACTGGTTGATATAGTCATATATTTTGGAATGCAGATAATCTTTGAAAGTACATGTATAACCATGTGCCATAAATTTGATCCTAGTATACTTTTTCAGTTCTAAAATACTGATAGGCCTACAGTCATATTACTGTACTCTGTGTAAGTGTATGGCTGTATCTTGATACTTGCCTATTGCATGAAGAACACACTGACCTTCATTTCATGCTTTATTGACTTAAATTGTTTACTTTCAAAAACAAGTCACAGATAATATGAAGCTTACATCATTCTATTGTATCACTTTCCTGTCAATACTGAGGTTGAAAGTTCGAACCCTGTTCAATTCCAATCTTAATTGACTCGGATTGTCAACGATATCGCCCATAGTGCTCAAACAACATCAATCAATCAATTTAATTCACTGGTATCTTGACAGAAAGGATCTTTCAAAGACCAGGGAGCGATAAGGAAGTTTAACAGCCTCCCACAAAAAGGATGTTCTTATATTTTATGCTTAATGTTTTTTGAATTGCCCTATCACTTAGCATCCATCCGAGATTTTAAGGGCCACAAACATGACTTACAGTTATTCTATATATCATTATGTATAGAAAGGTCCGTAAAGATTTGAAGAAAAGATGGTCTCTTTGAACCCATACATTAGAACATCATGGAAACTACAGAAAGAATCTGATTTTACACAGGTCTCGATTGAAAACACATGCAAAGACATCTAATATTATGGTATTATATGTCTGTGATACAAGCTAACCATATTGTCTTGAACATTTTTTTCTGATTTTCAAAGTTCAAAAGCTTTATTTATAGACGAATATCAGTATACAGAAAACCTAAGCTCTATTGAGCTTTTATATCGTCTTTTTACAAACAAAATCACATTTAAAACAATCACGTTTAAAACAAATCAAGCATACAACACACACAAGAGCTACACAATCAAAGCAAATCACTACGTTGAAGCATACATATACAACATAAATGACATGAAGAAGTTAAATATGTTATACTATGCAGAAATATTAAAAGTACCATAAGCAATCAATATTGAAAGCATATAAAGTACTTTAAAACACATAGCAGTTATAGCACATTAAGCAGAAAAGCACTATAAATTAAAGCTTTAATTATTTACAGGCATTGCATTGGCATGAACTACCATTCCAGGTAACAATAAGTTTAGAAAATTGGTTAAAATTGTTTTCTTCTCTAAAACTCTGGGGTAGTTCATTCCAAAATTTTGCAGCTATGTAGCGAAAAGAATTGATGCCATAGCTTGTTGTTCTTACATGGAGCTGTTCCAACTGTATTTATATATGTGATTTTTTATATTAATCAAATCATGTAAATATGATGGACTTTTTTTGTGTCAGACGACCAAGTCTATTCAGATATCTACCAATACGTTTAAGAACATTAAGTTGACGAGAGGCCTTCTTACAAATCTCAGATATATGTTTATCAAAATTTAATCTGTAGTCTAGTGTAACTCCCAGTAGCTTTACATCATTTTCACATTCTATTCTATTTCCTTCAAGATTAAAAACAATATCATGATTAAAAGTTTGTCTGTCTGATACTACTATATATAACCGTGACATAGTGTTATAGTACTAAAGTAGTCTCAGATTTTGTATATCAAAATCAGCATAGGATAAGATTCACTAGTATCTTGACAGACATCGGCTCAGGAAAACTATTTACCGTCTATTAATATTCCAATTGCTTGTTATTGTGGTCCGCTATGAAAGACTGCATGTGAACTTGATTCTCAAACTTGAACGTTCTTGTCCACGTGTACTAAGCGTTCTTTTTTCTCTGTTGCCGTTAATTACACCAGAGACATATAAAACTGTATTATATGTCTCTGATTACACCATTGTACGTTCTCGTGCACTATCTTTTGGAGTTGTTTAGATAGCCAGAATCAATTTGGGCCAATTACAGTTTTGAAAAGGTATCAATTGCGCCACTCTCTATTTCTATGATGATATTAATTGTGCCAATAAATGGAATCAAATTGTGGTACTAATATTGCGCCAATAAATGGAATCAAATTGCGCTACATTTACCTGTATCTTTTTTTACATATAGATTGTACAATCACGTACTTACAGTGGCGGATTTACCGGGGTGCACAGGAGGCACGTGCCCCCCCCCCCCCCCCCCCCCCAGTCGGGGTCACCAAAAAAATTCCTAACATAGTTTTTATTGCTACTGTATCTGCTTATCTAGATCGAAAATCAGGACACAGCTTGATTTGACTTCCTAAACTGGTCGTTAATTAACCCCAGCTTCAACATGTGTGATTTATGACAACTTATCGATGGGTGTGTATATATTGACACCTTTGTGTAATGTCTATATCCCAAAGCATTTATGTAAACTACTGATTGGAATTAATACGAATATATTTATTGGTTTCTAATACAATATTACAGGATCAAGATCGATTAACAAGTGAAATCTTCTGATCAGGAAAGAAATTTCCAACTAAATCGGTCTTGAAAGAATATGTAAAAATAGATGTTTAGTGTCAAGAATGTTAGTATCGATATGAGATACTTCTTTTTTACCAAACACTCACATTGTATACGGTTTCTGGAGAATGAGCCTGTCTCAGAACAGTCTTTTTCGGACAACAAACGATTTTTTCCAATGCATACAGCATTTTTTTTAAAACTGAATGTCGTGTTTTTTCCCCTTATTTTTTTTTTTATGGAAACAAAACCTCCCCCCTCCACAAAACATGAATGGTCTGTGCCGTATATATAATCATTAATAAAATGATATTGTATCTTAGAAAAAGTACTTATATTTGAGATGAAGAACAGCAATAAAAGTTTATTGTGTGTTTTTTTGCTGTGCATGTACTGATTTTGTGTCGTGGATGGATACCCCATATCCTATGTTTTTCTATTATAATAGTACAGTAATATGTGTATATTTTTTCTTGTTTTGATTACCATGTATGAGGGTAAAATAGGTTACCGTGAATGAGGGTATGAATGGTTTACCGTGAATGAGGGTATGAATGGGGTTTACAGATTAGAGAATAATGGTCAAAAAGTTAAGGCTAGAAAAAAATTGGCCTAAAAATTTTGAAAACAGATTAAAGCTGTGATGAACTGTGATGAATAGAGGACAATTGGCAGCAAATACAAGAGTAGAAAGAAATGGACCCAAAAATAATGAAAAGATATAAAAATGAAGACCCAACCACCCCAAACAACCACCATCATCCCCAATACATGACACCACCACCTCCCACACTCGCATATATGCATATATAAAAAAAATCTTTTTAATTTTGGTTTCATGGTGCCCCCCCCCCCCCCCCCCCCCCCCCCCCCAGACAGCGAGGTTCTGGATCCGCCCCTGACTTATAAATATTATCCAAAATATTTTAAACAACTCTATACTATAGATGGCTTTACGAGTGGACATTATATTCCATCAGTATTTTGTCTGTTACCGTCAAAATCAGAGGCTTCACCTGATGAAAGTTGCAAGAAGTTTAACATGACCTTGAACAAACAAAATACTGTGCTATTGAAGATTTCTTGCTATTGCGCAAAACTGTGCTATAGCGCAAATACTGTGCAATTGAAGATTTCTTGCTATTGCACAATACTGTGCAATTGAAGATTTCTTGCTATTGCGCAATACTGTGCTATTGCGCAATACTGGGCTGTTGCACAATGCTTAGTTAATATGTTACATATAATGTTTGGTGTGTATCTCCTGTCATATCAGTATTTGTTGCTTTTATATATAAATCAGAAATAATCAATGGAAAAATGGAAAATTTTCAGGAAAAAATAACAAAAAATTAAAAAAAAACAAAATCTCATACAAATTTTTTTTTTAAATTTGAAATTTAGAAAAATCTTGAAGAAAAATGTATGAACCCCCCAAAAAAATCCCCCAAACTTTTTAACCCCCCCCCCCCCTTTGGGGTAACTACTCCCAAACTCAATCCCAGCCTTCCCTTTGTGGTATGGAACCTTGTAGTACAATTTCAGAGAGATCCATACACTTAAACACAAGTTATTGTCTGGAAACTAGAAAAATACTTGTTTTTGACCCCATTTTTGCCCCTAATTCCTGAACGTTTAGGGCAATTACCCCCAAACTCAATCCCAGCGTTCTCATTGTGATATTGAACCTTGTGGTACAATTTCAGAGAGATCCATACACTCACACACAAGTTATTGTCTGGAAACTACAAAAATGCTTGTTTTTGGCCCCTAATTCCTAAACTGTTGGTACCATAACCCCCAACCTTCCTTTTGTGGTATTGAACCTTCTGGTAAAATTTCATAGAGATCCATTCACTTAAGGTGGTACCTAACACTGCAGGGAGATAACTCTGTAAAAATCAGCTAAACGTTTTGATTACGTTGTATTGTTAAGGAAATATTAAGCTTCTCAATGATCAAAATTAGTGTTTGTCAAACTGCTATATAACCAGTGAAATTTTTCTGATAAAGTGGTTGGTTCCATTTTTTTGAAATTTTTATATTTTTGTCAAAGGGTCAAAGTTAACATTTTGTCAAAATTTTATGAAAATTAAACGAGCCAAATTAATATTAGTCAAGGTGTTGGGTACCACCTTAAACTAAAGTTATTGTCCGGAAACCAAATGTGTCTTCGGACGACGCCGAGGACGACGACATGACAGCATTATACGAACACAAAAAAAATTTTGCGGTCGTATAAAAATGAATAAAATGGTAAAATGGCGCAATTGTATGATTGTTTATTTGCGTAAATGAAGCCTATAGTTTCCAAAATGAAGTGGCGAAGAAGCAGCATTGGCTCAAATGATTTCAATTTTTGCGCAAATAGATATCGGCCGTTTAGATACGGGGTTGAGGTACAGGTTTTTTTTTCACGCTAGACTTTACGACAGTGTTGCTGGTTCCTTCGTTGATCATTTCACATATCAAATTAATATACATTGTACTTGAGAGTCTAAAAGACTTCAATATTGCTTATTTGGTGGTGCATACGGTACAAAAATCGGCTTTAATTGAAATGTAATTACAATTAACCAATATGAAAAAAAAAATTTAATGTCTTATTTCGTTTAATAGATAAGTAATACTATGAGATATAGATAATTCTCTGAAACTTTTAATAAAACACATTGACTGATTTAAGAGTTTAAAACTAGAAAACAAACCGGTCATCAGTATTTGTGTGAGGCACAAAAACAAATAATCACGAATACTGGTATAAACAAAGCAAGATACGTTCGTGGGGTATCAATTTTCTTAATTTTTGATATCAAGACGTGTTTTCGGTAAATATAAAGATTGGTTAAAATTCAAGCACTATACACTTTGACTGCCACTTAAAAAATGGAAGTCGACCTAAGATTTCTATAAAAGAGAGGCGAAAGATACCAAAGGGATATTCAAACTCATAAGTCGAAAAAAAACTGACAATATTGTGTTAGTAGTCTCAGATTTTACCTACATCTTAATTTTCGTTGAAATGGTAACAAAAAACATGTTTCTCAAATACGATTGGTGAATTTTCATCAAAATTTAATTTTTGTTTATACTATTTTTGGATAATAAAATTTGAATCTTGAATCTATACTACAACTTTTGTACAAATTTCTGTACATATATGAAGACGTTCATGTTTTGCAACGTGTACCCGAAGAAGAAATTATATAAAATTAAAATGGTTTTCTTTTCGAATTGTTTTAATTTTACTCCCGCCTCCGAGATATGATAGACCGTTCCCAGCAAATAACCGAGCACGACCCATTAAAATGAAATCTCCGTGGGCTTATCGACGTGTGTATGTCACTTGAATCATGGTGTAAGCTGTTTCTTCTGACTTTTTTCCATGAGGTCCTGTACTTCATAGCCAACTTTATAATATGGGTCTTTGTTATGAATCCCGTGCGGTGACCTATAGGAATTTGCTAGTTTAGCCTGAACTTTTTATAGTAATCATTGTTTATCCAGAACAAACGTACAGGCTCGAATTCACTCTGATTGATTGATTGTTGGTTGCTTAACGTCCCGAATTCACTCTAAAGAAGAAGACTGAATTTAGACCATTTTAAGACTACATGTATACCTAAATTTTAGTATTCTTTTCGGAAAATTAATTTGAATACGTCTTAGATTTCTGAAAACCATCTTTGTTCATATCTCCATCCCCTTTTACCAGTTTTTATACATTTTTTAGGGTGATAAACTTTCATATTATAATTGAAGTGACCAGTATGTACTCTGCTGGAGAAACTGGTAATAATTGGAGATATTTTATCATCTCTGTTAAACTTATTCTTCTAACCTGTGCCGATTTAGACGGCTTATCATTCTCATATCATATATGGGTTGAAGAACGTATTTTACCTAGAGATGACTTTTGGTAGTTTAAGTCGTTATGATTCTCTCTCATTCATATATACCCTAAAATCTCCTTTTATTCATTTCAAGATGTTTCAAGAGAAAGTGTGTTTGGTAGACGCTTATAGCTTCTACAAACTATAAGCTCACCCAAAGGTGTCGTATCGACAAATTTCTTCTATAAATTTCAATTCTCTTCATCTTGACCTTTTTACAACTAAAATGACTCTCTAAACAGAAAACAGAGAACAAATATAAAAGATAAAAGACGAAGGATGTACCTCAATAAGACAGCACCCTAACGACATAAACAACCAGAAGACCAGTTTCTAAAACTTCAATCATAAATCGTATCCTACGATACAAAACCTTTGCCCTAAAATATGATTTTAATTTTCATAAACATTGGGGGCCAAATTGGACACTTCATGACTCATCTCTCTGTGATAATGGTTCTTAAATTACTCTTTTTTATGCAGAGGCACTTTCATCTTAACTTGTAAGCTTTCAGACAACCATAGATGTATAAACCCATTTGTGTTTATACATCTATGAGACAACCAAGTATAAAATGGTTCCATATTGCTTTGAAATTAGACATATATGATATGAGAAATTAGACACCTAATCTCAATGCGTAATTTTGAACAAATACAAGGGTCATTTGCGCTCGTCAGAGACTGTTACTGAAGTGGTTATAAGGCTGTAAGTATTTTCTTTAACTGAGACTTTGGTCTGCTCATTAAATTATACCCAGATGTCCTTTTATTCATGTTCCGAAGTGTCTTTTTTAAGTTATACGCTGTGATATGGAACAAACTATGCGAATTGCAATTGGGGTACGGCACGTTGGGCTTGATCGAAAGTGTGTTTAATTGTCCCATATCATTCCACCTTTGTTTGTCATCCTCGCAATATTTCATTGACAAAACCTACCAATAGTAATTGTTGGACGAGACTTGAGTCCAGACTAAAAAACTCTACCATGACAGTGTTATATGAAAAATAAAACATACTATTCGTTGGAAAAATAATGGTCACTCCTGTGACTATCGTTTATTATAATTAATATTATATACAGAAGGGTCGTTCCAATGGAACAGTTGTTGTTCAAATACAATCATGTCATTTGATTGACGCCTATTGGTTCTTCAAAAGAGTGTCCAAGTATCACAACAAGGAAGATGATAAATTAATGTTAGTGTCACCATTGAACATGCGGAATGTGTCATCACAGAGTTTGAAAAATTAAATATACGAAAGTTAGTTCTATTACAAAGATTAATTTAGAAGCATTTCCTGTGGACAATGGATGGACCAGATTCATCGTATTCCTGTTTGCTGATCCACATCTGTTGGAAGGTGGACAGTGAAGCCAAGATGGAACCACCGATCCAGACGGAGTATTTCCTTTCTGGTGGAGCAATAATTTTGATCTTCATTGTGCTTGGAGCAAGAGATGTGATCTCCTTCTGCATTCTGTCGGCAATACCTGGGAACATTGTGGTACCACCAGACAAGACGGTGTTAGCGTACAAGTCCTTACGGATGTCGACATCGCACTTCATGATACTGTTGTATGTGGTTTCATGGATACCAGCAGATTCCATACCCAAGAAGGATGGCTGGAACAGTGATTCTGGACACCTGAATCTCTCGTTACCGATGGTGATTACCTGTCCATCAGGCAATTCGTAGCTCTTTTCTAGGGATGAAGATGAGGCAGCTGTTGACATTTCTTGCTCGAAATCTAGAGCAACATAGCATAATTTTTCTTTAATGTCTCTCACAATTTCTCTCTCGGCGGTGGTTGTGAATGAGTAACCTCTCTCGGTGAGGATTTTCATCAAATAATCAGTAAGATCTCTACCGGCCAAGTCGAGACGGAGGATGGCGTGTGGAAGAGCGTAACCTTCGTAGATTGGTACGGTGTGTGTTACACCATCTCCAGAGTCGAGGACAATACCGGTTGTACGACCAGAAGCGTACAGTGAGAGTACAGCTTGAATGGCGACGTACATGGCTGGTGCATTGAAGGTTTCGAACATAATCTGGGTCATCTTTTCCCTGTTGGCTTTGGGATTGAGTGGAGCTTCTGTGAGCAGGACTGGGTGTTCTTCTGGGGCAACACGGAGTTCGTTGTAGAAGGTGTGATGCCAGATCTTCTCCATATCGTCCCAGTTTGTGACGATACCGTGTTCAATGGGGTACTTCAGGGTGAGGATACCTCTCTTGCTCTGGGCTTCATCTCCTACGTATGAATCTTTCTGACCCATACCAACCATGACTCCCTGTAAAATACAAATGAAAACATTTCGTTATTGAAATACTGATATATTTGGCATTTTAAATAATCAAAATAATATAATAACCTCTCGGTGTTCGCTCTAACGCCTTTCTAAAGGAAAAAGGAAAATAAAAAAAAGGAACTCCAAGGAAAATTCAAACCGGAAAGTCTTTTATCATATGGCAAAATTAAAAGCTCAAAAACATCAAACGAATGGAAAACAACTGTCATATTCCAGGATATTAATGTGCTATTTATTAAAATTTTCTCTGCATCACTACAATGAACTATTAGAAACTATGTCAGTTTTACTGTGAGAATGAGTTTCTAAAAGTACTATCTAGTTATGTTGATATGGTCTATTTTAGGGGGGGGGGGTACAATATTTTTTTAAATGCTACTGTTTGTGATGATCCATGTACAATTTGTAAACAAGACGTCAAGAACACTTGAATTGTGATTAGAAAAATTTTCGATAGCAAAGTTCGTTAACAGCTTTAGTTATTTAATCAGTGCGAATATATACTTTTATATACAAATTATATGCTCACTTATCTAATATAATCACATATTTAGTATATTTGTCATGATTTATCATTTAATAAAAAAAAAATACCGCATGCTGTTCATTGACGGAATTAACTTTCAAACGTATATTATTTCATATGAACCCAACTGTGGTACAAGGGCGTCAATATTACAAACAAAAACACATCATTGACAGATAACAGGATGAATGAATGGAAGGACTAGAATTCCATATTAGGGCAAACCGTCTAGAAGAACATCTGTAACGCGGAATTCTATTATGAAAATAGACGGGGAGTCTATGATTGATGCAATCACTACATCTTAATCAATTATGTAATTGGGATTAGTCATAACACTACATCCCAGACTTTTGATTGTGTGTGCATTTTCCTCGGCATTTTCTAGTCCATGCTCTGAACGAACGCTAAATTTCAAAGATATCGTAAATATAATTGGATAGAAAGCACTTCATTATAAAGCAATTCAATAAAAAAATTGCTATAAATTGTTACATAAAATAATAACATCGGAAACGTTATCAAGAAATATTTCAAGTGTAACATCAACTATATATGATCCCTTAAGTTTCCCCGAGTGCTTAATAATTTTCAAATTTATACTTGTGTTTCAAATTCCCTTGCATATTCACATGTGTGTGACCCCACATGTAAAAATATACACTAAAAAGCCAAATACTCGATTAGTCCTGCGAAATTCCGATCCCCCTTTTAATGCAGTCATCCTTTGTTAACTTCTTATAAAATAAAGAGCGTCAACAAAATGTAAAACTGTATATCTGGGGGAAATTCAACCAAGCAAAAATTGTACCGAATTTATTTATAGTTATATATATATTGGGTCGAATTCTGGACTTAACAAAAAAAATATTTGTAACAAAATCATCTCAATATATATATACATGTATTCCGATTGCTATTCAGTTTTCTTGATGATATATCATATTAAATTAAATGAAAATGTTTTGAAACTGACCTGATGTCTTGGTCTTCCAACAATGGAAGGGAATACGGCTCTTGGTGCATCATCTCCAGCAAATCCGGCTTTACACATTCCGGATCCATTGTCTACAACCAAAGCGGCTACTTCGTCGTCACACATGTTGATTTGTTGTGAATTGATATAAACGAGAGATGTATCTCACCCTGATTTCTACAACAGACTGGCGAATTGTCTTACTCACGCGTTCGTTTTATCATGATAGACAATCAGCTTCCAAGAATCGACTACGATTCACACTGTGCGTTTTCCATATAAGGAGTCGGGTGCTGATTCAAAGAACTGAAAGATTAAGCGTTTTCTTCCTCCAAATATAGACGCTTCACATGTTGAAATCATTCGATTTTTAGATAGAATATAACACTCTAACTTTAAAAACAGTTTCCTATACACATTATGACTTTTCATTCATAATTTCTAAAAATAATATGATAATAAAAATGTGTGACTTATTATTGTAAAACTACATTCATACGAGGAAACCAAATTTTACCGAATTCTGTTAGATAGAAACAATGGAACTAGTTTCAACTGTAATTAAAAGTTAGAATACCGAATATTACAGGAACGATATAAGTATATTCATAACTGAAAACAAATAGACATCAACATGTAAAGGAGTCCGTTATCACGGGCACTTGTCTTAAAAAAACCTATATACTTAATAATAACCATGGAAGTATAATATTGACAACTCAGATTGACAATATAATACTTCCATGGTATAACGTATATCAGTAATTTTGTTTTCAATGACAAGTGCCTGTGAGTATTATGGGTATGTTTGATATTAATTTTATCAAGGAAACTAGTTCAAACTGTTATCAAAAAATAGAATATCGAATATCACAGGAACGATATAAGTATATTTATAAATGTAAATAAAATAAACATCAACACGTGAAGGACTGAGTATAATGAGTATGTTATGGGCGGGGTTGGTCCCTGTTTGATTTTTTACATGGAGTTTATTTTGTCGAGGCTAGATGAAAAGGCTAGATGATTGAAATAGCTGTGAGATATATATGTGTACAGCTAATAACTATATATAAATAAGAATTGTATACACCTTATCGCTATTTGTCCGCCATTACTGGACATCACACAAGTTCCCGTACAATTTTGACGTCATAATAGAAAATATCTGACGCCACAATGGAAAAGTGATTGTTGTATGACGTCAAAAGTTCGAGCGGGACTGATTCTCGGGTCAAGCGGGATTAGCGATAAGGTGTATTGGAATTGGAAATGAATCCAGATGTTTTGCTCTACATTCACGCCATGTTTCGTTATTTCTACCCTTTACTGTTTCCAGAGACATATAATACAATTGTAATATATGTCTCTGCTGTTTCTAAAGTATCTATAGAACTTATACATTTTCAATGTTTCAAAAAATCCAAAGCCATGTAGATTTTTCACGGATATAAATCATTTCGGATCATTTTGTATATGATACAAATGAGATGATCCACTTTCTCCTCCAAAGTATTTTCTGGTGTTCATGCAGTATGCAATATATATTAGTTTATTTAAGAAAGTGATTTCCGGGGAGTAGAGGCAAAAAATAAAAAACAACTGGACACGTTCAATCTTCCTATTTTTCTTATTACACATTGCAATGTTTTATTGTATACATATATATCGGTAAGATTCGGTAATATTTGTTAATATATAAATTGTACCCCCAAGTTGATTTTATCAGCAAATTCAAAGACCAAAGTGAGTAACAAAAAGAAAAAGAAAAGTAACATTTCAGTTGTGTATAAAATTTTAGATATGGAATTAAAAGTAATTCACACGGGGCCCTCAGTCATCCTACTAGATGTCAAATATATCGATGGGGTGTAAATTTGTCAAGGTTATGGTAATGATAATGATTGATCTGTCGCTGGTTCATACATTTTCATCTTTTGTTTAGATGGCTGGTTCAACTATACTGTGCAGCACTCCATATATCTAATTGATATGAACATAGATATAATAGCCAATGGCTATTATATCTATGATATGAATGACCCAATTGGTTAACATGTATATCTGCTGAAACTTTTATTTACACACTGACTCTAATCTAATTAAGATACCACAGATTGTCTCAGGAGTTGGTTATAATTTTACTATGAAATATATCAGGGGCGGATACTGGCGGGGGCGTGCCCCCCCCCCCCCCTAAAATTTGCAAAGCATGGGTTGTCCTCATCTTAATAAAGAATATTTTGATAATTTTACCTAAAAAAATTGCGAAAATTTAAGTTTGCTCCCCCCTAACCTAAAATCCTGTATCCGCCCCTGCATATATTGTACTAAGTTATATATATAGTGCGACTACTATAACACACTATGTGTGAGAGTAGTCACAGATATATATTTATATATATGGGTCGGGAACATTTCACAAGTGTTAACGTGATGGTACCCAAATTGCACCTATTTTTACAGTTTTTTTCACCTACGTTTATTTATGGTTAAGACAAAAGTTTCCATTCTGTGTTTATTTTGTAGATGTATCCTTATTTACTATATAGTTCCACCAATTTGATTTTGAATCCATATTGAATCATAGAAAAATTGGTTTAAACCGACCTCCAAACTATCTAGGATTCTGTAATGAGGAGTACCCAAATTGCATCTATGCTAAAATTCACTCCCGAATAAAAGATGTTTTGTTTAATTTCTCCAAATACTTGGAACAATTTGACAATAGTCCATTCTTACCATTCACTTTTTAAAAAATGGATGTCTGTAACATATTTTAATATGCTCATTTATAAAAGATGACTTTTTGTGGACGTCGCATGGCTACGTTTCCGTAGATTTTACTTTTTCCAGGGAATACTTCCTCTATTGATATATATTGTGAACGTTTTGCGTATATTTAAATCTATTCAACTATGTTGAAAGACGTGCATAAATGTCAAATCATAAAAAAAAAAAAAGTGTTTAGTCTCTAAGAAAACTTGTAAGATTTCCACTTCTATTTTTGCTAAATAGGTGCAGAGACATATTATATGTATCTAATAGGTGCAATTTGGGTAGTGTGACGTTAAGTAAACGAAATGAGGTGTTTTTTCAATGATAAGCACAGCTCAGTGTCCTTCTGTACCCAAATTTTTTTGTTGAGACACACACCCCTCCCCTCCCCGGTGATGTAATCCCAAATAAACAAGACGCGATGATTTAGATGATTTAGAAGCAAAGAAGTTATTCAGTCACTTATAATATTGTATGCCTGATGTCTCTGCTGTGAACTTTTTTAAGATTTATAAAATTACTACATCCCTTGAAATTGAAAAGATCCACGTTCTTTTAACCTAAGATATAACGATGCTGTCTTCAAGGTTGTTCTAGTCGACAGCAGTTCTGGTCAAAATTAGTTTTTATGTTGGTCTGTTGAGGAGTGTTTGACTCACGGTTTTGTTAAAAGTATAAAGTATAAAATCTTGAACTGGGATTGCATTGCAAACTCATTACGTCAGAAGTCTAAAATGAAAGTAGCACTATTACACAATATAGTCCGGCATCTCTATCTTTATTCCTTCAAAAAAAATTTCCATACAAGAATTTCATTGTAATAATTAATTTTGCTATTATTTTGGGGATAAAATTTCTACTCATTATTCGGTATTCAAAGTTCATTCAACAAGATAGAAAAGGTGTAAAAAGCATGCGGATGAATATGAATTGAACTACATTTATCGGAAGAGGACGTAGACAAACAAAAACAAAACACATTTATTTTAAGTTTCAGCTGTCATTTGAGATGAATCTCAAAATGGGCATGGCCAATAATAAGGCCTTTCGTTGCTGTTGTTGCTTTCATGTCAGAACTGGTGCCATTTTCATCGGTATCATTAATTTGGTATGATTATTTATTTATTGATCCATTTCCGTTGCGATCATGACGATTCTACAATAAGTCAATATACAAGTTTGTTACGAAGAAACATCTATGCTGTTGTCAAATCATACATCTCCAATTGTTACAGATTACTTGACGCTCCGTGAGATGTCATCACTAATATTTGGTAGAAAAAATTCTCCAATAAATGAATACCCTGTTAATAACCACTTTCAGTTTCACAACATCTGAGACTTCGATCAGGAAGAGATAAGAAGCATGTCTGTATGTCCAGTCAAATTGTTCGAAAAAACCATGCTGTACTGGATTCGCAGGAGTTGTGAAAAAAAACCTGTTCTCCAGATGTCTACATTTTATTTTGAGGAAAATACCAGATTTTACAATCAGTGAATTTTCCCGGAACAAAATGGACATCATGAAGGAATATCTTTACGTCAAAATATCATATGACAAGCTTTTTCAAGAATGACCCAAAGCCAGGGTTTCCCCATGGTAAAATGTTTTTTTCGCCACCTCTTTCACCAAACAATATAGGTTTCGCCTAATAACATATTTATTGTTTAAAGTTTTTCCTTCTTTCTAAAAAAAAAAAACCAGTTCGTCACATTTTTGTCTCTTATAATTCTTAATTCTACATTGTAATGAATAAACACTCAATTATAACAAACATTTACTTTTTAAAAGGTACTGTAATTGCAATATGGATCAAGAAATCATTATTTTTATACGCGCGTATACGGGACGTATTATGGTATACCGTAGTCTGTCGTCAACATGTCGGACAATTACTCAATAACGCTTTAACCAATTTGCATGAAACTTTGGTGAATTGTTTATATTAATTGAGGTGAGCTCCCTTTCGATTTTTATAAATTTTATATTTTATGTTTCCGAGTTGTGGGGTTTTATTCATTAAAAAAGGGGGATTTTCCAGTTTTCGGACAATAACTCAAAAGTTCTTTGAGCAGTTTTCATGAAACTTTGGTGACTGGTTCATATCTATTAAAATAACCTCCCTTTAGTTTTTTATAAATTTCTGATATGACTTTGAGGAGCAATAGAACTTCTTTGAAAAAGCGATGGGCGTATCATGCGCTCATGGCACAGCTCTTTATTTACTTCTGCTAGGGAAGACAGTATTCATCTACAATAAGTTTAACAGATACTTCCCGTCTGGTTGAAAGATACAGACTAAAGTCAGAAATTTTTCCGCATTTTCAATATATTTTTCTTAACAATCGTTTTCTTTTCTGGACCATCGTTAAAAGAAAAAGTTTTGACGTAAAACTATGCCTCAAACATGTGCGTTGCTTAAACAATTGTAAATAACCCACTTCAAAACATTTTCCGCATTTTCAATATGTTTTTCTTAACAATCGTTTTCTTTTCCGGACCATTGTTAAAAGAAAAAGTTTTGACGTAAAACTATGCCTCAAACATGTTGTTGCTTAAACGATTGTAAATAACCCACATCAAAACAATTATTTCTATCAAAGTTGTAAAAAAATCCTTTAAGTGCCATGTGATGTCATTTATCCACACCATGTCATTAAACAATACAATCAACACCTTTATTGATTATAATCCATTTTTATGTTGCTGATAGCTATAAAATGCAATCAGCTGATTACTAATTTTCTATCAAAATCGTAACAACTTCAAGGGACTGTTTTGTCTGATCAGGGAACAAGTCAGAGAAACCCCAAAAATTAAACAAGATGGAAGAAGACAAAACGTTATATTTATTTTGCCAAATTCTTTTGCCAATAACGAATTTTAATCACCACAATTTTTATTTTTCCGCAAAATGTGAAAATGGCAACCGCCAGTGGAAACCCTGCCCCAGGTCAATTGGACATATCATTCATAAAACACAAATTGGAAACTCGTCTATTGCTTCCTCTTATCTTATTCTTACATTAGCTTTCATTTACCTTTCTATAGACAACTGAAATAAAAACAATGTTATAAAATTAACATAAAATAATGTCCCTATGAAATATTGTTCTTCGGACAAAATTTCATACAAAATATTTTCTGCAGGCAGTACTTTATGTTCAAATACTGTACAATTCTGTCCAGGACAAAATTACATTATGAAATATTATGTCTCCATGAAATAATCATGAAATTTTGTTCTGGCAGAATTATTTCATAGGACAATATTTTGCTTATACTCTTTTGGTGAACATAGTGTACGTGTTATAAAAGAATTTAATAGATGTACATGTACATGTATAAAGATGCTCTTTTGATGAAAATTGTTTAGTGTTATAAAAGAATTTAATATAGATTGCCAAAAAATGGAGTCTTCTTGATTTGTTTTGTACACCCAGCTGTGAAATTTACATTCATCTTTAAGATCCATGTGTTTTAAAAAAAACTGTTTTCACAAATTGAATAGTTGTATATTCAATAAATGCAAAATGAACAGAAGAATTATGTACAAAAAATGTACATTTGTCTGCCAAAAGTTTTCTTTGTCTGAAAATTTATCTTAAATTTTATCATTTGTTTCCACTGTCATCACCAGCATGATTTTATTGTTTTGAAGTAAAATTAAATGTTAAAAAAAGAATGCTGTTCAAATGAAATTACTTTAAATATATTATTTTCGTCTAACCTTAATTTAAGATAGATAATAATACCTGGTAATGATTAGGTAAAGGGGGTACAAGTATGATTTGTCGTCTGTTGCATATATTGACATGGAACTGATTTACCTAGCATTACAATGTATATATACGAAACCACACTATTTTCTCCCTGCTGTAATAGTAAAAGTAAATAGTAAAAGAAAAATGCAATATGTAAGACACAGGGATTACAACTTAGCAACGGCGTTAACTATTTGTATAAAGCTTTATATTTCAGAAGGTAGTAGTCTTACAAGTACCTTGTATGCAGATAGCTTGTGTTACTAACTTTCTATCTGTTATATGTCCATTGTCCTTGACCTCATTTTCATGGTTCCGTGAATGCTTGAAAAAAAAATGATAGGTTTTTTGTCATGTGAATTTCCTACTTATTATGAGTAATATGATAACTATATTTGGTATATGGGTTCCTTGCAATGTTTATATGTCTGTCGGACAGGGTTCACCTAACCTCGACCTCATTTTCATGGTTCATTGGTCAATGTTAAGTTTTTATGTTTTGGTCTGTTTTTATACGCCCGTTTACGGGACGTATTATGGTATACCGTTGTCCGTCTGTCCGTCCGTCGTCAACATGTCGGACATTAACTCAAAAATGCTTTAACCAATTTGCATAAAACTTTGGTGAATTGTTTATATCTATTGACGTGAGCTCCCTTTCGTTTTTTATAAATTTTAGATTTTACGTTTCAGAGTTATGGGGTTTTATTCATTAAAAAAAGGGGGATTTTCCAGTTTTCGGACAATAACTCAAGAATGCTTTCACCAACTTGCAAGAAATTGTGGTGAATTGTTTATATCTATTGACATGAATTCCCTTTCGATTTTTATATATTATAGATTTTACGTTTTCGAGTTACAGGGTTTTTTCATAAAAAAAAGGGGATTTTCCAGTTTTCGGACAAAAAATCAAAAATGCTTTCAGCAGTTCTTATGAAACTTTGGTGAATTGTTTATATCTATTGATGTAAGCTCCATTTAGAATTTTATAAATTTTACATTTGATATTTCTGAGTTATGGGGTTTTATTCATTAAAAAAGGGGGGATTTTCCAGTTTTCGGACAATAACTCAAAAATGCTGTCAGCAATTCTCATGAAACTTTGGTGAATTGTTTATATCTATTGATGTAAGCTCCCTTTACATTTTCATAAATTTCTAATATGACATTGAGAATTAATTGAACTTTATTTGTTTATAGTCTGACAACAAATTTACTAAGTATTGCGCAACAGCACAGTGTATTGCACAACAGCAAGAAATCTTTAATTGAATATAAATTCAATTCATATAACCAATTTCAAGTTCTTTGACTATATTTATTCAGAAACCTATAATATGTCAAATATTTAATTACAATCCAAATTCAGACCTGTATCAAGCTTGAATATTGTGTCCACTTTTGACCCAACTGTTCAGGGTTGGACCTCTGCGGGCGTATCCAGCTGCGCTCAGCGAAGCAGTTTATTCAATATATACTAATAGCAATAGGTCAGCTATAACTTCGGCTGTTTTCTGCTCTTTGGTCGGGTTGTTGTCTCTTTGACACATTCCCCATTTCCATTCTCAATTTTATATTTGGTGTATGGAATGATTGTAAGGTGTACATGTTTGTCCTTGAGGTATCATTTGACCTTGACTTCATTTTCATGGTTCATTGGTCAATGTTAAGTTTTATACGACCGCAAAAAAATTTTTGGGATCGTATAATGGTATGATGTCGTCGTCGTCCGTAGACACATTGGTTTCCGGACAATAACTTTAGTTTAAGGGAATGGATCTCTATGAAATTTTTTAAGAAGGTTCAATACCACAAAAGGAAGGTTGGGATTGATTTTGGGGATGATGGTCCCAACCCTTTAGGAATTAGGGCCCAAAAAAGGGCCCAAAACAAGCATTTTTCTAGTTTCAGGATAATTACTTGTGTATAAGTATTTCGATTGCTCTGAAATTGTACCACATTGTTTAATACCACAAGTAGAAGGTTGGGATTCATTTTAGGGGTTATGGGGGCCAACAATTTAGGAATTAAGGGCCAAAAAGGGGCCAAAAACATGCATTTTTCTAGTTTCCAGACAATAACTTGTGTGTAAGTGTATGGATCTCTCTGACATTGTACTACAAGGTTCCATACTACAAAGGAAAGGCTGGGATTGAGTTTTGGGGTTAATTGCCCCAAACATGTAGGAATTAGGGGCCAAAAAGGGCCAAAAACAAGCATTTTTCTAGTTTCCAGACAATAACTTGTGTGTAAGTGTATGGATCTCTCTGAAATTATACTACAAGGTTCCATACTACAAAGGAAAGGCTGGGATTGAGTTTTGGGGTTATTGCTCCAAGGGGGGTTTCAAAAAGTTGGGGGGGGGGGGATTTTTTTCCCAATTTTTTTAAGGGATTCATATTTTTTTTCTCAAAATTTTTAAAATTTCAAATTTTTGAAAAGTTTCAAGAAGAAATCTTCAATTGCACAGTATCGTGCAATGGATTTATAAGATCTTTGACCACATTTATTTTGTGTCAGAAACCTATATTATGTAAAAAATTTGATCACAATCCAAATTCAGACAGTATCAAGCTTGAATATTGTGTCCAAATTTGCCCCAACTCAGAGCTCCAGATAAGAGTTCACAAATTGGGGTTTTTACCCACCATTTTTGTCGAGCCATAGCGATCCTACATTCCGTCGGCGTCGTCGTCGTCGTTGTCGTTGGCGGCGTCCACAAATATTCACTCTGTGGTTAAAGTTTTTGAAATTTTAATAACTTTCTTAAACTATCCTGGATTTCTACCAAACTTGGACAGAAGCTTGTTTATGATCATAAGATAATATTCAAAAGTAAATTTTGTAAAAAAAAAATTCCATTTTTTCCGTATTTTACTTATAAATGGACTTAGTTTTTCTGCCAGGAAACATTACATTCACTCTGTGGTTAAAGTTTTTGAAATTTTAATAACTTTCTTAAACTATCCTGGATTGTACCAAACTTGGACAGAAGCTTGTTTGTGATCATAAGATAGTATCCAGAAGTAAATTTTGTAAAAAAAAAAATCCATTTTTTCCGTATTTTACTTATAAATGGACTTAGTTTTTCTGCCAGTTAACATTACATTCACTCTGTGGTTAAAGTTTTTAAAATTTTAACAACTTTCTTAAACTATCCTGGATTTGTACCAAACTTGGACAGAAGCTTGTTTATGACTAAAAGCTAGTATCTAAAAGGAAATTTTGTTAAAATATTTTTCCATTTTTTCCGTATTTTACTTATAAATGGACTTAGTTTTTCTTCCAGTTAACATTACATAACAGTTTAAGTTTTTATTTATAACATTTATTAGATTCATAAACTATCCTGGATTTTTACCAAACTTGGACAGAAGCTACTTACAATCAAAAGATAGTATAGAGAGGAATATTTTTATTAATTTTTTTCCTCATTTTTGTTGAGCCTGTGATAAACAGCAGAAGTAGGCGAGACACTAGGTTCCGCGGAACCCTTACGAATTTTTTATTTAATTGAGTGAAATAGTTTTTCAATTGCATTATTAATTCCAATTCAACCCTCAAGCAAATATCAAATTGGGTTTTTCACCACCAAGCTCCTTAACGTATTGGGTTTTTTCATCAACACAATAATGAATTTAGGCATGTTATAATCACATTCTATCAAACAGAGATGTTCATCCATCTTATTAATAAAATATGTTTCTTTTAAATGTGATAGCTATTTTATTTGGTTTATACACTGACGAGCAATTGTATGTTAAATCTGTGTCCGGTTTCAACACAGAGTTTTGTATTTTCCATAACTTATATTTACTGGTGGCACTAATAGGACAGTACCTAATTACCGTTCTAGAGCACATATGATCACCATTCAGTTTATTTAGGGTAGGTGTGGCTAATAGTTTTCAGATTTTTATGTAATATTTGTGAACATTAAGTGATGTAAGATAGTGTTGCCAGTCCCTATCACCTGTTTTCCAGACCTACTTAAAAAAAAATAAGTAGCTCCCAGATTTAAGATCCTTGACCAGGTTTATAGGGTAGTTTAATGACTGAGACCACATTCAATTTACAAATAATCCTGCAACATCAAATAAATAAATGACAATGGTGTACTGCACTTGCCAATAAGACAACTACATGTATCTTAGGCATACAGAACAATAGACCAAAAACAAAGAAAGTGGCAAGCTACATTTACATTAAAACTAATATGTGTGTTCACTCATCAACTAAAATGAAAAATATATTATATATACACTTAAACTAAAAATAAGCAATTTTTTCGTTTAATTTTATTTACATAAATCTGGGTTTACTTGTCCCTTATTAGAACTTTTGGTTTCCGATGCTGACTTCATATAAGTGATTTGGCCTTTCATGTTCCAACTGATTTAGTTCTGACGAGTTCTAACCCTGTTCTCATTAAGGCACGCAAACACGCCCTTGTAAGAACACTAGCTGGGTCTTGATTTCATCAGAATTCCTCAGCTCTCAAAAAGAAGCTAAAAGCATGCTTCTATTCAATATTTTTACCGGAAATCTACTTTCGTTTTAATTCATTGCTAAGTGTAATGTTAAATCCCGATCAATACGAAAAGAATTATGACGACATGACTAACACTAATTGGATAAAGACAGAGAAGATCGAAATGTTTTCATCACCACGTGTACCTTTAAGCAACGGAAAATTTCAAAAGGGACCCTTTCAACGCTCTATTTTTAGAACGAAAGGACATTTCTGATTTTCAATATTACAAAAATAGATTTACGCGACAACTATGTAATAGATAAGGGTAAATAGCGCACACGATAGCGACTAAAAGCGTTAAGAACTCATGGTTTTGACAAATTGTTGGGTTTTCCTTTGCATGAATTGGGTTTTAGAACGCTGCAATGGGCACTTGCATTGGGTTTTCAATTATTTTTAATGCGTGATCACGCAAATACGCAGCTTATCTGGAGCTCTGCCCCAACTGTTCAAGGTTCGACCTCTGCGGTCGTATAATCTGCGCTCAGCAAAGCATTTTATTGTGTTTTGGTCAGTTTTCCAAATACTTATAGCAATAGGTCAGCTATATTTGGTTCATGGAATAATTATAAGATATACATGTCTGTCTGGCAGGTATCATCTGACCTTGACTTCATTTTCATGGTTCATTGGTTAATGTTGAGTTTTTATACGACCGCAAAAAAATTTTGCGGTCGTATATTGGTATGACGTTGGCGTCGTTGTCGTCGTCGTCCGAAGACACATTGGTTTTCGCACTCTAACTTTAGTTTAAGTGAATGGATCTCTATGAAATTTTACCATAAGGTTCAATACCACAAAAGGAAGGTGGGGATTGATTTTGGGGGTTATGGTACCAACAGTTAAGGAATAAGGGGCCAAAAATAAGCATTTTTGTAACTTCCAGACATAACTTGTGTGTTAGTGTATGGATCTCTCTGACATTGTTCCACTATGTTCCATATCACAATGGGAATGCTGGGATTGATTTTGGGGGTAATTGCCTCCAAATTTTAGGAATTAGGGGCCAAAAAGGGGCAAAAAACAAGCTTTTTTCTAGTTTCATGACAATAACTTGTGTGTAAGTGTATGGATCTCTCTGACATTGTACCACAAGGTTCCATATCACAAAGGGAATGCTAGGATTGATTTTAGGGGTAATTGCCTCCAAATGTTAGGAATAAGGGGCCAAAAAGGGGCAAAAAACAAGCATTTTTCTAGTTTCATGACAATAACTTGTGTGTAAGTGTATGGATCTCTCTGACATTGTACCACAAGGTTCCATATCACAAAGGGAATGCTAGGATTTATTTTAGGGGTAATTGCCACCAAATGTTAGGAATAAGGGGCCAAAAAGGGGCAAAAAACAAGCATTTTTCTAGTTTCATGACAATAACTTGTGTGTAAGTGTATGGATCTTTATGAAATTGTACTACAAGGTTTCATACCACAAAGGGAAGGCTGGGATTGATTTTGGGGGTAATTCCCTCAAAATTTTAGGAATAAGGGGCCATAAAGGGGCAAAAGAACAAGCATTTTTCTTGTTTTCATGACAATAACTTGTGTGTAAGTGTATGGATCTTTATGAAATTGTACTGCAAGGTTCCATATCACAAAGGGAAAGCTGGGTTTGAGTTTGGGGGTAATTGCCCTAAACGTTTAGGAATTTGGGGCCAAAAACAAGCATTTTTCTAGTTTCAGGACAATAACTTGTGTTCAAGTGTATGGATCTCTCTGAAATTGTACTGCAAGGTACCATACCACAAAGGGAAGGCTGGGATTGAGTTCGGGGGTGATGAATCATAAGGGGGTTCAAAAAATTGGGGGGGGATTTTTTTTTCATTTTTTTTCTTTAAAATTTTCCATTTTAAATTGGTTATTTCTGATTTATATATAAAAGCAAATAATAATGATATGGTTTGTATAGGTAAATTAAATTTTTTTAAGTTCTTAGACCACATTCATTCTGTGTCAGAAACCTATGCTGTGTCAAATATTTAATTACAATCCAAATTTAGTGCTGTATCAAGCTTGAATGTTGTGTCCATACTTGCCCCAACTGTTCAGGGTTCGACCTCTGTGGTCGTATCAAGCTGTGCCCCAGCGGAGCATATTATTGTGTTTTGGTCTGTTTTTTTTAAATACTATAAGCAGTACATGTAGGTCAACTAGATTTTGTGTATATATATATATTCGATTCACTCTTGTTAAAATTAAGGAAACTGTCAACCTTTTTTGTAAATTTTAAGCAAGTACCTGTTAATGCTTTAATGAAAACCGAAAAGGTAAAGCAAAGAGAAAGTATGGCTTCGATGACTTGACCACATCTTGGCAGTGGTCAAATTTTATTCCTCTAGTGAAAAGAATACAGCACTAAAAATTTTAATTTGTTATATTTTGACTTCTCTGATTATTACATTTTCCCTTTCTTTTCCTTACAGCTTGGGTTCATGTTTATGGCCTGCACTTTAATCTTTGCCTCAATTCATCCAGAGGTCCTTGAGAAATCCATGCAAACATGTCCAGTAGGGGACACTAAAAATCAGGATATTGTTATTGACGTTAATGTCAAAGGTGATCAAGTGAAACTGGAGACTTGTGGTGATGTCATGTTTGTGCAGAAGAAATTTACAAAAGGTATGTCAAGCAAGTGCAAGGGTTTGTAATTTATCAAGCTCATTTTAAAGGGTGACATTTTGGTTTCACATTCAAGTTCACTTTTCAAAGTAAATTCAGGGACTGCCCGGGTCTCCAAAAAAGTTGTTGCCAGAAAAACACCAGGATCAAATATTTGCACCAAGTTCCATGTATCCCCCTCTTTTCATTACATTTTGTTAGGTATTCATATGAAGTTCATTCATGCATTGAGTTAAGCAATTTCAATTTATATTTTATAGTTTGTCTTTCTATGTTGTGATGTTACACTATTGTTTCAGATAAGGGTGAAGGTTTTGTACCATAGTGTTCTCCCCAGGCCCTTAAAGGACCGCGGGCCCGCGATGTATAATTTTCTACCGTGGTGGTATCGTTCTTGCCGCGATGTATAATTTTTATACGACCGCAAAAAAATTTTTGTGGTCGTATATTGGTATGGCGTCGTCGTCGTCCGGCGTCGTCGTCCGAATACACATTAGTTTTCGCACTCTAACTTTAGTTTAAGTGAATGGATCTCAATGAAATTTTACCATAAGGTTCAATACCACAAAAGGAAGGTGGGGATTGATTTTGGGGGTTATGGTACTAACAGTTAAGGAAAAAGGGGCCAAAAATAAGCATTTTTGTAACTTCCAGATATAACTTGTGTGTAAGTGTATGGATCTCTCTGACATTGTACCACAAGGTTCCATATCACAAAGGGAATGCTGGGATTGATTTTGGGGGTAATTGCCTCCAAATTTTAGGAATTAGGGGCCAAAAAGGGGCAAAAAACAAGCATTTTTCTAGTTTCATGACAATAACTTGTTTGTAAGTGTATGGATCTTTATGAAATTGTACTACAAGGTTCCATATCACAAAGGGAAAGCTGGAATTGATTTTTGGGGTAATTTCCTCCAAATTTTAGGAATTAGGGGCCAAAAAGGGGCAAAAAACAAGCATTTTTCTAGTTTCATGACAATAACTTGTTTGTAAGTGTATGGATCTTTATGAAATTGTACTACAAGGTTCCATATCACAAAGGGAAGGCTGGGATTGATTTTGGGGGTTTTCCCTCAAAATTTTAGTAAGTAGGGGCCATAAAAGGGCAAAAAAAAAACATGCATTTTTCTAGTTTCAGGACAATAACTTGTGTGTAAGTGTATGGATCTTTATGAAATTGTACTGCAAGGTTCCATATCACAAAGGGAAAGCTGGAATTGAGTTTGGGGGTAATTGCCCTAAACGTTTAGGAATTTGGGGCCAAAAAGGGGCCAAAAAACAAGCATTTTTCTAGTTTCCAGACAATAACTTGTGTTCAAGTGTATGAATCTCTCTGAAATTGTACTGCAAGGTACCATACCATAAAGGGAAAGCTGGGATTGAGTTTGGGGGTGATGAATCATAAGGGGGTTCAAAAAATTGGGGGGGGATTTTTTTTTTCCTTTTTTTTCTTTAACATTTTCCATTTTAAATTGGTTATTTCTGATTTATATATAAAAGCAAATAATGATGATATGGTTTGAATAGGCATACATGTGAACCTCCCGATGGGAGTACAATAATCCCGTTTTCAGGGGTCTCCTCCCGACCTCCCGTTGAAGAGGAAAAAATCCCGTGTATGAAATTTTTCATGAATGAAAAATTTCTGCCCAACATATCATCTCAGGCATCTGGTGTAACTGACATTACCTGAAGTTATATTTTACCTGTAAATCAATTAACATGCATAATTATATGGCTTCACTTGTCAGCTTGGGTGTCAAACATACTGGTAATCAACGATTTTTACCTCAGGCTAACTGCCGTTGTGTAACAGAAACTGTGTATTTATTGGGTTACTTCCCTTGATTTATCCTGTTTTAAGTTACTTTCCTTTTAATAATGAAAATTTTTAAAAGAATATAAATAAAATATAAATTGAACAAATAATCATAAAAGGATGGTTATTAAATGATTTTAAATGTCTTAGGACAAATAAAAAAATAATAATTTGAAAATTATTTGAGGATTCTATACTTCCTTTCAAGGCTTAAATTGAAATTTATATAATAACTATGACCCTAATTTTACAGATAGAATGATTTTCTGAGTTTGCAAATAAAACTATTTGCAAGAGAAAAAAAAAAAAAAAAAAAAACTATTTGCAGATAGCTAAACAAATGTTCTGGTTGCAATGATTGTTTTATAGAATATGAAGTAAAAAATTTAAAGAACATACTGGAAAAAAACAATGTTAGATTGAACATGTAGAATATAAAGATGGAGAAACTTTATAAGTACAAGGGTACTATAAACATAATAAATTGGATGGAAAGTTGAAGAAAACACACTTTAAAAGACCATTTTTCAGCACACGGTTACATTTACAACAAAATTAATGTCGATTAAAAACCTCCTGATCTGAGTCCTAATCTCCTGACCAAAATTTCCCAATCTCCTGATCTGAGTTTCACAGTCCATCACATGTATGAATAGGTAAATTGAAAATTTTTAAGTTCTTAGACCACTTTCATTCTGTGTCAGAAACCTATGCTGTGTCAAATATTTAATTACAATCCAAATTCAGTGCTGTATCAAGCTTGAATGTTGTGTCCATACTTGCCCCAACTGTTCAGGGTTCGACCTCTGCGGTCGTATCAAGCTGCGCCCCAGCGGAGCATTTTATTCTCCGTGGTGCTAAAATTTTCGGTAAAAAAATCGTAAATCGGTAAAGTTTTAAACGATATGTTCAACCTTTTCCGTGGGGTATAAAATTTCAGATGAAAACTGACCAGTTCAAACCAGTTCAATCCAGTTCTTACAACTAGGTTGTTTACACCACGTGATCGATTTACCTTTTGAGGTTAACCTTGATCATTGGATTTAATCGATGTACATGATTCTTTTGTGTTTTAATTAATTAAGAGATCATAATTAATGATCAGACTTGTGAGGGACAAGCAGACATTTGTTAATTAACTCTATTACTCCAGCCTTTGGTTATAAATAATTTGCGTATTTTAAACGTATTGGAGTTACTTCCCCTGATTTAGCATATTACAAATAAGTGCTCCTAAAATATTATCTATCACTGAAAATAGAAATAAAGTACAAATTGAATGCAAAATTATATAAGAATGTTAGCTTAAGGATAAAAACTTTCTTTCAACATACCAACAAAAATATATTGCAAATTATTTTTGATAATCATACTTTTATTAATGCACAGACATTATAATAAATAGGTAGTATTTTCCAATTAGGAATTGACTTGTGTTAAAGTAGTCCCACTCTTAAGACACTGATTGGAACTCAGCTTGATATGATATATGAGTGTACAGATAGATGATATAAATTTACTTCTCATGTCTGTCTACCAAGTAACACAATAATGATTCTAATAATAATTATATTGTTGTTTAAAAGAATCATGTCTTAAGCTATGGAAAATAGTTTTTAATTTACTAGAGGTTCTGCATTAAAATTTAATCTTGTTTAAATTTAATTGTTATGGTGTAATCTAACAAAAATGGGGAATGTGTAGTTTAACTACAAGTATCAGGACAAATTGGCTTGATCAAAATATAAAAAGTGACTTAAGTTTAAAGACTAATAGTGCTTTCTTTTATTTATTCTTAAAAGAAATTAAAGTATACAAACTGTTTATTGATTTACCTCTTTTTTACCAGTAATTTTTTGACCCAAAGTCTACATAACACAGTAAACAAAACAAAGACAAAAAGGTAATGACACAAAAACTAACAAGAAAAAAAAAAAGGTGATGCAACGCGACACGACATATTTTACAAATCATTTTGACACACGTTACCCTGGTGCTATCCAAAAATCCTGGGGAGAACACTGCCATTAATACGTTTAAACCCGCTGCAATTGTATGCACCTGTCCTAAGTCAGGAATCTGATGTTCAGTAGTTGTTGCTTGTTGATGTGGTTCATAAGTGTTTCTCGTTTTTAGCTCACCTGGCCTAAAGGGCCAAGTGAGCTTTTCTCATCACTTGGCGTCCGTCGTCGTTAGCTTTTTACAAAAATCTTCTCCTCTGAAACCACTGGGCCAAATTTAACCAAACTTGTCCACAATCATTATTAGGGTATCTAGTTTAAAAAATGTGTCCGATGACACTGCCAACCAACCAAGATGGCGGCCATGGCTAAAAATAGAACATAGGGGTAAAATGTAGATTTTGGCTTATATCTCTGAAACCAAAGCATTTAGAGTAAATCTGACATAGGGTAAAACTGATTATCAGGTCAAGATCTATCTGCCCTGAAATTTTCAGACAAACCTGACAACCTGTTGTTGGGTTGCTGCCCCTGAATTGGTAATTTTAAGGAAATTTTGCAGTTTTTGGTTATAATCTTGAATATTATTATAGATAGAGATAAACTGTAAACTGCAATAATGTTCAGCAAATGTTCAGTAATGATCTACAAATAAGTTGTCATGACCAAAATTGTCAGTCGACCCCTTTAGGAGTTATTGCCCTTAATAGTCAATTTTTAACAATTTTTCGTAAATTTTTGTAATCTTTTACAAAAATCTTCTTCTCTGAAACTACTGAGACAAATTTAACCATACTTGGCCATAATCATTATTAGGGTATCTAGTTTAAAAAATTTGTCCAATGACCCCACCTCCCAACCATCATGGCCGACTTGGTTAAAAATAGAACATAGGGGTAAAATGCAGTTTTTGGTTTATATCTCTGAAACTAAAGCATTTAGAGCAAATCTGCCCGATGGCAAAAATGTTCATCCGATTTAGATTTATCTGCCCTGAAATTTTCGGACAAATCCGACAACCCGTTGTTGGGTTGCTGCCCCTGAGTTAGTAATTTTACAAAAATTTTGCAGTTTTTTGTTATTATCTTAGATATCATTATAATATCTAATATCTAATACTATTAATTATGATTTTAACCTTATTTTACATGATCCAAAGCATCAGTAAATACAGGTGAGCGACACAGGCTCTTGAGAGCCTCTAGTTTATATAGATTAGACTGTTGGTTTTCCCGTTTGAATGGTTTTACACTAGTAGTTTTTGGGGCCCTTTATAGCTTGCTGTAATGTGTGAGCCAAGGCTCCGTACTTTGACCTATAATGGTTTACTTTTATAAATTTTGACTTGGATGGAGAGTTGTCTCATTGGCACTCATACCACATCTTATATCTATATAAAATATAAAAAAAATTAAGTCAAGTTTCCTCTTCTTTGGGCACTGACCATGGTCCACATGTCATCATACCTATAAAGCTTATTCTTCAAGATGCTTGTTGAAGTGAAAATCCTAGTAAAATTTGTTTTTCATTATTATTCATTTAGTTGTTTCAAGATATAGTCAACGTTTATCATTGTTTTTATTTAATATTGGAAATGATTTAATTTGATTAAACAATCCTTAGTTACAGTAGTTATATGTAAATGGATTTTAAAAAATGCATCATCTCAGATACTGGCTCACTGCTCCACCAAGATGTAGCAGGTAGTGGGCCAGGCTAACGCCAAAAGTTACGTCCAAATATTTCTCCATTAATTAAATGCAAATACTGGAAATCATATACATTTTTGAAGAAAAAAAAACAGTTAATAATCAAATGAATTGCAGAAAAAAAGAATAAAAAAGACTACTCAAGGTTTAAGCAAAGTGTTTTAATTGCTTGGTTCTGGGTGCATTCATATCATGTATATGAAATTGTTTTGTCTGGCAGTGTAAGTTTTGATAAATTAAACATGACAGTTATCTTGATATATGTAAAAAAAAATTTAACAACAACAAATTTATTATTTGTTTTACAGATAACCTTTGTGTTGCCTTTGCTATTGTGATGTGTATGATAACAATAACAGGATTCCTGTTGTATGGTATTATGAAGGTAGGGGATAGCAATAACAAGATTCTGTTTGTATGGTATTATGAAGGTAGGGGATAGCAATAACAAGATTCTGTTTGTATGGTATTATGAAGGTAGGAGATAGCAATAACAGGATTCTGTTTGTATGGTATTATGAAGGTAGGAGATAACAATAACAAGATTCTGTTTGTATGGTATTATGAAGGTAGGAGATAGCAATAACAAGATTCTGTTTGTATGGTATTATGAAGGTAGGGGATAGCAATAACAAGATTCTGTTTGTATGGTATTATGAAGGTAGGGGGTAGCAATAACAAGATTCTGTTTGTATGGTACAAATGTGTATTGAAAGTTATTTATACAGTCATTAAGTGAACTATTGCCATGTCAAATTACATACCACTTTTGTTGCCATGTCACTTTGGTAGATAGTTTTTCTGTGGGAATTTGATTTTTCTTGATATATTGAAAAATGTTGACACATAACATATGGGCATTTCAACAATAAATGTCTCCAGTGATGCCAGAGGCCAATATATTTGAAAATCCAAAACTTGTTTAAAAAATTGAAGAGCTGATAAAACCAAAAGGACAAAAAGTATAGCCAATGTAGGCTAAGGAATCAGAGCTTTGCATGAGGGAGAGATAAAATGTAGACAGAACATACCAGGCTACATGATGCCATTTTTCTGTGTTAAGATGTTTTACTTTTGTATACCTTGTCTGACTGTTGTTTTTATATTTTACAGAACAGACCAGGCTACATGATGCCGTTTTTCTGTGTTCAGATGTTTGACTTTTGTATATCCTGTCTGACTGTAGTTGGATATTTCTCCTATGCTCCTGATATGAAGTTGTGGCTCTGTCAAGAAGGACTGGTATGAAGTTAATATATAAGCTAAATTTAAGCTACCTTTTTATCAGTCCCCTACCGATGAAGTCAAAGGTGACTTTAGGTTTGCTCTGTCTGTCAGTCCATCTGTCAGTCTGGCAAATCAGTTTTCCACACCAAGTTTTACCCTTGGCCGTCTGTACGTCCCAAAGTTGGTTTCCGTTCTCTAACTTTAGTTTGCCTCAACCAAATGTTATGAAACTTATACACAATGCTTATTACCACAAAACACAGATCAAGTTTGAATTTTGGTGGCGTCACCTTAACCGTTCTAGAGTTATGCCCCTTTACAAATTGAAAAATCGCTGAATTTTTCGTTTCCGTTCTCTAACTTTAGTTAGCCTCAACCAAATGCTATGAAACTTATGCACAATGCTTATTACCACATAATACAGATCAAGTTTGAATTATGGTGGTGTTACTTTGACTGTTCTAGAGTTATGCCCCTTTACAAATGGAAAAATTGCTGAATTTTTCGTTTCCGTTTTCTAACTTAAGTTTGCCTCAACCAAATTTTATGAAACTTATACACAATACTTATTACCACAAAACTCAGATCAAGTTCAAATTGGATAGCGTCACTTTTTCCATTCTTTAGTTATGTCCCTTTATAACTTTGTATGATATGCAAGCGGGGGCATCTGTGTCCCATGGACACTTTCCACATTTATTTTCTTCATGCTTGAAGATATTGATTTGAAATATGGTACATACTTTTATCATGACAAGTTACAGTTCAAGTTGGAATTATGTTCCGGTCTGATGATTTTGTGCAGAGTTATGGTCCTTTGACTTGGAAAATTCTCTCAAATAATCAGTTTTCCGCCCTTTTTTTTTGTCATGCTTGAAGATATTGATTTAACTGTCAGATTCAGGCAATAACAATGCTATACAATTTTCACATGTCTTGCACTAGCTTGAAAATGCTTCTATCAAACTAATTCTAACTAAGAATTTGTTTGGATTGGTGAAAGTAAGCTCCCTTTTAATCCTGAAACTGTTCCTATTATTCCGCAGATACCTAGTAATATTAAAGGCACTTTTTCAGATGTTTAGCACTAGCTCAAGTATGCTTGGATCACAATTTACTTTAAACTTTACACTGATGTTGGGATTGGTGAAAGTAAGCTCCTTTTCAATTTTACTACTTAGAATGTTTGGTTTTGCTTTTCAGAGTTATGGGACTTAAACCTTCAAAATGTAAGGCATTATCATATGCCCTTAGGATATTTTCCTGCAAGTTCTTCTGTGAGGCCTTTTTTTACTGACTTCTGATTGAATGCATTCTGCCGTGTTCCATTTTATAACCCAGCTAGGATAAGGAATATTTTGCATTAACCTTGTTCATTCATCCACGAAATATTTTTGTGACAGTGAGTTAATGTCAAGCAAATTAAAGAAAAGAAAAAGTTGAACGTAATTCCGGCTTTTATCATGCTCTTTGTGTCAGCCTAGCAAATTGGCTATGAAGAATTTCTATTTGGCTTCTGTGTACAATTTGAAATTTAAAATACAAGTAATAAATGTGCTAGAACAAAACAAACATTATTATAAGACTATGATTATAAGTAACTATGCATAAACACATCAATGAGACAGCAATTAAGCATCACAATAAAAACCTGAAAAAAGTTTGTTGTTTCAACAGTTTCATTTTTGTCTCATTTTTCAAACTTGACAATTGTCTAATTAAACTTACTGGTATAAGGCATTAGTTGACAGTGTACATACCTAGTTGATTAGACTTTAAATTACTAAAAATTAACGTAAAAATTTGCAATAAAAATTTGAATTTTTTTGGGTAGTAAATGAATTTATGAAACAATCAAAGGTACACATAAGACAAGAAATTTAACAACCATTTGAACATTAAGAAATATTTGGCTAAAAATGGAAATGTTTACATTATGTTTTGATCTTTGAAAATATAATATATGGCACTATCTAGGCTGTGACTCAATAGCAAATATGTTTTGTAGGCTTGTCTACCCTTGATGGACAGACTATTGGCAATGGACCGTGATATACTGATGATTCTTTGTCTGATTTGTTTCATTCTATGGCTGTCATTTAAGGTAAGTAGTACAGCATGAACAAGTTTCTAGTTTCATATTAAACAAATGCAGATTTTGTAAGTATTCAGCAATATTAATGCATATGAATAGGAAAGTTTTATTTTGATTTTTTTATATCAATGCAAACATAAATTGTTATTTTTTTTTCAAAACATACATAAAATAAAAAAAAAAAAAATGCAGTTAATGTAAAGTGATGTCAGAATCACTTTTTTTTACACAATCTTTATTAAAAATATGTTGTCACATGTTATGCATTCAATTCTTATATCTATAATAAATATGAATTATTGTAGCATTAAATTAACATGAAATGTTTAAAGTAAAGGAAATTATAATCTATTGGATAGATTAAATTAATACAGATTACACATTGTTAACAGTGTTTCAGTAATGTCAAATGCTCAAAATCAATACAAAAGTTTGTAACATATGGGGCATTTGTTTCAACAATTATTAAAGCACAGATTGTATAAAAAAAGAAAGTGAAGACTTAATGTAAATACTATTTTTTTAAACACAACACATTAAGTTTTATTTGATTGGCCAAATACCTGAAATATTAATGTAAATATAATGCCTGTCTGGAGGGTCATGGTCAATGTGTTGTATATTAAGATAAATACAATGGGGTATAATTTTGTGTGTTTTGCTTGCAGTACCCCTAGTTAAGATTGAATAAAGGTTAAGTTGAGACAGGGACATTATTCAGGTATTGAGTTGTAAACTTTAAAGTTATGAAAATAAAAATAAAAAAAAACCTCTTAGATGAAGATAAATTGGGAAGTAATAATTATTAGAAAATCCTGATGAAAACACACTTACATCCAGTTGAAATTAAATGAAAGAAATGGAACTCTTTATTAAAGAAGGTAAAAAAGGCCAAGTTGGTATACCGGGTATTTGAATTGTTTACATCTGTTTCTATGGGCTTTTAAATTTTAATGTAAGTGCATAATTTAGGATTGTTTTGCATCTTATATATATGTTTTTACTTTAATTATAGAATGGAGCTTTGATATATTTATTTACTTTTAAATTAAAGACAAATTTTCACAAAACCGTTGATTATGGTATGTGTAAATACATGTGGATCTTTTTTGTGTATATAAAAGCATGAATTCTGCCAATAAAAATTGCTCAGAAAGATAAAGGATTGATTTTTTGAAAGCATTAATTTGAATCTGCCCCCAGCAACAGTTTTTTGGGAAAAAATCCTAAATATGGGCAATAATTTCATGTAAATACATCTTTTTATGATCAGGCGTGTTTGAGTTGATTAATTTGTCTTGAAAACGTATAAAGCAAAAATATTTGATACATCATCTTGCTTTAGATTCTATTTTTTTTACATATTTAGGCTACAGGTTGATATAAAAACTCACAGTACTAAAAAATGAAATATATTGGTCAAGTGAAATACCTTTCTAATAAGTCATAACAACAGAGTTTGTGTGTGTGTTTGAATAACAAATTTTTACCGAAAACCGATGAAGACAAACTTTACAAGTGGATCTTAAAAATGCATTACTTTAATAAAAAAAATTGTGCGTATTGTCTAGGGTTTTTCAGCTTCAACCTCAGAAAATTTTTAGTCTTTTAGTCTGCCCTTCCACGAAATATTAAATTGCAATTTTTTTTTCTGTTTTTGAACTTTTGAAAAATGTCCCTGACAACCGATCAGGCAGTAGTTTTAAGTTGATTAAAGGCCCAAAAGTACATTAAACTATGTTTAATAGTTAGTTGATACATTTGTTTTTTACAATACAACTGGCATATAATTTTGACAATGTAGAATCCTGACTGAAAATTGAAAAAAAGAGTTGCACACTTATTAGATTTAGAACAATAAGATGTAATTTTGACCAATAACTGAAGCAGGTTTAGAGAATTGGGCCTAAATTAAAATATATTGATGTAGTAACTTATTATAACAGATTTCAATTTATCCTAGTCTGTTAACAATTTAGGTAAATTGTAGGTATTTTTGAATTATAATTACTATGTTTTTTTTTTGTAGACTGTTTTATTAACAGATTTTTATAATTCACATAACTATATACTTTGTATTGATTTAACAGAACTGAATACTTTCATGTTTTATATAATATAGGCCTATTTGATTGGTGTGATCTGGGCTTGTTACAAGTACTTGCAACTGAACAGAGTGAACAGAGATGTGGTTAGAGAATATACTGTTGATCCCGATTCTGAGGTAGATATATAACTGTTGTAAAGTAGCAGATATTTGCTCTTATCAGACAACATTCTTTGTACTGAATCATGAATGGTCACAAAAAATTGCATAACATCAAAGATAAAAATGATTTCTTTTAACTTGGATTTGTCATTATGGTACATTTTTTTAAATCCCAGGGTATTGATTCAAAATAATGGATTAAAATACCCACTGATTATAATATAATATTTTTAAATTTACATGTTTTGTTTAAAAAAAATTGCATTGATGGAAGTTCAGTACAAAAAAGAAAATTTTGTATCTGAAAGATAACACATAAATATCCTGTAAATAAAGTTAAGTCTACGTTTGGAATGTCAATTTCAATTACAACTTGAAAAAGCAAAATTCAATAAAAATGATAGTTTATGGTCATCTATAGGCATTTATAATTTAATGTTCAGAAAAATGTTGACATTGTAAGTATCCTAATTCCTATAAGACTAAACTGACCCTGCTATTTAAATAAATACAGGGGAAAATTGACTGTACCTTTTTGTCTGTTAGGTATAATAGATAAAATCTTGACAGACGGACATTTCAATTGGTGTCAGCATGTGAACCATTGCCTTGGCTGGCATTATACATGTTGCTGATATTCTAATCGGTTTACTTTGTTGTATGTTCAATAGACCTTGAGGTTGTTCCCTTCTGTAATAGTCTAGGAACATTCTTGAAATATTGTTTTCTCTAGTTTGTGTTGTAAAGTTTCTAATTATACACCCGTTTAAGGTATACCGTTGTCCAGTTTTCTGGCTATAACTCAAATATGCTTTAGGAATTTTCATGAAACTTTGGTGAATTGTTTATATGTATTGACATAAGAACCCTTTCAGTTTTTAGAAATTTCTGATTTTATGTTTTGGAGTATTGGGACTTTATTCATAAAAAAGGGGGGGAACTTTCCAGTTTTCTGATAACTTAAAACACTTTGAGCAGTTTTCATGAAACTTTGGTGACCTGTTTATATCTATTGAAATATGCTCTCTTTTTAATTTTTATAAAATTTCTGATATGACATTGTGGAGTTATGGAACTTTATTCTTGGAAAAATCATCAAAAACTTACCATTTTCACACATTGGATGGTTATAGAATTTTATTTTTTCAAAAATTGAGGCCTCAAACTAAGTCAAACTTGAGGTAGCCTTAATTGTGCCAAATTATTCAGGTTTTGTGTCAATTGGTACCACTGTGTGTGCAAGTCTTTTCTTTCTTTTTTTTTTTTTTCTTTTTTTTTTTGGGGGGGTCTATTTGAGCAGTGCTCACAGTATTTCTAATTGATCATATAAATTGATTTAAGGCATAAAGACAAGCTAAAAGGGCAACAGGCATATCATGCACATGAGATCAGCTCTTTTTTTTGTATGGTCCACATCTCTCTTTATTTGTATTGAAATTAAATATGGATAGTTTTGATTATTTTAAGATGCATTCTTATTTTAAAATGTGTCTACCTTTTGCAAAGATAAGTAGATATGCCACTTACATATGTACATTTTTTTTCTTCAATTTTAAGGTTTTTATATGACTGCAAAAAATTTTGTGGTCGTATATTGGTATCACGTTGTCGTCGTCGTCATTGAGATTATGACCTTATCTTGAGGGAAAGAATTTTTTTTTAAAAAGGGAAAGGGGGGAATTGAAAAACAACAAAATTTGGTGGGGGGGGGGGGACAATTTTTTCTCATTTCAGATTTCAGAAATTAAAAAGAAAATTTCTTCAAATATTATTTTTTTTTGCAAAAAAAAGATGAGAAGTGGTGGTGGTGGGGGGGGGGGGGCAATATGCAACAGCATAGTGTATTGCACAAAAGCATTAATTGAATATGAATTCAAATCATATTACCAATTCTAAGGTCTTTGACTACAGTTATTCTGTGTCAGAAACCTATTTTGTGTCAGATATTTAATTACAATCCAAATTCAGACCTGTATCAAGCGCGAATATTGTGTCCATTTTTGACCCAACTGTTCTGGGTTGGACCTCTGCGGTCGTATCCAGCTGCGCTCAGTGAAGCAATTTATTGTTCTCTACTATAAGGTTGTCTGAGAAATCATACAGGAATCTATAAATATAATATCACATGATTATTTGATCGTAAGGGGGATATACCTGAGATAAGGGAGATAACTCTTTAAATTCAATAATGTATTTTGTTTATGGTCAGTTTCATCTATACTTTTTATGCACTACAGAAGTAGGATGTATTGATGACATTGAAATAGTTGACACAAACATATCAATGATTTAAAGAGTTACTTCCCTTATCCTAGGTGTGACTTCTTATGTACACACAATTTTGGTTTTTGTCTAAAAGTTAAGTCATATATGATGAGCCAATAAATGTTGTACTTCCAGATGTTACTTCCTCCAAAGTATGAAGATGCTATCAAAGTTCCCATGGACCAGGCTCCTCCACCACCATATGCATCGTAGAATAGTTAGGTAACAGCTCTCTTGTACATGGAAAGTGATATAGTGGAAGGCAATTGAATGAAGACAAAAAAATATCAGTTTTCATTGGACTGTATGAGAGCTATTTTATTTTCGTAATGCTTAATTTAATAGGATGTAACTTTTTTATTTTTAAAGCTTTATTGCATCGTAATTTTTGCAATTTTTCGGGAAGATACAGGTGATGAAATCATGTATTATGAACTATACTGACTTATGTTAGTAAATGTATTGATTTAAATTATGATGTCATGTGTTTGAGATGTGTAGGAACATTCATTTATACTCATTATCAAGTTATCTGTAGTTTTTCTGTGTAATTGAAAAATTAATGAAATACCTTATGGTGTAAATTTTACAACTATGGTATGGATTTCAGAAATACGGTATAACTTGCATATTTATTGATATTTACTATCTTCATCATAATTTGACATGTTAGGTCACAGTATTTAACAATTACATACCTTGTGACACAAGGAACTTGTGAAGTGATAAAACATCTATTGAACTATATTAAATTGAATACTTTCCATATCAGCTGTTTTCCAAAAAGACCCCTTTTATTTTGTCTTTCAATCTGAGATATGTTCATAGGAACATAGTGCAATTACATATGTGATAGATTTATAAAATGCAGTATCTTGTTTTCAACATGATATAGAGACTCATTCCTTATATATATATATATTACTTTGATGTTAAAAAACTACAAATATTGTTTTTGGAATTCTTTATTGAAATAAAGTTGGTTTTACCTTAATGACTTATAATGCTTGAGGTTCGACCTTCATTTCCAAAATGCCAAGTAAACTAGTGCCATTTGTGTAATGCCATGGTTTTTTATGCCCCCGCCGTAACGGAGGGGGCATTAAGTTTTACCCTTGTCCGTCTGTACGCCCATCCGTAGGTACGTAACATAGTTGGTTTCTGTTCTCTAACTTTAGTTTGCCTCAACCAAATGTTATGAAACTTATACACAATGCTTATTACCACAAAACTCAGATCAAGTACAAATTTTGGTAGCGTCACTTTTTACTGTTCTTCAGTTATGTCCCTTTATAACTTAATATGATATGCAAGCGGGGGCATCATCTGTGTCCCATGGACACATTCACATTTTAGTCCTTCCTACAGGACCAATCAAAACAAAGTATGGCAGTTATTTGGAAAGCTTTTGAGTTTGCCATTTGATAAGGGACTTTAAGTTTTGAATTTTACTTGGAGTTTGGTATTTTTTTTTATATTTTTTCCCTTGTCAGTCTGTACGTACCAAAATTGGTTTCTGTTCTCTAACTTGAGTTTGCCTCAACCAAATGTTATGAAACTTGTACACAATGCTTATTACCACAAAACACAGATTAAGTTTGAATTTTGGTGGGGTCACTTTAAGGGCATATGATACAGTAGAGATCCCTTGTTGATTTTTTCTTGAAATTTTAGTAAAAGGTCAATTTTGATGTGTACTTTTGAAATATGCAAAGAAAAATATACCTTCATGACTTACTTTTTGAGATAATTTGGTTCGAAATTTGCTTATATGAAGGGAAAACCCTGAAATTTCATAAATAAGGACTTTTAAGGAAAGAAACAATACTTTTGAACGAACAGTCATAACTTAACCGGGTTTTTATACAACCGCAAAAAATTTTTTTGGTCGTATATTGGTATGACGTTGGCGTCGTTGTCGTCGTCGTTCGAAGACACATTGGTTTTCGCACAATAACTTTAGTGTTTAAGTGAATGGATCTCTATGAAATTTTACCCTAAGGTTCAATACCACAAAAGGAAGGTTGGGATTGATTTTGAGGGTTATGGTACCAACAGTTAAGGAATTAGGGGCCAAAAATAAGCATTTTTGTAACTTCCAGACAATAACTTGTGTGTTAGTGTATGGATCTCTCTGAAATTGTACCACAAGGTTCCATATCACGAAGGGAATACTGGGATTGATTTTGGGAGTATTTGCCTTAAAAATTTTGGAATTAGGGACCAAAAAAGGGGCAAAAAACAAGCATTTTTCTAGTTTCATGACAATAACTTGTGTGTAAGTGTATGGATCTTTATGAAATTGTACTACAAGGTTCCATATCACAAAGGGAAAGCTGGAATTGAGTTTGGGGGTAATTGCCCAAAACGCTTAGGAATAAGGGGCCAAAAATAAGCATTTTTCTAGTTTCCAGACAATAACTTGTGTTCAAGTGTATGGATCTCTCTGAAATTGTACTGCAAGGTACCATACCACAAAGGGAAGGCTGGGATTGATTTTTGGGGTAATTGCCTCAAAATTTTAGGAATTGGGGGCAAAAAAGGGGACAAAAACAAGCATTTTTCTAGTTTCAGAACACAATAACTTGTGTGTAAGTGTATGGATCTTTATGAAATTGTACTACAAGGTTCCATATCACAAAGGGAAAGCTAGGTTTGAGTTTTGGGGTAATTGCCCTAAATGTTTAGGAATAAGGGGCCAAAAAGGGACCAAAAATAAGCATTTTTAACCGGATTTTCGAAGGAAATATCGGTTATTAAAATGGTTATATACGGCGGGCGGCTCTGGCGGCTGCCAAACATAGTCCGCACAATAACATGAAAACGCTTTAACAAGTTTTTTTCAAATTTAAATATGTTGTTTCCTGGGACTTAATGAAGGTCTCTATTAATTTTCAAGATTTTAGTATATCTCCTTTGTGAGTTATCTTCATTTTTAATATCCAAAAGTAGAATTTTTAAATATTTTACTGTTGTTATCTTTTTATGATTTGTTCTATCTCAGAATAAAAATTGGAGTGACAGATTTATTTGAAAATTATCTATTTCCTAAGTGGTAATGATTATAAGCTATATCATTAGACATTTTGAAGATTATTCCATTATTAATTATGTTAGAGTACTACCGGGTATGTTAAACAACCATAGTTCTGTTCAATTAGATATTATAAATATTTCAGCATATGATAATGATTTTTTTTTGAAAACTTGTAAACAGTCGAGATCCCCATCCTGAAACCATATATATTCTTGTATGTTACAATAAAACAAATCAAATGAAATAAAAGTCAAGTCCCCTGGGGTCATCCCCACCTTCTTTCTGTTTAAGAACTTGTAAACGGTCGAGATCCCCACCCCTAAACCATATATATTCTTGTATGGGTCAATAAAACAAATGAAATGAAATATAGGGGAAGTCCATGGGGGTCACCCCCACCCCCTTCTTTTTGATAACTTGTAAACGGTCAAGATCCCCAACCCGAAACCATATATATTCTTGTATGGTACAATAAATCAAATGAAACATAGAAGTAGTCCATGGGGGTAACCCCCACCCCCCTTCTTTTTGATAACTTGTAAACGGTTGAGATCCCCACCCCTAAACCATATATATTCTTGAATGGGACAATAAAACAAATCAAATGAAATTGAGGGGAAGTCCTCTGGGGAAACCCCCACCCCCTTTTTTTTTTGTTGAAAACTTGATAACGGTCAAGATCCCCACCCCGAAACCATATATTTTCTTGTATGGGACAATAAAACAAATCAAATGAAATATAAGGCGAGTCCCCTTGGGTCACCCCCACCCCCCTCCTGTTTAGGAACTTGTAAACGGTCGAGATCCTTATCCCTAAACCATATATATTCTTGTATGGGATAATAAAACAAATCAAATGAAATATAGGGGAAGTCCAGGGGGGTCACCCCCACTCCCCTTTTTTTTGAAAACTTGTAAACAGTCAAGATCCCCACCCCGAAACCATATATATTCTTGTATGGGACAATAAAACAAATCAAATGAAATAAAAGGCGAGTCCCCTGGGGTCACCCCACCCCTCCTGTTTGAGAACTTATAAACGGTCGAGATCCCCACCCCTAATCCATATATATTCTTGTATGGGACAATAAAACAAATCAAATGAAATATAGGGAAAGTCCAAGGGGGTAACCCCCACCCCCTTTCTTTTTGATAACTTGTAAACGGTTGAGATCCGCACCCCTAAACCATATATATTCTTGAATGGGACAATAAAACAAATCAAATGAAATTGAGGGAAAGTCCCCTGGGGTCACCCCACTCCCCTCCTGTTTAAGAACTTGTAAACGGTTGAGCTTTTTATTATTAATAAGTTAAAACCACATTGAGGTCCAAAGGGTCCTAAATTAAACTTTTGTTTAATTTCATCAAATATTGAATTCTTTGGTTCTTTGATATGCTGATTCTAACAATGTTTGAGTGTTAAATCATATCTAATTTTAGAGAACTTAGTCATCACTGGTTGTTGTTATTATATTATTGATTATAATTTGAAAAATTGCATCATATCTTATTTTAGAGAACTATTTATCCAGTTTGAGTTATTTCCATTTGCACAGAAAATATTATGGATAAAATTAACCTGTGTTTCATTTCAACATAAATTAAATATATATATAGGGATCTTTCAAATGCTGAATCTAAACTCTATTTAAATATTAGACTTTAGGCCCAGTTTTCAAGTTGGTCCAAATCAGGGTCCAAAATTAAACTTTGTTTGATTCAACAAAAATTGAATTTATGGGGTTCTTTGAAATGCTGAATCTAACCATGTATTGAGAGATTTTGGATTGTGGGCTCCTTTATCAAATTGGTCCACATTGAGGTCCAAAGGGTCCTAGATTAAACTTTTGTCTGATTTCATCAAAAATTGAATTCTTGGGGTTCTTTGATATGCTGATTCTAATATGTTCTTAGATTTGGATATTGGACCATAATAGGTATTTAAATGTCCAATTTCAAATATATCAGTTCTTTGACTACATTCGTTTTGTGTCACAAACCTATGATGTGTCAAATATTCAATCACAATCCAATTTCAGAGCTGTTTTCAAGTTTAAATGTAGTGTCCATACTTGCTCAACTGTTCAGGGTTTGACCTCTGCAGGAAAATCCAGTTTGCTGTCTCTCTGACAGCCTCTTGTTCTAGTTTCAGACAATAACTTGTGTTCAATTGTATGGATCTCTCTGAAATTGTACTGCAAGGTACCATACCACAAAGGGAAGGCTGGGATTGATTTTGGGGGTAATTGCCTTAAAATTTTAGGAATTAGGGGCCAAAAAGGGGCAAAGAAATAAGCATTTTTCTAGTTTCAGGACAATAACTTGTGTGTAAGTATATGGATCTTTATGAAATTGTACTACAAGGTTCCATATCACAAAGGGAAAGCTGGGTTTGAGTTTGGGGGTAATTGCCCTAAATGTTTAGGAATTAGGGGCCAAAAAACAAGCATTTTTACAGTTTCCAGACAATAATTCGAGTTCAATTGTATGGATCTCTCTGAAATTGTACTGCAAGGTACCATACCACAAAGGGAAGGCTCGGATTGAGTTTGGGGTAGATGAATCATAAGGGGGTTCAAAAAATTGGGGGAGGGATCTTTTTTTCCTTTTTTTTTTTCTTTAAAATTTTCCATTATAAGTTGGTTATTTTTATACAACCACAAAAAAATTTTGGGATCGTATAATGGTATGATGTCGTCGTTGTCTGCGTCATCGTCTGCGTCTGCGTCGTCGTCCGAAGAGGCATTGGTTTCCGGACAACAACTTTAGTTTAAGTGAATGGATCTCTATGAAATTTTTTAAGATGGTTCAATACCACAAAAGTAAGGTTGGGATTGATTTTGGGGATGATGGTCCCAACTGTTTAGGAATTAGGGGCCCAAAAAGGGGCCCAAAACAAGCATTTTTCTAGTTTCAGGATAATAACTTGTGTATAAGTATTTCGATTGCTCTGA